TTGTAAAGTGACTATATAAAAATGTGAATATGAATCATCACGATTTCTTTCTGGAACAAAACCCTATCAGGGGTCCATCGCCGTCGGTTATGTATGTATCTAACCGAACTAAGATATATATGCTTGAAAATACTGGGGCACTTAATGCCAGGGTCGATACATTAGACGAGTCGATGTCAAAAATGCCAGTCACCGCTATCCACCGATGGACATCATAAGGTTGCATTAGGGGGTCGTTTGGCCATGGTAAGCCCCCGAATCTACGGCGCTTACTGGTTGAAGTCCCTGCAGGGACAAGGGCACAGAACCACCGCTGCATGTGCGCTTCAAGAAAAAAAAAGTCTAGAAGACGAGAAAATCACCTTGCAGTTACAATGCGGTTACAATGCGGTTACAATACCTCTACGTACGGTCACGTCTAACGAGATGAGTTGGACGTCCGATGCCACAACACACTCTTCATGTCATATGGTGGCCCTCTCAACTATACACTACATACATCATCGTTCACGCGGATAACAGGTAGGGGCCGAACTGTCAGTATCGCAGGATGCGCTTCGACCCGGCATGTCCCGCTCTCGAGCCAGTAGGAATCGGACCGTTCTAGCCTATCCACATACCGTTCTTCCCCAGAGTGGGCTCTTTCTGCAAAGCACGCACTGCAAATGCAACTTGGACTGCAGCATTTGTTGCACCTCTTAATATTATCCTGTCGCAGGTGGGATCCATCAGCTACCTTCATGTACGTTCCAGGATTCCACTATGTAGGCGGGCCTGTCCAGGTTCAGGTTCAGGTTCAGGTTCAGTTTCTATGTACGTTGTTTACCTTATGTATACTTGGTGCAGCGACTTGCGGCTTTTGAAATACTTAATCGAATAAAGATGGGGGTTACAGAGATCTGACCACCTGAGAGTCCCAAGCCTTAGCCGACGTGGTTCGGCTCGCAAGACGCCTTCGGGGTGCAAAGGCAGGACTTGCCGAGGACCGGCGACCGATGTGTTGGCTCAGCGTGCCGATAGATGTAATTATGCCGTCGTTCACTGGACGTTTTAGTTTAATGTGTAATTCAGTACAAATGCTGACGAGCAGTGTCTCTAAACGGTAGACCAGCTGTGCTGGAACCCCAACGCAGAACTGTGGTAGAAGCGGTGGATCCACCGGCATTTGCACCGTCTGAGACGATATCCCGAAGAGAAGAGAGCAACGCGCGCAATGAGATATCAAGACGGCAGGTTCGCTCTCATACATAATAGAAGGCATTATTCGAGCACGACGAGTGAAGAAGAAAGGAGTTAACTATCTAAGAATTAAGTTGACAAAAACCTTGGATATGAGTCGTTCATCGAGAAAGGAGGAGGTGGGGGAGACGAGCCAACACGAGGTAGGCGAAGAGAATTTCCGGTTTACTTACTTTTAAATAACCCAAAGCTTCAGGGCGGACGCTCTATAGAGGACAGCAGCGATTCTAGTTTGGATACTGATGCTGTAGACCCAAGACTAAAACAAATGCCATATATTGAGGCTTTTGGTCACCGCTATCATGCCTCTGGCAAAATCTTTCTACCTTTCGACAAGAACGAACTAGAGAGGATGGAAATCCAACATAAGCTATACAGGCACTGCTTGGACGGAGCCTTGACTTCCACGCGGCTACCACTACATACAACCCAAATACTAGACCTAGGTACCGGAACCGGTGTCTGGGCTATAGAAATGGCGGCCCGTTACCCCCAAGCCCAGATAACTGGAGTAGACGTCTACCCTATACAGAGAAGGGGCGGAATACCGCCGAACGTCAAGTTCGAGATCTACGACGCAGAAGATCCGTGGAGTTACCCGGATAACACGTTCGACTTCATCCACGCACGGAGCATGGCCGGCGGTGTGCGGAATTGGCCGGCGCTATTTCGCCAGGTATACAACAAGCTGAAACCGGGAGGGCTTTTCGAGATGACGGAGATCGCCCTTAATATTTTCGACTTTGACGGCAAGTTCGCAGAGGCGGAGATGTGCCCCGAGTTCCTACAGATTTGTCGAGACTTATACAAAGAGGTCGATATGGATTTTAACCCGTCACCGCTCGTCCCTGACTGGCTGGTCGAGATCGATTTTGAGAAGGTAGTCCAGCGGAGCGAGATACTTCCACTTGGGAGCTGGGCCCAAGACGAGAAAATGAAGACACGCCAGAATTTAGTGAACAAGATAACAAACGAAGACTATTGTGCGTGTGCCTTTTATCTATTTGTCATTCCCTTTTACCCAATTCGCAAACTTTAGTCCAGGTTTCAAGTCCCGCACACAATCGAATCATCTTAACCTTCTTATAGGCACATTAGACAACCATTGTGGCTTGCTGTTCCACAAAGGTGGATGGACAAAAGCCGAATATGACGCTCGAATGCCCCCGTTTTGGCAAGAAATCTACTCTGGAGAAATAAGACCGTACATAAGAGCGTAAGATGCCCCCTCCCCTTCATGATTTCTAATCGACTAGTACTGACAGGTCCTAGCGTATTCACCACTGCGAGAAAGCCTCGGGAAGAGGGGCCATCATGACGCTATACAAGAGTTTTCCTAGTCGTCTTCAACATTATTGGTTACGATGATAATAATATTCAGAAATATTTTCAGCAAGAAGGATCATATATCGTGGGGTCATGTTTTACTGCTTCCGTGTCTGAATAATCAAGCGAACCTACAAGTGCTTTTACCTCCTAATGTTAAGGGGTTAGCTACTACGGCTTACCTACACTAAGAGTTTCGGGGCCGGAAAACTAAAACTGGTACTCGATTCTCATAGTCGAGTAGGAAACTGTCATATTCCACCTGTCATTTTATTACCACCGCTTAGTAAGTGTACCATCAGATATTTAGGGGTGTGTGTGTGTGTGTAAAAATAAAGCGCCAGTTCAGAATAAGCCGCAATCTCTCAAGGTCAAAGCGGAGGAAGGACGACTCGAACTGCCTCAATATTATCCACGTTTAAGGGGGGTATTAGCCACTCTGCGTACGCAATGAAACACCTGCCTATTCAATACTCGGCTCACGTCTCACCGCAGGATTCACATCATGTACATACATCCCTAACACATACATATCTACCTACCTACCTACCTACCTACCTACACAGATCTGCATACTATCACCAACAGCGTGTGAATCCAAGGGTTTTCAAACCCCGACTCGTTTGTACGCACAAATAAGGAACGAACCTGCAGCCTAACCCACTAATTAGCCTGCTTATCCTACACGTCGCCAGTTCCCCGTGAATTCTCCGGTATAGCTTGCCGGTCCCTTTGTAATACTCGCGCAGTGAACACACTGTTTTGTATATAGAGAAGGTGCAGGCGACTATGGAAGCCAGTCGTTTTCTCTTTTGTTACCTATTTCCTACCCTAAGGTTACCCTCTCCATAAAACCGAGTGCCCAACTACATACTCGACGTAACTTACCTACCTACCTTGTATCAGGCTATCTCATGCCGGCGGCCTATGGTCATAAGATGAGTCGCATACTGCACTTTGTCGAGATGATATGCACAATCGGAAGAATATTAGGGCTTAAGGCGTAGTCCGGCAGTGCAATGCGGCATTTATCGAATGATAGCCTCCTAAGGGTTCTTTCGGGCTCTTCGGCCATGGCATCGAAGGTGTGTACCGTGACCACTTGGCGGACGAATGAATGGACGACACAACCGTGAGAGACAAGTAGTTCGCTGCTTTTTTCTTAAGGGGACCTGGTTTGCGAGAGGCTGGATGACGACCAATCGGCTTACATGCCTAGGTCCTCATAATATTCCTGAGATCATCAACGCACGTCATACAAAAAAAAAAAAAAAAAAAATCCCGTGGGTTTCACAATCACTATATTCGATCTCATGTGCATACGATGGGCAGAGGAAATATATTATATTCTACGCCAAAGCTACCGGGTCGTTTCATAAATTAAGACATGTAAGCCATTACGCAGCTGTGTTATATATGTACCGTAATTAGTGCATGGTATAAATACCTTTCCGAGGCATAAGAGTCGCTTGAGGTAGTGAGCGACGACCTCTTTTATGTTAATTATATTTTAATATCATATACTTTAGGTATTTAGGCAGACATCTTGACGATTTTAAGTCTGCCAAAAAAAAAAAGCTCTACAATTTAAGAACATGACAGGAATAGGTAGTTCACGATTCTAAATATATCCAACTTTACTATCCTCTCGATATAGTGTTTTTCTATAGATATGTTGCATAGACTAGATCATCTGCAAGGGGTGCAGGAAAGGTTTTTACAGTGTGCCGAGAATTAGCCAATGTATCTAAATAAATGCACAAGAACCAACACACCCCACGGAACTCAAGCCGGCATATACCTATGTCAAAATGGTTCATGTTGGTTTGGGGTGCATCCATTAGCGAGTATATTCTTCCACTATGACCCCCTCCTTGATCGTAAGAATGTATACGACACTAGAGACGAAATCTATGGCTGGGGTCGTAGTTAACTTGTATTACTTATGGGAAAATGGACCAGATCCTCAACCTGCGTGTGGTATGTTTGAATACTGGTTTACTGATATATATGTTTATACTAATTTGTATTGGCCTTTGAAAGAATTGCTGACATCTTATGAGCCAGTAAGAATATATTACAATTTCTACGAACTATATGTAGTAGATGGGGTCAGTAGCCTACATGGTAACAAAACATATGACTTATGTAGACACATCGTGTCATGTTGGCTTTTTAGAAGTTAACTAATGGGATGGGATTAACTTACCACTTCGTAGGTATGTATTTGTATTTTCTTTTTTTCACGATATTCGTCTATCGATAGATGTTGAGGTCAGCGTTTATATCATTGTCTACAGCAACAGTACTACTGATATACATTTCAACTGTAAGTCTTCTACTATGCCCTTGTCCCATTGGTTACCTTTTTAACCTTAAAGTCGGTAGACCATCTCTATGTATATGTTGTGTTGAAGTCGAATTTCAGGAGATGGTTAACTCCGGAGCGCTTCACCGAACGTTCTACGCGGCCTAGCGAACAAGGAGCTAATTAACGTAGTCCACTCGAATGAGATTTCGCACCTAGTACGATCAACTTCGAGTCCAATCGCATGCGCCGGCTTCCCTTTCTTCTTCCCTCTCCCTCTTCTCTCGTTCCCACCTTCACCTTTACTCTCACGTTCGTAAGTATCCTCCAAGATAATCTTCTGCGACTCGACTACGAATCTATCGCTGTCGATAACGTGGTGTTTCCAGTGCGTCCACTCGCAGTCAGGGCCGATGGTCAATCGCAGCCGTGCTTCGGTGGCGCGGCCGCCTGGTGGCGGGATCCCGTGAGCCGACCGCAGCCATTCTGCTACCACCGTGTCATCGCCACATTCGGCGAATAGCGGGCTCATTTCTAAAGTTGGGTCGTCCCGGTGTAGCAGCGATACGAAGTACGCACGCTGCCGGTCAGATGATAACCGTGATAGTACCAGGGGTAGAGATATAATGCGTTTTATATCATTGCCATTTCCGCCCCACGAACGTCGCGGAACCAGTGGATTTGGATCACCCACGTACAACCAACCGCGTAGCCGTGACAGGTGCTCATCCACGAAGGCAGCCTCAAGCGCCGCCTTCAGCGTATGTGAAAGTAGACGCAAGCCGGCCCAAAGTTCTGGCAGGTCCTCGCTGTGGACGAGTGTACGCATTACCTGCGTCCATATTTCCAGGGGTAGCGGCGGACAGCGAGAGATAGTGATGATAAGAGGTACAGGAGTAGGAGTACCCGTGGCCGTCCTGGTTTTCCGGGGCAAGTTCATACGTTTCAGCATTGTGGAATATCTGGAATTTGATATGAAGAACCAGACGTTATCCGTATGAATTGTGTAGATTAATTGCAGCTTGAAAGACGCTGATAAAAGAAGCTGATAGATAACGCGAGTCAGATCTCCGGTTCCCCCGAATTGGCCCGTAGGCCTCTCGGAACTCGCCCCGTGTTCAATCAAGCTTGAAATACTTAAAAACAACCTAGATTATTGTTTAACTTTGATTCTTAAAGTTGAGCTAGTTACCTAGGTACCTCTAGGTAATGTATATGATTCACGTCCGAAGTTGAACTTCTTTTTGACTAGATAAGATCCCGTCGGCCGACGAGATGCGAATTACCCTTTGTTATATTATCGCGCAATTACATATCAGGATGTTATCTATTTAACTAAGGCATATGTAGTACTATGGACATATGATATGTCCGAAATATGAGCCACGGGGAATCTGACATGAACGGGGTGTAAATGTGGCTTATCTTATTACTACATTCCAATGGACCCACGCTGCGCCTTTGTAATTGTCGAATTGCTGACATGGTTAAATAGTTCTAATACATACGTCCATGCCCTTTACTTTATCCTTTGGTAAGCCATTAAGAGCCTTTGTAGGTACCTAGGTATTGCAGTGATTACTTGCAGGTATCTGATATTAAAGGTCTTATAAAGTTCTTCTTGAGCGGATTGAGCAAGTCTACGATTTGAAGATAAAATAGTCAGAATAATCAGAACTGTCCACTATCAAGCCACACACTTTTTATTTAAGGGACGGTTAGTAAAGGAGTGGTAGGGCGAACCGATAATTTATCAATCCTCAAAAATGTAACAACAAACCCAGTAAGCCTCGAGTTTTGGTTGTATCGCAGGCCAGAATGCGGCCAATGAGCTGGCATGCTATGTGATTTATGAAGATCCTCATGACAGCGCTTATCGACCTGCGGCATTAGGGCTGTATTGTTAAAAAGGCTATCGGGGGATTATATAGAGATATATTTATATATGTTTATCTGCTAGTGAAATTGTAAACTCGAATTTGATATTATTTATGTAAGAACCGTACTGGAATAATGTACCTAAGGCATCTCTGGGTTGGGTTAGGTACCTATTTAAAGTATCTATGTATCTATGTATCTATTGTATGGAGCTGTATGGACCTTGGAAATGGGCACACATTTAAGTACCCAGATACATGCTTTTAGAAGAGTGGCGTTTCAGCTTGCCGTATTCCCAAGCATGTGAATAAAGTATGCATATGGGAACCAATTCTTAAACATCATTCCGAGCTATGAAACAGTATTAACAGAATATATCACTCTTAATAAATACTAAGAATGAAGTATTATCATAATAAGAAACCTGTAATCATGTCGTACCTCCACGATGCGAAATTGACTACGAAATTGATTAAATGTGGATATTTTGCAGGTAAAAAGGTACTTGCCTAAATTTAGCGCCGATATAGCGTTGCAAGATCCCCAAGTGGTCCATGAGCCCGCTGTCCCGCTAACGCCACAGCAGATAAGTACTAACCCACCAACTTCCCCTTTCGCGGCAAGAATTGAGGAGGAGATTGAGGCTTGTGATTAGGTACTCTTCCAATCTGACTGACTTCATTTCTGCCAAGGTTTAAAGGCAACTTGGGAGGTACGATTGAGTTTAGGTAGGCCTAAGTGGTACCTAAGTTTACTACCTAAATCTTTCAAGATTAGCTACAATTTACAATTTACAATTTACAATTACCTCCTCACCTTTACCTCTTCCGCATTCCATCTTCCGACAACAAGACGTGTGTACCTAATAAGATATTTTTTTTTTCACTTCACAACGCGCGACGTCCTTTCAGTTTTCGACTCTTCTTAATCTGTGTCCTTCTTCAATCAGCATATTCAATTCCGATCCCGCCGACCCTCCAATCAATCGATAAAGCACACCCTACCTGCACTGCAACGTTTTAGGCGCATCACATCATCAACTCGAGTTGCCCCTTTCTTGTTTTGTTTTCTTGGATCGCACCACGTTTCTTCTACAACTATACCGCGTTACCAGTCCTGCGATAAAGTCAAGATGCCGTCGCTCTGTGGATTGGGAGGATCAAAGACAGTACAGCGTAAGCTGGTTCTTTTGTAAGTCTGGCCATTTTTGATTCTTGGTTGTCTCTATTGCGTGCCTGTATTATGCGCCGAAACTTTATTGTGAGTCTACAAACACTAATAGTTCTTAATAGGGGAGACGGTGCTTGCGGAAAGACATCTTTACTGAACGTCTTCACGCGAGGATATTTCCCGACAGTTTATGAGCCTACGGTCTTCGAAAACTACGTTCACGGTACGTCTAATATTTCCAACATTCCTAGCGCATACATACAAGGATCAGAGATGACATGATAATATAATCGGTACACTTTTGCGTGGGCTTTTACTAATCAGATGTTAGATATTTTTGTGGATAACGTGCACATCGAATTATCATTATGGGATACAGCCGGCCAAGAAGAATTCGACCGATTACGAAGTCTCTCTTACGACAACACAGACGTAGTTGTGCTCTGTTTCAGCGTCGATAGTAAAGACTCGCTAGAAAACGTGGAGAGCAAATGGGTTGGCGAGATTCAGGAGAACTGTCCTGGTGTGAAGCTGGTCTTAGTGGCCCTCAAATGCGATCTGCGAGAGAACAACGAAGAAGAAGACGATGCTGCTGCGAGCGGAACAGACGGTCCCCAAAGAGAAAAGAAGCCCATGATCGACTATAACCAAGGCTTGGATGTTGCGCGGCGCATTAAGGCTATGCGCTACCTCGAGTGCTCAGCCATGAGGAATCGAGGCGTCAACGAGGCATTCACCGAGGCTGCTCGAGTGGCTTTGAGCGTCAAACCAAGCGGCGAGGGCGATTCAAAATGTGCTGTCATGTAAGATCAGTACGAACCCGTGCCCACCCGACTCGATACGAATTTCCTTCTACAAGCCCTGGACAAGCGCAGGAGTTTGGGATTACGAGAATATCCCTATTTTTTTCTTTTTTGGAGTGGCAATGCAAATTTACCAACGCTGTGCGCGGGCGCAGCACTACGAACTTGTCCTCGATGCAGTTCATTTTGTACTATCTGATACGCACTTCCTTTCCCCTGTACATATACTTATTTGTTCAACTTCTGCGTACATACATGGAACTTGGACTTATTATCTGTTTTTGTAATCATCGAGGGATGGATGGTATACTGCCGATGAAAAGCAGCACTCGAGAAAGAGGTCCTTTGTTATTTATTATGGCTAGACGAGTAAAGCTATGATACTTTTTTTGCTCCGGTTGTATCCACGCTTCATCGTTGGTCTTCCTATCTTCTATACTTGAACGTGACCTGAAAGCCCGGTGAAGGTTAGGGGGTAGTCAATTAAGAACTAATTGTTTTCGGAAACTATTATTTTCGTCATTATTGTCGGCATCGCCAGTTTCTTCCAAGTGCCCTACAAGATATTGTGAGTAAGGTGGATTAGAAGTGCCTGTGAGGGTAGCACATGTAATTCAAGGATAATGAAATTCGGGCATTGGGCAGCCTCAGGGTAGAAACGAGATGTTTACATCCAGATCGATACCTATCTCTTGAGTATTGATTCTCGTATGTTGCTAATACTAAATAGTAGATATAGGTACCTTCCTATGCGGGAGGGGTCCTAGGATAGTTCAGTGCCTAATCAAGTGTGAATATACTTCATATTTTTTTTTTAAAATAGGGTTGAAACTCGGTCTCCGTATCCGTGCCTCGGATCAATCTTGCATTTAGTTGATGCCTATTGAATGTTCCATTCGGAACTGATTGCGTTCAAGTTAATATCCATCATCCAAGTCTCAAAATCAAGACCATCAAAATCGCCAAAGCTGATAGCATCAGGATCGCTCGTCCCAGGAGCCCATACGTCGGAAGTTTTATCTAATTCTTCCGCAGGGTCCAGCGGTGTCGCGATAGTTGAAGTAATGAAACCGTTTAAGATCTGATCTAAATTACGCGAAATGAGATTGGCAGCTTGCGTACAGAATTCGTAGTTTGTTTCCCCAGGGCTGGTCGCGCTTTCGAGATGAGATATTAGCACGGAAAGATGTCGTATTAAGAGAGAGCCGCTTATGCCGGGCGGGAGAGTCCTTGATGGATTTCGGGTAACGTCTAACAGCACAGACGTTAGGATGGCAGCACTGGGTACACCATAAAAAAGGATCTTGCGTTGGTTAGTAAAGTCCTCTCGATGAAGGGATAGAGTTAGATGCATACGACTGTAGGGATGCTGTGAGGGTAGCGGAAGATCCTGCTCTGAGCGCTTGCCACTTGCACTACTGTTTCGAACATATTCTTCGAGACTTCTATCAGCTCCGGCTCGTGTGATGTACTGCCTTGCTGAAGGAGACGATGAAGTTGGAAAATGGTGTAAAGGTATGCTAGGTAGACCTTCCCCAGCATAAGACAAACAGCGGGCGGTAGATTCGACTTCCAGCAGTCTTTGCTGTATATAAGATGCTGAGGAAGAGAACTCCAGGCATCATTATATCGATTCAATATCCCTCTACAGCATATTAGTGTTAAAATGCTCGTTCCGATAGGGGCGGTTGTACCTTAGATAACTTTCGTCGACAGACTGTACCGATCGGAACTGATACTCAACGATTTCTTCCCTAAAGCCGGCCAGAATATAGCGTATGCGAGCCCATGTTGTACTCTTATATTTCCCATCAGTACTCCAGCCATCCAGTGATAATTTACCCCTTGCTTGTTCTAAAATTTCCGGCGTAGTCGCGAAAAGTTCATCCTCGGATAAATCCAGCGGCAACTTGCAGTCTGCATGCCGAGCGGGTATCCGAAGCGGTCGATTGAAGACCAACGCGAAGACTTTATCAATATAATACGCAGTGACGAAGACCTTTCGCCGACACTCAGAAAGGAAGAATGGTACAGTTTCAGCTGAGTAGAGTGCCTCGCGATGCAGGCCTAAGGCGAAGAGGTCTGTAACAAGGTCACCAAACCTACGCCAAACGCTCAAGCCTACGAAACTGTAAGCGTGCTAAGTCATTACAGCTAGAGAAGGACTCATACTTGCATCCCCTTCAGTGAGCATCATAAGTTGTAAATTCTCATAGGCTAACCAGTTAATGATATCATTTGATTGCGTAGAAAGCTCACGAGCAATTCGTAGGCTCAAGTTGCTACACCGGATCATCTCGCGAATGAACTCAGCATGCTTATTTTCGTGGCGACCGATGCCACAAAGATAACAGCGAGCGGCAGTCGTGTATAAGAGGCCAAGTGTTTCTAAGCATAGGTTCTCTCCGCTGAACAGTTCACAGAATTGTTCAAGATCTAAATTCGGTTTTATGGGAATTTCAGACGAAGGAACGCATAGTATAGCCTTAGCAAGACGTGAGAGATCATCATCGTCGCATTGCGTCGCATCATCCCCGATGTAGCCTTTAGTTATGGGGCTGGACCGAATCGATGCTACAAGTTGTAGAATGATTGGCCTCGGCACGAGGGAGACGAGTCTAAATGGGAGGTATTCGTGGAATAGCTCCTCGATTAACGGGAGGAATTTCAGCTGTACGATAATTTCTTTCGTCAAAGTTAAGTATTCTTCGTAAGTTTTCTTGTCAAGCGATTCATACAGAAGAGCCCGCGATGTCGTGTTGCTGGTATCATTCAAGATGAAAGGCCAGGTATGAAATTTTGGAGATTCCTTGGGTGAATCAATTTCGATAATACTATGAGGAGCGCTTACGTTGCTTATAATCTCATTCCGTTCAATATTGTTTAACTGAGTGGATGTTGGCGGAGTTAGTTGTTGTTGACCTCGGCGTTTGGTCAACGGTGCAGGATGATACCAGCATTGTGATTCGAGTCCTCGATGCCGACAGGGAGCACAGACAGGCTTTTGATGATCACACCTGATCTTTGCCTTACGACAACGCTCACACGAAGCTTGAGAGCCATTACGACGACGGCTTGTTGTTGACATGTTGACGTAGTCAATTTGCAAAAAGGCATTAACTTGTAAGACAAGTAAAACGGAATTGGAAGTAATCCGTTCACATCGGCATAACAAGGATTACCGGAGTATATATTATTGGATGTTGTCTACCTGTCGGACTAGCCGGCATAATCGGACTACATGTAGTTACCTAACCCAACTATATGTACTTCTAGGAGAGGCGCTGTATCTTAGGTACTTTAGGTACTTTTAATGCTTATAAGCTGCCTAAAGGGTCCTCACCTCTTAGGTAATGCTAGCGAATCAACGTAGACTCATACTCCTAAAATGGAAATCCCGGGGAAATCACCGGCGATGCGACCCACTCAATGAAGCATTAATATCACACTGTAATATTATGGCGTTACTATCAATTGTATAAGGGTTATTGGGGATTTAGTACATACATATGAGCTATCATTGATAAAATACCTAGGTACATGTACTTAACGCAAGCTGTTAGTTTACGTAGTTCCGTGAAGATACCCTGTTGATGGATGCCTGACGAACTCCGAGATACGTTTCTTACGCCGACGATGGATGTGTTATCTAATACAGAGCTGTACCGGTCAGCAGAACAAAATATATAATATGGTTACTATAGAATGAGAATCAATCAAGATATTATCAATTGCCTTAATTGAAAATATATCTGGCATTAAGATTACCTATCTATAAAGATGTCCCCTACGACCAACCAAGAGCAGTCATCCAGCGCAATGGAGAAGCACGCAAATCTACGCCAAGTTCTGTCTGGAATTGATAGCGAAGTAAGTTCGATGAAATAATAAAACTTAAATGTACTTGTTTTAAGACTAACACAATGTGTCTAACCTCGAAGGAATACAAATTAGCACTTGACCGCGACAAGACGTCTTCTACCTCAGGCGATAAACCCAGTGGCTCAAAGGATGGGAACACTAAACGTTCAAGTAATATGAAACCAGAGATCAGTCCTATTATCTTGGGTATTGTGTTCAGCTTGAAATAGAAGGGGAATCTCTAGTTTAAGGAGGAATATGGAGAGAATGTGTCTGGTCGAAGTTTACTCTGTCTCATGCACACATGAAATAATTTGTTTTTATCGAGTCTGAGAAATTGTAATTTCTCGTTACTACAGTTATTAAATCTGTAATGACTTTATAACTGTTCCGCATTCTTTATTCTTGGTGAGGACATTCCTGTCGATAGGAATGCTTCACAACCTTGATTGCGCCATCGTTGTCTGACCTATCGATTTTCACGAGGATATCAACATCTTGCGCTATCTTTTTCGCAGCTGTCTTATCATTCGCATCATTGCCTTCTTCAAGAAACTCCCTAAGCTCTTCAGATACCAGTTGACTAATCGTATTCCAAATATTCCCAACCCGGGAGTAGCGAACCCTTTTGATATACAAGATCGTAATGGCCGCAACAAAGGTTAAATAGAGACTGATCATGGTAGCGATAAATATGAAGCCAGGACAGTTTGAGCCGCCGTAGCAAGGACCTGGCGCTTGGGCTCTCATAGCAAAAGACGTCTCTACTTCTTCCAACTGCACAAATGCGCTAAGATATTCATTATACACAGAAAGAGCCATGATTGTCGCAAAGTTTTGGAAAGCAAGTGCCGCTCTTCTCATCTCAAATAGTGTATCTTGAAATACCATTGATGTTTCGGGGTACAACAATAGGACTGGCTGAAGGAAGCTGAACCAGCATGTCCCGAAAGTTTCGTTGACACGGTTATTTGTGACAGCACCGTAAAACAAAATATATAGTAGTCGTTCGGTGTAGGTTGCGATCGTCATATTAAGTGTTGTGTTCGTTACACTCGCGGCCGGTCCATTATTCGGGTCATATATGTAATCAACGTGGAGGATCCCACGGGCCTTGGTAGTGTTTGTTTGTGTGTCAGATCCAAGGAATGTTTGAACATCGGCGGTTGTCGATGAGAAGATTAATTCCAGAAGTTGACTTGGGCCATTGTTGATTGCTCGCATAACAGATATGAAAGCAATATTCGATTTCTTGGTAAGCCTCTGTTCTATAATCAATGCAGCTATCATTGACGTGCATATAGTGGCTTGAGTAGAGACAATAAATCGCGTGAGAGTCAATGTGAGAGTTATTGATCGTATCATCCAATGCTTTAATACAATGACACGCCATAGGTACGGAGCATCTTTGGCTTCAAGCGTAGGACCGTGACCAAAGAATAAAAATATGAGGAATCCAAGGATGCCAATGAGGAGAACAGATCCACCAATTATGGTAATACAACCAGTAATACTAAGAGTTTCCTTTACTGATAGGCGTTGATGTTCCTTATTTTGACTCGGTGAAGCTATTCGTGTCTCGTCTGGCCCTGATAAATTCGGAGAAATGTTGTCCGGAGCGGAATCCTGCGCTTCTTGTAAGGGAGAAGATAGTGAATTGCCATCTGGAACTTCATGTCGACCATCTTCCAGGCTATGAACTAAAGTTTCTGGAATAAAGCAATCTTTATCTATCATATAATTACAAGAATTTATCTACGACAGGAAAAACTGCTCACTTGATATTGTATCTATATGCTCAGATGATCCCCGTGTAGGGACCTCTGTATTGATTGATATCTTATGAGGCATGAGTTTCTTCTGGTTGTTTTATTTTATGACTTGTTCCAATATACTATAATAACTCTACTGACTATTACATGTGTTAAAGTTAAGATGTGAAAACGCGAATAATGTATAGGCAGTTATACTCCTAGGATACTACATCGCATATTCCAGGCTCTTAGCGATTAAGAAACCATGCCACGTATTACTACCACCGTACTTACATTTACATACGAAATATAAGTGGCAAAAGTGGTAAAAAAGAGAAGCAAGTAATCCGTTCCCATTCTACTAAGTCACTTCTGCCCTAAATATAGTAAACAGCCCGTCAGAGGCTAAAAAGGGGTTGAATATCACCACTATACGACTACATATATAGTAACACATGTTTCATAACCCACCATTTATGTTTTATTTCCGAAGGTTTTGATTATAAAAGAGGCCCTCAGCATCAATTTATAAGGTTGATACTAGACTAGCATACTCTCTTCGCCATAACATGTTAATATCGAAAACCTTAGTAGAGTATAGTCCAGCATTGAAGAACCAATTGTTCAGGGACTTTACTATAAATATTCAATGCTGAACTACCTATACTAAAAATATACTGCCTTTCTAATATTTTGTTGGTGGCCTTCTTTATAAATTTGTCTGAGATAATGTGGCTTCGGTTGTCTTTGAACGTGAACACAGTGTGACAGCCTGCCGGTATAACCCCGAGACATTCCACGGTATGAGGCGCATCCCATATTGGTACCTGACCTATGTCAATCCACCAGGTGAAACAAGTAAAGGCCTAATAATAGTAGTCCGGCCCTCCTACTAGGAGGCGACTTCGTCAGACCATTAAGGAGATTGTGTACCCAGATTAGGAGGCCAATAATTTTCTACAGTTCGTTTAACATTAAGTGCACTCGATTATCAAAAGCTGTTTATATCAAACCAATAAATAAGTGTTATGCGCACGTGATTCTAATAGCGATGGGGTGGGTAAGAGTACCTAAAGAAAGGCATATGGAGCCTTGGATATATGAAGAGTGCACTCTATACGAATAGTGGATGGCTTCAATTCCCAAAGGTTTTACTACCTAACCATAGGAGGTACCTAGGTATGTCCTGTCAAGAAGTTAAAGCAGTCCTATTGTGACAAGCCGTGTTTTATTGTACCAATGGCATCACTTTGTTTAAACACAAAGAATTTCAATTCTTCTTCGAGACTAAGATTTGATTCCACACAAAGGGTTCTCAGCCTGCACACACTATGGACGTAAAGCCACAACTATAATCTAGAATAAACAGGAACCGAGTTCCCTCTCAAACTAAGAAAAAAGTTTCCTTAATAAGTTCTGTCTAAGTAATAGCTCAACGATTAATTAGAACCAAAGCTTATAGTATCTATAGTACAGTAAGTCTCCAATATGTCGAACTTCTCTTGTGGTCATAATCTAAAATCACGCGTTGGCGCCAATCTAGCGTACATAGCTGAAGACAAGCGAAAGCCATGTCCAGATTGCCAGACCCGGACTCCAGCGGGCGTTCTCGCGCTGTTGAAAAGTCTACTGAAATCATGTGAGACTGAAAAGCTCAGCGATCCGAACATTAAGCAGTACCTCGTTACGTACATCTTTGATCGGTTCATTTCCCAACGTAAATCCACTTCTGCGGGATTCAAACAGCAATTCGATGAGATTTTCCAGGAATGGGGCACGGCAACCCATTATATGCTAGACCATAGCCAGCTCTCAAACCTGTCCGTCACTATCCGGGCCCGCTGGGGGAGCGACGTTGGCAGACAAGCACTGCGAGTTGTAGCCATAGCATCTCTCAAGGAAAATGAAGTATTCTTGCCGATAGAACCAGCGGATGCGGAGATACTAGCCACACTGAATAGAATGATTGGCTTTATGAGAGACAAGGCTACCTCTGTAGAGACCTTTGAACAACTAGAAGTTGTCTTTGATGGGGCCGAGACGCTGGGGACGCTGAGAGACAATATCATATCCGCACTTCTAAGACTAGACGAAGGTCTTACCAAGTGGGATGCGGCAGCAAATAAGTAATCCATATGCTCGTTATGTAGTGGGCCAAGTGAAGTAAGGTTCTCTACTAACCTAGATGTTTAGAATAATATAGCAAAAAAAAAAAAAAAAAAAAGGCATAACCGCCCCTCACAAGGTCTGTGAGGGGAATATACGAATAAGATCAGAATATATGACTCTTAAGTACTATGTGTTGTAATATAAGTGAGTTTATACTTGACGTCAATTACGTCAGGTACCTAACATCAATGAATTCGTAATTCCAACAACTTCTAAGATTAATTAACATAGCCATTATAGACCCCAACTCAGGTCTATATCCGCGAAGATGGTGAGTCTAAAAGATATTCTTCCTTATTTGAGGTTTCCTTTGAAGCTGAAGCCGCTCTCGAAATCCCACAGTGGCAATACTAGCTTATAATATACTACGAATCGCGAGAGGGTGACAGTACTGCAATAGTAAGCCTAAAGTTGATACTATTTTTCGCGTAGTTAGTAGGTATTAATATTAGGTTAGGTACGTAGTTTACCTCAACTTCTTTTACAACAAGCAAAAGTATTCACCTAGCTCCTTATCGAAGGCATCGTATCCCTTGATACTAGAGTAAAAGGGTTATGGGGAGCAGATGTTCACACTGAACACGAAATACGAGCCAACTAAAACTATGGTCTCTTGTTGACCTATGTTGGCCTTTGCTGATCTCGAGTTTTTGTATCATACGTGTCTTAGGGGGGACTTCTTTTATAAGACGATAAATTAGCTCTGCCTCGGCAAATCAGTCGTCCTACATACTGCGCGGCGCATACCTAAGGATTATTATGTATGCGATTCTCACTGTGTACCTGATTTACATGCCCACCGGTTGTCTGCGGATTCACCATCATGGGTGAGTATTACTGGCTTCTTCCTGACTAGCTATTAAAACCATGTGTGCAATGGCAGTGATCTCTTGTAATGATATGATTAAGGTAGTTGAAGGCGCTACGACAGGACACCGATTCCTTGGTAAAATGTTGACGATTGACGCTGAAGTTTAGATACATGTATAATCTTTCAGGCATTCGCTCATGTAGTTGCGAATAACTATTTACATCGAAGACCATTCGTTATGCTGGCATTAACCATTACCCAAGATCCAACACACTCAAATGGTGCTGAAGCCCCTTATCCGATCCCGGCGCCGCCATTATGCAATATATAAATAAAGAAAGCGTAACTAGTGATGATTCTTCAGAGTTTGGCCTGAATAATGCAACAAGTTGATTGAGATTATAGAAATTAATCGCTACAGCGCTCATCGCAATAAGGTAGCACTCCTTTCTTGCTTCACTATCTCCGCTCTTGCCTTCAACCCGCTATCGATTTGATCGGGAACGACACCATTAGTGAACTCAGCCCAATCACGACACGTCTGGCTGACATCGTGTGGGATATCATATTGGGGAGTTAATAGCTCATCTGGCTTAAAAATCATCTGTGAAAAGAAGCCGGCAGATGCGTGCCAGGCGACGTGACAGTGGAAAGGCCAGATTCCTGGACTCTTGGACGCGTCTAGCTGCACAACGAGGTGGCCCTTGGCGGCGACCATTTGGACATCGCGGCGCATGGGGTTCTTCGTATTGAGGCGCGATAGCGAGTTTTCGGTGTAGTTACCTTGTCCAGCTGCAAGCACATACATATTCAAACCGTGCGCGTGTACCGGATGGGGTCTAAGGGTTTTCTTGTTAGGACGGTTTTGATATATATAGGTGAATATTATAAATAACTTACGACTCTGCGGGATTATTGATGATAATGCGGATCGATGAATTTGTCCCATAGTTTATCAGGTTAGACTCAGCTTTATACTGGAAGCCACCTTGCTTGCGAGCCTGGAGAAGAGTCGGGTTGTTGTAGTCCACCCTCGCAGCGACGCCCTATTAAAGATCATGTAAGACTACTATTCCTAGAATGATAACATGTGGGAATGTACTTACACCAAATTCCCAGAGTAAGCTACCACTTGAATTGATGTATGCGCTAACGTCCATATGTTGGGTCCAAGACGGTTCGGGTAGAGCTATGGGGTAATAAGGCACAGTAAGTGCTAGGTCGTCATTCTCGCAGGTGCCCGGATCTGGGATGTCCCATGGGGTACTAGTTGGAACAGAAGTATTATCGGCGCCCTGGTAATAGATAGCAGCGAGTGCCAACGGCTGTTTCGTATAAGAGCAGGACGTGATGTTTGCTCTTAACCAAAATGCAGATCCTGCATCGGCATGAGCATGCACAAGCACATCGGTTCGCTGACCAACGCCGAGAGTGATAACTTGGGTGTCGTAGGGCTTGATTGGGACGAAATCGTTGGCTATAACCGTCATATTATGTTCATCGATAGAGATGCGCTGGGTACCCTCCGCGCCAGAGTTGATGAATCGAAGCCGATGAGTCTTACCCGGTCGGAAGATAAATTTGGATAGCCCGGCATTATCTGTACAAGGTGTCTCATCGTCGGCATCCAGTGTAGAACAGTCGAAGTTCATCTTTCCGTTGATTAGGTTGTTGTCCGTGTAGGTCAGTCCATTAGAATCAGGACCCATAATCTCTTGGACGACCGCATAATAGTTTCTATGTGACCAGTCTATGTCAATGTCAATATGTAGTTCTTCAAAGCTCTGGATTTTGTATACATACCGTTAACCATGATCGGGCCAAGATCGATATCATAGTTTAAATTTCTTGGGCCGTAGATGACCATAGGACCGTAGAGACCACCTGAGTACTGAGCGGAGTAGTGGGAATGATACCAAGATGAACCGTATAGCTCGGCTCGGAATTTGTAAGTGAAGCTTTTTCCAGGGGCAATCGGGCATTGAGAAACACCGGGAACGCCGTCCATCCATGGCGTTCCTGTTTGTAAGAAACCGTGCCAGTGAATGGCTGTCCCTTCCGGTGGACCATCGTTAATGGAATTGGTGACCTTCACCTCGATATAGTCACCCCAGTTGGCCTCAACAAGCGGCCCGGGAAATTGGTCATTAACAAGTAACACTTCCTTCTGATACCCATCTGGCGCGATTATACCTCGACTGATGTTGAACTCGTATCTCCGCGTTATACCAGTGTGAGGTGCATCAGTAAAAGGATTGCTCGACCCGGCCTCCCTGTCGCCCCATGGGATAACGTTGAATCCTCCACTCCCAAGGATAAATAGTGGAAGAGCTTGGGCTAGGAGCGTGCCCCAAAGCGAGTCACTAGATGAAGTAGATTAGTTACTGTTAAATAGTTTACCTAGTAAAAGCACTTAAGTTGGTTTCTCTCTTACCCGTTCTGTGCGGTTGACGAAAGCTCGCCGGCCAAGCAACAGCAAAAGTCAAGGAACCCCATTACAAAATGAAATAACGATCGGACGGCCTCAAGGAAGCCAGAAGAATAAGGATACAATGTCAAGGTTGACCAGAGCAACTACATGGGAGACACCACAATCTATAAATGAAGGAAGCCATCTCATTCCAGGTCAAGTGGGCTAACCTATTATGTATATGATATTATATAATAGGTAGACGGTTTCGCTCGTCTTCACAGGGATAGAAAGTAATCGTACGAAAAATTTGAGACATGGGTATGATCCCTTTCTAATGTCTATATAACACTTGTCACCATAGAAAGGGTACTATAAGCGTCATCGATATTGCGGCTGGCATCTGCATGTTGTCTGGTGGGTTACATCCCGGATCTGTCAAACAAGATTTGAATATGGCTTGTCGACTGTCAGACTCTACTCGGGGGAAAAGGCCGCAAATGCTGAGCGACGATATACACATACTTGAAGGGCTGATGCGGCGCGCTCTAAGCCAATCGGATGCTACCTAGTCGTTGGTCATCGTTGAAAGGGGCCATGATAAATTAGGGGATTTACACGAAAACCAATTGTATCACCGATAGGGTTTGATGACAACTTCTCGTAGATTATTGACACCAACCAATAGCTGCTTCGAGATATCTCAAGCCTCGCCCCATTGAAATGTATGCAGGAAACGAACAATGTCTGAGACAGTCGCGTTAGGCCCACTGTTTTCCTTAGGTCCCGAGCTTCGTATTCATTTCCGTGCTAGGAACGTGGACTGCCGTCACGAAAATAAACAGAATACCTCAGTCCGAGCAGCGTTCCTCTAGACCTTCCCACCGGTTTCAACTGAAACATTCGCAAAGCAGCGGTAATTTTGAGATGTGCTATGGAGTTGACACCATGAATGAAGAATATGTCATAGTAGACGAGTAGAATGAGGAAAAGGACCGATTTGTTTATACGAAAGCCTAGGTAGAAATAAGGGCACCTGAGTCGTAAGTCTCTTGTGCTTCGAAAAACTGAGATTTCCTTAGCTTGGCTCATCTTAGGGGATCTAATTCTGCTATGATTTTCCCACGCATGCATGGCTTCGTTGTGGCTGATCCGGAAATTTGATTGGGGTACGCCATAATCCATAGAACATACATGGGAAAACAAAAGTCAAGAAATACCTAAGTACCTCTAGGTATATACCTAAAGCACGATGGGAGCGTGAATGATACGAGACGTAGCTAGTACATGATTTTGAGAAATGCGGAAACCCGTGGACTCGCCCGTTTGCTATATCTCTCATTCGGCAAGTTAATCTAGCTGTAACTATCCGAACTCGCAAAAGGTTTGATATCTTAGCTAAAGCCATGGCTGGAAAGTTATGTTTTCGGCTACTGCCGTGTTAATACTTTGGGAATTACCTAAAATCCACCGTGGTGTTGTTGCTTTTAATTATCAGAGGTGTGGCGTAGGGCTTTGTTTGACGTTTCTCTGAGTCTCAGAGCTGTCGTAATTAGTGTATATACAAGAGATTCGATATATTACAACTTCTACCCAGCTGGTGTGGCTAGTGGAAGTTCAATATCAGATCGACCCATAGTTTCCGTCCAGTCTAACATCCTTGATGATAGAGATTCTTTAGTCGATGAATTTGGTATGTCTCAGCTGTTGATACCACTTTTCTGCAGAACTATAAAAATCGAAGCTTGAAAGAATCGAACGCTAACTTTTTGTAAGGTCCTATCCTCGGCCCAAGCTCTATGGCGGTACTATGAGGTTGACAAAGTTCTATTGACTTCGTGGTCGATACGTGCTTGATTGGGAGGACATGATAAAAGGTCGTCGTTGTGCTCGCGCAAATGCTTCGACGGCGATGGGCGACGCGTCAGTTCTGATAACACTTCCAATCGACATGAAAAATCTGCGCAAAATTATCAGTCCCAAGTTAGGCACGACTTTACTGAATATTTCAAAACTCTACATACCCAAATGTAGCGCCAGATCCTAACATATATTGACCTAAAGTTCGCATGATACCATTCTGTCCAGCGCCGTATCTAAATATGTTCACAGTTCCTATGCGCCATATGTCAGGGGTATATATTCTACTAAGCTATGAGCTCAGCGAGGTGGGGGAGATAAAGCGTACCGAAAATGAAACCGATAATAACGCCAACAGCTATAATGATTTTTAGTTTTAGTAAACGCAAATTGCTTGAAGGACTTGATATAGTTAGGTACATACTACCACCCATCATAGCTCCCATCTTAACTATTAAATAAAACAATGTTAGTGATGCTTTATATAGTCTTGAGCATCTAAAGTCTTAGGGACTACGAACGTTTGTCGACAGTGGAGGGGCCTTGGGGGCCGCGGGTTGTTGGAACAGGCGGCATCTTGAGTTAATTCAAATCTCAAGATAGGTATCTGACTGAATCTTTATGACAGTATAATAGTTTAAGAATGGGAAGTTTAAGGCTACAGCGCTGCCGAGTTGGTTTTTGCTGGTTGGTGGGATGTTTCTTTCTTCCGAGGCTCTTGGAAATGATTTCGCGGATCAGCCGTTGTAAAGCCGGCATCTCCAGATTCTTGGCGCGGCTGAGTGATAGGGTAGGCCCACAGATCCAGTTTATCGATAAAGAAATAAGTACGTACCTTAGGTACTTGAGCTGAATGATACATGGATCATTGATTACATACATGAAAATGGTTTGGCGCTTTACCCTTCTTGAAGATATATCACGTGATGATAGCCTAGCACCTGCTTCATACATGTTAGGTACCTCATAATAACACATCGCGTCGCATGCGCCTATGACTTCCATCCCTAGCTACATGTAGAATGGCAAATGTGTACAAAGGAATCCTTAGTTGGTAATATTCATATAACTATAGTAAATTGCCAATATTAATAGAGATAATTTTGATATATTTACACATAGGTACCTATATTCTTTTAAGACAAATCTGTCCGACTCAAGTATATGAGTAAGTACCTAGGTATCTTTTGAGATATTATCAAGCTTTCTACAGGCAAGGACGAAAAGGAAAAAGAAAAGTAAAATGGAACTTGAGGCTCTCTTCAGGCTTGCTATTTGTTGTATCAAACCCATGTTGTTGCCACATTAAAAATGCTGCTAAAGCATGTAAAGCGCTTAGTAAAGTAACTCTGTACTAAAGTTAGGTGGGTAGGTACCTAACCTTAGGTACTTAGGTGTGGTAAGTAAGGTGGTAAGTGAGGTGGTAAGTGAGGTGTGGTAGGTGGTACCTACTTAAGGCAAGTAGGCAGGTAGGGTAGGTACCCCCAAAATACAGAACATCGAGGTAACAGGATTAGCCAGCGCCAGCAAAAAAAAAAAGAGAGACCCGACCTCGACAAGGAACCTGGGCAACTCCAAATCTTTTGAATGACCACATCCTCAAAAAGTGTTGCTCCTCTTACATCGCTCAAAGAGTTGTGTACCTTAATAATTCGACATATTTCCAATCACATATCGTCGCCTACCTAGGTAGATACCCCTTATCAAAATCGCATGGTATGTATCCAAAATGTTCCAAACTTCTTTTTTTTCTCTAACCGCGCACAAATCATATTTCATGTCTTCCCTGTCTTCCCTGTCTTCCTTGTCACCCCGGTGTTCCCGTAATCAACTTCAATCAGTTGCTTGTTACCCTCGTCTTGACTTTGACTTATGGAACGCCCCTTTTAACTAACTATAATTTTTTTTATCACTGTTTAGAGAAACGACATCAACAAACATCTCGCCTGCAAATATCCTCTCTTACCTCTCGATCGCTTCTTTCTATCAATACACATATACACATATTTCGGCATACTTTGCTAGTTCCGGTCGCGTGCATGATCAACAGAAGGGGCCCGCTTAACCCCCCGACTCGGCTTCTTGGTCTGCGTTCTCATCCACCCGCTCCCTTTCCATCTCGCATCCCATCTCGCTGTTCTTCCTCATGACGGCTGTCGCAAGCCCACCAACTTTCGCTCAACACAATCGGCCGGCATGGAGTATTAACGGTGGACACGCCGGTCAGATCAATTCCATGAATCCTGATGAGCTAAACCGGATGCTTCTGCCTCGAAAGAATTTGCAGCGAAACAACTCTTCCTCTTCCATTTCTTCGACTTCATCCGTATCATCTACTTCAACTATTGCTACGACCGGCTCTCAAACGAATGGCAACTCTGTACCAAATTCGGGTGACATGGGCGCGTGGAATAATGGTACCGGTACACGAAAGCGACCCCAGCCGAAAGCCCCGTGGCCGACTCCGAAACCAGATGCTCAGTCGGATTTTGTAAGAATGTCTGCAGGACGCCCGCAGTTGGTTGGTGGCATAAATGGATCTGCGCCGATGCATTCACCTTCACCAGTATTGCCTTCCCAAGGCATGATTGGAGCGCAGCAAGGAATGTCCCGTCCCATGGCTGAATCCTTAACCGGCGGGAACCAGCCTGTATTATATCTCTTATCCCTTAACGGAACATTCGAGCGCAAAACGATATCTGTCCCGTTTTCTCCTGAGACCCTTAGGATTGGTCGTCAGACGAATGCAAAGACAGTTCCCACGCCAGTTAATGGTTTCTTCGACTCGAAAGTCCTTTCCCGCCAACATGCAGAGATCTGGGCGGACCGCCAGGGAAAGATCTGGATTCGCGATGTAAAGTCTTCGAATGGAACCTTTGTCAATGGTACACGATTGTCACAAGAGAATCGCGAGTCTGAGCCACATGAATTGCAAACCAACGATCATTTAGAACTGGGTATTGATATCGTTAGTGAGGATCAGAAAACCATTGTGCATCATAAAGTGGCGGCGAAGGTTGAACATGCAGGCTTCTTGAACCCTTCGAGCAATCTTCTCGATATGAATTTCGGCGATCTCGATCCTGCGAATGGCTCGATGATGATGATGGGTCCGCAAGGTGGTTTGCCTGCTCGGCCTAGAACGGGAAGCCAAGCTTCTATGGCGAGTAACGGACGGATTATTGCTGGCGGTAGTATGATGGGATCACAAGGAAACGTCATGGGTCATCAACGAGGTCTGTTCCTTTCGCCAATTAGTACCGAGCAGATTGTAAAGCGGCTTCAGGTAAGCAAGACCCATCTCTCATACTAGATTAACATCTAATTATACTTAGCATGAGATGCGGAATCAACGTCTTCAATCGCAAGATCTGGGTCGAACCAACCAGTTTGTCCAGGGACTTCTAACGAAAGATGATATTAAAGATATCGAGAAACCCGAAGTATCTGAGCAGCCACGGTCACAAATAATTAATGGGAATGGGATATCATTCAGATCTGATAATAAAACACGATTCTCCGATCCTCCAGCGCCACCACCACAACAACCTTTACCCGAGAAACCAGATGTTCCATCTCTAAAGCGAGGTATCACGGAGCGGCCCAAACAGTCTGGCCAGAGCATGTCACCGATCCGACAAGACGGAATGAGCCAGATCCTACATTTGACAGAGCTCTTAAGTAACGCGAAGCGGGAAATCGAAAATCAGAGTTCACGTATGCGAGACCTTGAGGAAACCTTGCAGAAAGAGCGACGAGCTCGAGAGCTTGCCGAGGAGTTGGCCAGAAGATTGGAAGAGAACTCTAATACACAGACAAATGGTGTTCCCGTGAAGCCAGAAGCTCACGAGACCGCATTGGAAGAAGCCTTCGAACCACCCATAGATGAAGTATCGCCTGCTACCGATAATATTCTCGGCGACACTAACAAAACAGCTCCGCAAGCTGAAGCCATCGAAGCTTCCGCCACGCAGTTACATACTCAGATTGAGTCAATGGTATTAGAAATTAGGGATCTACGACAGCAGCTCGATGCTTTCAAGCAACGGGCGGAGACAGCTGAAGCTGAAAGAGATGCAGACCGCAAGAGTTTAGCAGAAATGGCTTTACAAATTCGAAGAGATGCTGAGGCTAAAGAAGCTGCTGCGCGGGAGAAAGCTTTATCGGATTCCCGCGCTATCGAGAAATCTAACGATGCAGGTGTGACTTCTGAGGACTTGTCCACTTTGGCTCGAACATCACCTCTAGGCTCAAGCCAGGACCAGTCAGATTCTAGCGAAATCATTGACCAACCCACGCTCTCAAGGGCCAATACCATTACGCCACATTCTACGACACCTAGGCTTTTACCACGCGATCAGGCATTGGCAAACAGCATGCCTTACGCATCTATGATAGGGGTTGTCCTTATCGGTATGGGCTTAATGGCTTATATAAACGGGTGGCAACCGCAACCAAGACTTGAGCGATGAGCAACTTAGCTATTGCACAGTCGAATTAATGTTTTCTGCCCGGTATTAACATAACTGACTACCTAGGTACATATTGACATTCATCCTTTACACATTCACGAATTCTTTCCCTTTGTCCTTATTCTATAATAAGCTCGTCCAACTTTCGTATCTTCAGATACCAGTCTTTTTGTAACAAGGCATCAATTTGGGACCGGCGTTAGGGGAGCGGCAAGTGACTACGTTAAGGCCACCAGACTACGGGGCTTTCATCCCTTTTCTATCTAGCATCGATGATTATGCGCACTCGGCCTCTAGGATGTGGTTCATTTGTGGCAGGATACGGAAAATTATTAAGTACGCCGAATCGAGATGGCCCGATTAGAAAATAGGGGTCATCGAAAGGCTACTTCTATGCGTCTTCATAGCTAGGCGTCCGCTATGTATTAGCAGGTCGGGTCTAGTCATAGGACTTGGTTGGTGATGTGCTACATCGCCTGGCGATCCGTAAAAAGGTAGCTTACGTTTGCATAGCGCATGGACAACGAAACGATTTTATTCCGCAACAGCAGCATTGATCGTGATGTGACGGCGACTTGTAACTTATACAACTAAAATGTAATATATTTAGGCGAGGTTTTCAAGGTCAAGAAGTTCTTATCCATTAGGTACCTAAAATGATTCAAACGATCATCTGAGTCCCGAGTTTCCCGTTTCTCCTTTTCTCAGGGCGACAAATAGCACATAGTCATTAAGTCAACAGACTGCCTCGACTAGAACATCAAAGGCATATATTCTGGGTAGCTATGATAATATCTAAGAGCTGAAAGCTTGTCTTGGTGCAAATCCCATGAATTTTGAATAGCAATCCGAGGAAGCCAGTCTCAACAAACTCGAATATGGACTTCTTTTTCAGCGCGGGTTGCATGCCTGCAAGGATGCCATAACGGACTGGCTAGGGTATCGTAGAAGCTAAGCTGTTTATAAGTTATGCATGAGCAAGATTCAGGACTTGCTCTTGATTGTATGGTTGGATCCGCCACGATAACGGGACTAGATCCAAAGGATCTGATCCCCAGAAGTAAACGCCCCTCATTTAGTCAGCAGACGCGTTATAGACGACACGACTCGATATTTAGGTAATTAACCTCTTACTGATCGACTTGGATATATCTTCGAGTTTTCTCTAGCAGTCCGAATATCTAAGTCTTCAAAATGAGGTTCTTGAACTTTTTGGTACTACATGTCTTTGCAGTCGCTGCCTTGTCCAACAAGAAAAGACTCATTATCGACACGGACCTCTTATCATTTGATGATGACCCCTTGGCAATTGGCTTAAGCGGTATACTTCAAAACTGGGGACAAGTTGAACTAATTGGAGTCATGTCAAGTATATATCCTCCAAATTCTAGACCTCGTGCTACGTAGCATATGTTCATTAATAGTAACAACGGATATAGGCGTTAATAGTCGATATGCTCCTCCAGCTATCGATGCGATTAATACTTACTTCGGGTATCCGCAAATCCCAATTGCGATCCAGAAGCCTGTTGACAACTTGGTACGTCATTAATCACAAAAATGAAATAAGTCGGATTGTGCTTAATGTATTCTACCACAGACAAGATTACCAGAGCATCCAGAGTTTGGAGCCTACGTTACGGGGTTGACCTATAACTTCACTGAAGATCTACGAGATGGAACCAATACCCCTGATCCAGGTACGGCAATGATCTTATCCACCTAGAGTTACGATGTGCAACGGGACTACGTCTAATATACAGCTTCGCTCGAATAGTTTCATCATACCGCTATCTCCTCTCCACATCAGCGGACGATTCAATTACTCTTGCTGTAATCGGGTTCTTCGATAACGTGTTCAACCTTCTTAACTCTGGCCCTGACCAAATATCTCCATATACGGGAGCTGAGCTACTCGCTTCTAAGGTGCGCGAACTCGTCGTACAAGCCAACGACGTGGGATATTCTTATAACACGAACACGCATAACGAAACTCTAGCTCAGAAAGTATTAAACTGGTGGCCGGGTAAATTGACATTTGCCTGGGATGGTGTTGGCGAAAACACCATCCTCGGCCGCCGCATTACCACTAAATTAGACCCCACCAAGAATCCGCTCGGATATGCTCTGCGTACCAACATCGGATATAACCAGGAGCACCCGGTCTGGGATGTTGCGGCTGTGTACTATGCCGTGTGCGGGCTGGACGACGTATTTAGATGGAAATACCCGCATGGCGGCCGTGTGAATATAAACGCGTCCGCTTTCGCTACCTGGGAGAACGGTACGGTTTCAAGCCCAGGGTTACAGAACTCTATCGAGTTTAAAATGCCCAATACGACATTTGCGACTCGGCTAGAAGATACGCTGTTATGGGAGCCGGGACAGCATGTGCCGTACTGGAGGACTTGGTGTAAAAATTAAGCTGATATAAGGGGTGCTCGAGGGTTTATCATTGGAATCACTGCCATAAGATAATCGTCGTAATACACAAATATAATAATAAGCTTTCGAACGATATACCTATAGATTACCTAGGGTATAGAGAAATCGGCGTCTTAATCGACATTCGTACTGATAAAAACAACCAAGACAGCAGTGAATCTACGAATTTATCAGTATTTATCTAATTCATAACATGATGTAAACATACGCAGCTGTGGCAGAAAACAATTCCGACCGTTTAGAATCTACATTGATTAACGACAATACCAATGAGAATGCAGATGTGAAAGCGGCCAAGATGAGTAGTCTTCGCCACATCGACTGTACGAGATACAGAACGGATATAGCCGCAACGGGTAATAATGAAGATAGCACAACGGTCAGAACCTTGGTTGGAAGAAGTAGCTGGCTACCTTCAAAGCGAGCAACATCATCACTATTCTGGAAGAATTTCCCAAGCGCCTTATATTTCAAACTGAGGTACAATTTCACTAAGAATAGTGAAATCTTGTCAAGCTTCTCCACGGGACCAACAGTGACGAGGTCACTTGAGATTCCTGCGTCAGACCACGTTGTACATTCCTTTCCAATTAGAAATGCACGTTTTGAATTATCGTCCAAGATGTGATTTAATACTTTCAAACTCCGGTTGGATGGCTTTTCAAAATGTGCGACTATGTGCTGCTGGATCAAGGCTTCGTCTGCTATTCGATTAAGTAGCGGGACGACATGAAGGGGAGGTTATAAGAACTCACTATACTCTTTTAGTTTGTTTCTCAACTGTAAAAACTGTGACCAAACTTCTGCGTCTTTTTGAAGTTCTGCCCAGTCATGAGGGGACCTCTCTCTCATGTCTTCGTTTATGCTATTCTGGATTTCCACCTCCTTCTCTCGCCATGACTATTCTAGATGCGTCAATTCGGCCTGTAGGTATAGAGTATTTTGATAATTAAGGGATGAGAAACTACGAAGTAAGGTAAGGTCGGATGAATTTGACATGTGATTCGCAATTGCTGCGTATCCGATCATATCCATATCGAGCAAATCGGAAACGTCCCAGCGACTATTCCGGTAAAGGTGGCGAGTGCAAGTCGTAATTCTGAATCAGAACTTGGAAATACGGAGAGTATCACCGGTGAAATTGCTCTAGAAAAACATGATTAAACAGTCCCATGTTTAGGACTCGGTCTTTATATATACTTTTTGAGACACGATATGATGCGCTGGCGCCAGTCGCGAAATTATGTATCTACTCGACCATAACCCTGATACTATCCCGGGAAGTATTAGGCATAACTATGCCACAATATCTCCTATTAAAGTAACAAATAGCTACGAAGTAGATAAATTCCACTGAAGTATCAAAGCTTTTGATTGGTTTATATACAGAGGGGCCATGCATGTAATTTAGGAGTTGGATGAATGATTACAATACAGTTAACATAGCCACGCTATAGCCACGATACCATGATACCATGATATCCAATAAGAATAAGAGTATAGTTAGCTCATATTGTCTTCATCGATATTTCTAGTTTCATCGTTGCCAAGGTAATCCGAAATTCTACTTTTCAATGATCTCGCAATAATCATAACGATCAACTCGCGATTTAAGCGTCATACTTCCCCATTAAAAGATTGCCTTCACACGATAGCTAATTTAAGAATACCAAATGAGCAGTATGTTGCGTGAAGGTCTTCTATCTGATGAAACAAGTCCCGACGCGGAAGCTATCTCTGATGTCGATTCAGAACAGCTCGATGATACAGATCCGGAATCTTTTTTTATACCAATTCGTGAATTTTACCCTGGTCCACAGGCGGGATCATTGTCGTTTATCACTAGAGAAAAAACAGCTGGTTCGTGATTTTACAATGAGGAGCTGAAGGACATTATACATATTAACACGTCTCATAGAAGAACGAAGTACTCTGGAGTCGGAACAGAATCGAAGGGCCCAGATGAGAAAACAAGCGGCGGAGCAACCAAGCGTGCGCCGGGACGAACAAAGCAACAATGCATCAGACACCTTTATAACACAGCTAACTCAGATACAACAACAACCACAGGTTCAAGAGCTACAATCCCTGTCAGACCTTGACTCACAAAGGTCTCAATTGAGCGCCCAAGGGACTACTAGTTCGAGTGGTCCTAGACTGATCGTGTCCCGGATAAAGCAGATCATTTCTAAAGGAATGCAGAGGAATAAAAGGTAGCTTGTTATGACGGACAAGTATAGGAGCTGATATATATAAACATTTGTAAAACTCTCTAAACATCACCCCCTATCTGTGACTACCTATAATATCAAAATTTAGTTGTAGGTGTAGGATTCGGAATTTAACAGAAATTATCGCAAGATTTTCTTAGACACGAGTAGAAATCTAAGTCAAGTGTTTATGAATTGATAACAAGACATTGTATAAAGTGGCATAATTGAAATTTCCCGTATTCCTTCTCTTAGGCGTCTATCTGTTTGAAGCTCAAGTTATAATCCTGAAACACGGTTCTGCTTCGTCAGTTGTAGCTGCGCTCGACCCGCAGAGAATCGGCGGACAATACTGAATGCTGGGTGCGCCCCTATAAGCGCTGAGAACTGCGGGTAGTCAGGAGCAAGCTGATGGACTTGAAAGGAGTAAGTGATAATTGCTTAGGTATGTATGAATACTGGTAAAGGATTCAACTAACGGTCTAGTGGCTGTCGCATAACAAGAGGGTGGATGGCATCAATCCCGCGCTTGAATATCTATGATAGCTTTGGGCTTCAACTAAATAATCCTAGATCAATACCATGGGGGCTAATATTCAAGTTTCGCGTTACTTACTGTCACTAGGAGTGTTAAGACTCATAATAAGAGGTAATTATTTGCGTCAGGAGGCTCTAATTCCTTTGATATGTGACATCTTGGTCTATGATCCTCCTTTAAATAGATGTCAGAAGAATACTGCTGTCCAAAAAAAACATAACCTCCTCCTATGACCTGGCTTCCCTTCGTTTTCTAGTAACATTATTATTCGAAGTATGTAATAGTAGTATAGCGATGCTGCCGCTAATTTATTATGAACTTATTTGACTTGAGGCCGCTGATGTCTTCCCTATTCCCCGCTACGGTGGACCATTATGACATTAGTGCCAAAATCAAGAAAATGGGTGGCACTATGTCTAATAAGGTAATAGTAAGGCAAAAATACAGTGTAAACTCAATTAATATGCACTGTATACACAATTAATGCCCTTTTTTTACCTTATACCACAATAACTTTACGAATATCTGTCCAAATATTTTTCAAAATATACCAATATTTTGATTCAAAAATAATAAAAATTACTATCCAAATCGCATGTAATTTGACCCAAGATTCGTAAAGATATTAAAACAGCTAGGTACCTAGGTACCTGTCTTTCCTATTCCAAAAGTTTAAAAGATTAGCCAATCAAATATCGCCTTTACCTTAGCCTCAAAATACCCGAATTCAATAACAACACTTATACATATTCAAATAACTTTCAAATAACTTTCAAATAACTTTCAAATAACTTTCAAATAACTTTACCACTATACCATTTCAAAAAATATAACTAGTATCATTTTATAGCCTTGATTAATGCGAAAATAATAATATAAGTTGCATGTATACATCTTTTGGCTGACGTATCGTATAGCGTGTTATATCAATATCCAATAAGTCTTATACGGCACGTGACACCCTTTATAACCACCCGTACGCATAATAGCCCTCCCTTTATATTACACATTATCTTTACGAAATAAATCAGGAATATTATAAGACCATTTTACTAATTTTTATTATATTTCAACTAAAGTAATGATATTTTTCATAAATTTATATTAATATTACTCGAAAAGTTATTAAATAATGTAAAAGTTTTGTATTTTACCTTGTATATACCCCGCATAGTATACTGTGCACTTGATATATTACCCTTTTTGGACAGCCCTGACCTATTTTCTTGATTTTGGCACTAATGTCATAATGGTCCACCGTACCCGCGCCAAAGGTAGCCAGGCGAGGGGCACAATGCGCGCTGCCAGAACAACCGCACTGAATTCATAACGTACCTAGGCATATCGGGCGCTTAAGCGATTGAATTAATGCAAAGTCTGAGTCACGAGAAATCATAGATCGAGGTGGTCTTCCTGTGCTCTAAACAAGCCTTACTTTCTTTACCCTTAAGTAGATCTAACATTGAATCGCGCCTCAATTGCAACTTGATGTAGAAAGCCCAACCAATTTTGATAACGACCACGACTTGCTGTCCTGGAAAACCCAACAAGAAAGGGACATAATGCAAAGGTGACTTTATATAAGGGAGTTTTTATAACTGCAGCCTAACGCATAACAGTAACCCTTTTAAGGTACCTAGAGTGTTACATCCCAGAACAGTATTGGGCGGATTGAAGCGAAGTTTCGCGTGTTTATTCAACTCGATATCTAGAATCCCATGATGATCAGTACAATCTCACTCAGTTTCATAACTCCAAAGCCAACATGACGCGAAAAGCGAGCAAAATGTGAGGTTATCGGTACTAGTTGAATATATACCCATGGCGAATTGCAAGTAGCTCGTCATGCACGAGATACACTACGTAGAATAGGCATTTAATCGAATACCGCCACGAAGAGGACTAATTAAGAAGCGACTAAAATGTCGTTGGATCTAACAGGAAGCACGGCTTAAATTTGCCAGCTCCTGATTCGCTTGATGAGCGTCAAGTCGCGTACTGACAGATTTTTGATATTGGCGGTGAGGGTACCAACAGCAGATATTTACGTCATATGGGGCTTAACAAGGGCTTTCCGGATTGCTGGGTTATCAGCGAGACTTTGAAAACCACGGTAAGCTATTTAGCGGTTGATTCAATTTTCCGTTGTTAGAACCACAGACGTAAGTGTCCCCCTCCATCCCCAACGTTATGAGTGTCACTATATGTACGCCGATCCTACGAGAAACAGTCTTTCCAAAGGATTCTCTGAGCCTTTGCTACGTATCCCGCAGGAGTACTAAATGTAGTATCAGTAAGTAAAAGGGTCGTAGTAGAAAATTTCACCGCCAGACATGGGATCCAAAATAACCCCACCTAGCTAAGCCAGATACAAAATACCGTTCTAGCAAATCTCTACTCAAATTATATGAGTATTAGATAACGTCGTATCCTATAATAACATGCCTTATGCTTAATGAGCCAAATAGGTTATCGTAAATTCGATAATTCGGTATAGGGCCATAAAACTCTTTTCTCGGCCTTTGGATCCATTAGCGAAGCAGAGGACTGATTTTGACCCCCCTTGTCGGACAATTGATAGGATAAAATGTCCTTCGATCGTCGGTCACATCTTTTGACAGATTTCCTCGAAAGATTACATCGGTGATCCCACCCCCCCTCTCTCCCCCGAGACGACTTAAACTTCACTTCAATACACTCCACCGACAAGATGGCGATGAGTCTTTCCTCTCTTTATCTATCCTTCTTCGCTGCTTTCGACGTAGTGCTAGCAACTAGCCTCAACGTAACGGCTATTGGCGCCAAGGATGGCAGTTCCCGTTTTGAATGCTGGGAGCTTGCCGCGCCGTTTGTCTCATCCAGCCAAACGGGTATTGCCGGATCGCAGACTACGTTTTTAGGAGATGTTAGTAACATTACGTATAACGTGATCCCGGCGGGTTTTGACAGCGGAGTTCATAATACACCTAGAAACCAGTAAGTTTTCTATACTTAGCTACCTATATATCTGGAAATATTACCTAGTTCTAGGTAAAGCTTGATAAGTAAAGTTCTCACACGAGGCAGATGGATTATTGTCCTTAACGGACTAGCGGTTATAACACTACCGGACAATAGCTCCGTCACTGTCGCGACGTCGCCGGGAGAGATGGGTCTGTTATTTGCCGCAGATACTCCGGAGGTCAGCCGCGAGGGTCATGGCAACTATTTCCCGGGTGTCTCGGAGACCATCTTTCTGCAGGTCCCAACGAAGGACGGCGCGATTCCGGAGCATAAGGTACTGAACGATGATGGCCCTTGTACTCCAAACAAGTATACGGCGCTCAGGGGGTGGGCGACTGGTTAGCATTTTACTTGTGGTAGACTATATGGTGGGATAAGTTACTTAGGTTAAGTGGTAGTTACGAGGGTGAATGGGATCTTCTATATCCCATTAAGGATTTATCACAAAGGTTTTAGTAATAATCATCGGCAAGCGGGACACGCGTTGATACCCAAGCTATCTACAACATTCAACATTGGCTGGAAAAGGATCAGGCGTGAAGCTTAAATATACTAGGTACTCGACATGAGTGGTGGCTTCTTGGGTCTTGTATTATAGAGCGTTGAGGCCTCCGTACTGGTGAACTTTTGGCTCATACGGGCACGATTTATAATTTATATGCATGTTAGCTGAGGCGAAAGTCATTGTCCGAGCTGCATTAGTCCAAGCCAGCATTTTAATTAAAAGATTATACAGGACTTGATTCACATGAACGAAATTAGAAAAGGAATATTCACACTCTAGGTCTGTTTAAGTGCCTAGTATAAAAAGATTAAGCGAGCGCGTACCCAATACTTCCATATCAGACCCTTATAAAGTTGCTCTGCACCCTTCAGAAAATGGTGGTGCAATATGGACTTGTTCCGTGTCATTTATTACTCCCTGAATCTAACGGAACTCGGAAATGCGCCTGGTACAGCCTTGACCTGTAATATCACGTCCCGTATCCGTGTCTGGGCATGATGCTGGAAAGCAGGATGTGTAGCCAACGCGATAGCGAGGAAGAGAGCTAGTATAATGATGATGAAATGTTCAAGTAGGAATCCGCTGCGCGCACCCAGGTTTACGCCGTTCTTAGGAGCTAGAGGTCCAACCATCTTCTTGATAGGTTCGATAGCATAAGAACGTGCGGCTTTCAGACCCCGCGGCATACCGGGGAGTCCGTCCATACTCCAAGCGTTTTTGAGGGCCCAGTAGCGTTCCATACTCTCCTTCTCGTTGCCTTCGAGGAACTTGTCTTCCTTGCGTTTGAAGAAGTCGTTGAGGGTAGTCCGGAATTCCTTGAAGTCGAATATCGGCACCGAGTAACCGCATGAGGTGCCGACTTGGTGGATGTCTACCACAATGACCGATCGCGTGCCTGGGATGACCTCGATGTTCTCCCTCTGCACGATGCTGTCAAACTCTGGTGTTCCATGTTCAAGTACGCGGCCTTTGCCCCAAAGCCTCACGATACGGGGCGGCCCTTCGAAGGCATTGAATAGTATAGTTACGCGGCCGTTACCCGGCTCCAGAAGATGTGAGATGGTCTTGTTTAATGTTAGTTACTTTCATGATCTCTTGGTTGAAGAAGCAACATCAGACCTCATTTCCACTTCCTGTCAAATCCAAGAACCAAAAAGTTTTAGTGTCGGGGACACCAAAATACTCGCCCCCTTTTGGTGAGAGATTAACATGCCCTTTCCCCGATAGTGGTGCTGTAGCTATCCAGAAAACCTTCTGGGCCAACATCCAATCGATGAGGCTTTGTTTTGGGATTTCTTCGAAATATGCGCCCATGATTAAATAGTGACGACGACTCAATTCTCTGCTATAGCGTAGATAGGATCTGTCAATAAAAGGATTGTTAGATTTTTAATCGAATTTCAATGAAAAGGGTGGGGCTAGGTATATAAAAGCAAATCTACCTCTAGATGGTGACGATTACTATATCTTATGGTATTGGAGAATTAAATCGAAGATCCAAGGTTGTATATTAAACTTAGATTAAAAAAAGGTAACCTTTTGAGCTGCCCGATAGAGTCACTTCACGGAAGCCGAGAATTGCCGGTGCGGAGGTGATCCACCAACGTCCGAGCTCCCGTCTTGCCGTTTTACAGAAGTACCTAAACTCCTTATAGTGACATCTTCAAATTTATAGATCTTAAAGCGGAATGGCCGATATCGGCCCTTGTTTTACACTAGAGCCTATATTTTTATAGGTTAAGAAGCCTATCTCTAGTAAATTAACATCCAATTATAATAGTTGACCAGACAGAAATGTAAGCAATGTATGCCGTCTTTAACCTCTTTAAAATCGGTAATAGTAAACTTGTCTTGCCCGTTATTCCCTACAATCAGGCAACTCTTTTAACTTCAACAACTCATGCCATCAATTATTATGGTCACAATTTTCTTAAAAGGAAAAAAAACCTCAATCTATAGGACATCTTTATAATCCAAGCTCCATCCCTTTATTCAAAATCCCCCTTAGCATCGAGTCATATTTTCTTCCCTTTAGGTACCCTAGCAAGCCAATATAAGAAAAAGGTAAGTATGATGTTGAAGGCTACATAAACGAACTGTAGTCCAAAATCACGCCAGCGGTCGACGACGTAGATTTCCATTGTCGCAAGGAATGTGTTCGTCTCTCGCAATGGACAATATATGCATTGCCCTGTTGAGTCTGGGTTCACTAGACTTCCGGAAACTTCAGGATAGCTCAAGTACTGCAACATATACTGGCCGCATGTCTGCCCAGGCGGAGATTCGAATCGCAGTAGTTCGTAGGATGAACATGTCACAACTGTGTTGCCGATACCAGTAGAAACCATCGCACCGATAAGATATGTAAGGGGAGCGACACGGTACATGAAGATCCAGAACCCCGGGAGTTGCGACGGCGCTACCAATACTCTATGAGAGCCAAACGAATTAGTATTCATTCAAGATTCTTACACAAAGTCCAACACGAGAACCTTGAGCGATAATAATATGTGCAAACGTACCCGCAGAATATCAACCATAATGACGAAACGAGCTGCGCCATTTGCACTGCCATTTCGGCGTGCTCCAATCCAGCCGCAATGGCTTGCGAGAGAGTAGACATGAATATGCAAAAGATCCAGAGTAAACCGAACATCAAACCACCTCTCTCGGTCCGGGAGAATGACGGGTCTCCGTTCTTCCATAGTCCCGTTGGATAGTACCAAACAATAAACAGTAGGACTGATGTAACTGTCTGCCAAACTGCTTCCACAATTACGTTTGAAGCGACAAATACAATCCACGAGTATGTTTTAGAAGGCCGTTCTCGTGCCTCAAAGAGCTGCCGGCCGCGTATAAACCGGGGTATTATTTGTTGATCGACATTGTTGAAAATAGAAGCCAACAAGAAAATAGAGAAAAGAACGTTGATGAGACCTTGCATATCTAGTGGCGATATGAAAAATGAGAATCCGTTGAAGAAACCCTTATTTTAGGTCAGCCATGCCCAAAAATAAAATAAAATCATTGTTAAACTTACCACCCCAGCAGACAGAGCCACTTTAGAGTACAAATAGACCGGATCACGCCAATACTCCTGAAATATCCGATGAGTGACAAGAATGAGTTGATTTAATGAAGATGCTGCAAATTCATCGCGCGGCTGGTATGATTGGGAGACTGCAGTGGTTGAAGACCTTTCCTTGATCGCGGCTAACTGATGCTTCACCTCCTGTCTTTGAGGGCTCTTTCGCCATGTTTCGGACCAGTCGATTGTCTTTTGAGACGGATTACGATGAGCTCCTGTCACATCAAGGATCCACTCAGCTGGATTTTCTCCAGGATCACAACTTCTGGCCCCGCCGTCTTGGAAATACTGGATTAGTGTCGTGGCTTGACTGCCGATGTCGCCAAAGTAGAGAGTACGACCACCGCGTTCAAGGAATAAGAGTTGGTCGAACATTTGAAACAGCTGCGAAGATGGTTGGTGTATTGTACAAAGGATAGCCTGGCCGTTGTCCGCTAGTCGGCGAAGCAAAGTACAAATGGTCCATGCGGTTTGGCTATCGAGACCTGAGGTTGGTTCATCTATCCGGGGGTTATTAATACCATTGATATGATATTTGGAGAACGATCATACCAAGAAAAAGAAGTAGTTCCGGCTTCGCAGCTAATTCGACACCAATGCTTAATCGTTTGCGTTGCTCGACGTTCAGTCCTAGGGCCTATTGTTATTAGATGTAATTTAAAGGGGTTGTAAAATGAAAGATTAACCTTCTCCTGGGACCCCAACAACAGCGTCTGCATATGGGTCCATATCTAGGGCCTTGAGTACATATTCAACGTACTCTGACTTTTCTTGCTTTGTGGAAGACCTTGGTTGTCGTAACAAAGCACTGAATTCCAATGCCTCACGCACTGTAGCGGTTGAAAGGTGAATATCAGATTGTTGGACATAACCTGTTTTACGCTGGAAGCTACTGTCTCTAGGCTTCCCGTCAATGTAAGCAGCTCCTGACACGACACCAACAGACGTACGACAGGCTAGTACGTCTAAAAGTGTAGTCTTGCCAGCTCCAGTAGCTCCCTTATGAATAATTGTCAGTAAATATTGTAGTAGTGGGATGGCCTCATCCCTACCATCAGAGCCGTCAGTGTCCCGGGTTTAACAAAGCCATCCACCTCGTCGAGGATGCGTTTTTTACCGTGACGTGTCTCGATATCATAACAAATTCCGTCCCAATGAAAAATCGCGGTTTGCTTCTGTAGGTTATCGAAGATACTGGGCTGGTGGCCCGCTATGACCTCAGTCGTAATTTTCTCATTTGCTTGCATTAATATAGCGGGATCCGTAATTGTTTTCTCCTCGTCGGCGACAATGAGCTTATTCCTAGCTTTGCGGTCACGGCAGAAGAGGAGAATATCTCCTTTTGACCGCTGAGCAGGAATGTACTCCACAGCAAGGAGATGAACAAAGCAGAATGCCACCATCATTGCAAGCAAGATACCAAAATTCCTAATATAGTATAGTTAGTTGGATAAATCACCACTTTAGTATATGACTGATTTATTCTAAGCATACCTCCAGAGATGAGATCTAACGAAGCCGTACTGAACCTCCAAGTATCTTTCACCTCGCACAAAGTCTTCACCAGGCAGGCTCCCCACAGCAGAGCATATTCGTTCAGTTGAAGAGACCTGGGTATATGCGGGACCTGAAGGTACCATGGTCGTGCATGAGTAAATTCGATCCCAGAACTAAATCCAACTATAAGCAAATGCTTGAAATTTAATAGAGGTAATGTGACATCTAGTGTTCTGACACACCTCGTTGATCATCAAGCTTTCGTACGCGTATCCAATTGGGTTTATCCACCTAATCCAGCCAAACCAAGGATGCATGTATTTGGCTGGAATAACGAAACCTGCATATATAATGAAAAGCAGCATTAAATTCGCAACAGGGGCCATAGATTGTTCTATCGTACGAGACAGCGAGCCAACCATGCGAAAAAACATGGACATAGTAAGGAGACACGTGAAGGAAAATAGATAGAAGGTAAAGAAGCCACCGGGAGTTCGTCGTAGATTGGCCATAAAATAAATGGACAGATTAAATCCAACGGAGGTTAACACCTTGTTCGGGATGTCACACATCATAGAAGCGGTTGACTCAACGAAAGGGTGATAGAACTTGTATTTGTCGTGTTTTTCAACGATTGGGCGCGCCGCCCACATAGTAAGGACCTAATTCGACAATGTCAATTATACGAGGCATATTATAGCAAAGTCGAGCTGGTCGTGGAGTATAAGAAAGTTAAATTACTAACCTCGAATGCACTAATGCCAGCATTAATGACGATGCTGTAGAAGATTAAAACAGCTCTTCCGTAAAAGCTATCGGTCGTCTCGGGTAGGTTATAGAATACACTGGAGATGATGATGGCCACGACGGTGTTTCCGATTATGCCTGATACTACAGGTACGTAGTTATTTCGAATCCTATAGAAACCACGTTGCACGCAGACTATAATTTGGTGGTAAGTCGAGATATTATATGGCGAGGATTGGGTGCTAGCTTTATATTAGAATTATAGTAGAATACAAATATTCAGTCTCTGTCCTTACCTGTCACGTCCCAATGACGCAGATTTCGCAGCGTGATACTGTCGCACTGCGTCCTCTTGAAGTGGGTGCTCAGTATTATAATTCGTGATCTCATCTAATAGACTTTGGTGTTCTATACTTTTACCCCAAGCATCTACAAATTCGTCAGCGGAACGCGGAACCTTATCTTCAAACCCGGTCTTTACTACATGGGCCCTTTCAGTAGGGTTTGTTAGTGAGGTCAAAAAGTCGGCTGTAGTGTGCCTCTCTGGTTTAACGAAGCCAAGCCGCTCGAAATAGGGCACTGCTTGGTCGATGGGCCCGAAGTATATCTGTAGGCCATCGTAGAGTAGCGTGATTTTATCAAATTGATCATATATGGCTTGGGAGGCTTGATATACACTAACCATAACAGATGAGCCGCGGACAGTAGCAGAGGTCTTTAAAATTGCAATGACTTCAAGCGCCGTTAGACTATCCAGTCCACGGGTCGTATTATCCCAGGCTTGAATTGGAGCCCCGGCTATGAATGCCTCGGCGATACTAGTTCGCTTTTTCTCCCCTCCTGATACACCGCGGATCATTTCGTTCCCCATCAGAGTCTGGAAAGAATTTGATAAACCAAATATAGAGGCTACAAGGGAGCTTGGAGATGAATGTTGGGAATTGTTCTCGTTTCTCTGGTTGTCATTTTGATTTTGATACGCTCGTGCAGTAGCAGCGAAGCCAAGAGTTTCGCCCAACGTCAGTTCGGGGAAATGGACATCCAGCTCTGCTTGATAGATAGCGGCTCCTTTGCAGTCATTGTGAAGGTGTTCGAAGGAAATGCCTATGAAAAAAAAAGAGTAAGTATCCAAATCCAGGTTAAGTCATATCTAATTCACAGACCTTGATAATTAATTTCAGACTCAGCTTCAAGATAGAACCCATGTGTATCGCCGGTTAGAGCCTTCAGCATAGTCGAGCACCCACTCCCCGGTCTACCCAGAACCAAAAGCATCTCGCCATTGCGTACTAGGCCGTCAAACCCGCGAAGAATTTGTATCTTCTGACGCTGTTGGTAGCCTAGTAATCGACGCAATACAGCGCCAATTGCTAAGATATAACTACCAACAGTGGCTTGATAGTCAGTTGATGATATGAAGCCATATGCATGTAGGTTATGAAAGGATACACCAAGGCGCGCACGGGGGCCAGTGTCTGCCGTTGTAGCCAGCCATTGCTCTAAGGCATATCTAGTTGGGCCATTCATTTTTTCTAGCTCTTTGATTTAGATAGTAGGGATAGAAAAGAAAAAAAAAAGAATATTGAATACCTAAGGTAATAAAATAGGTAATAGAAAATAAAGGGACTCAGCAAAAGCCTTACAGCTTAGGTACAGTCTTCAATAGGTACCTAGGTACTCTCTTATAATTTTATTAAGCCAGTGCCACAATACGATATATCAACCTGTATAGGTAAACCTTCTCAATTTCGTCCAAGCCCTTCAGATGACTTTAGGAGTCAGTACATATAAGAAATCACACCCTCGGGTGCGAGTATCAATGTGTAGGGATAATATCCCATGGGGTAGGTACACTACCTGGGTACATATATGATATGACCTAGTATGTGGATTTATGCAGTGTAACAATAGATAGATAGATAGGTAGATAGATAGATAGATAGTTACATGTACTTACCACTGACTCGTAGTTATTAAGTGCGCTGTCCCGGTCCCGGGAGGATTCTCATCGGGACGGGTAGGTACCTAAGCCTCATATAAGATGTAAGTAAAATATAACGAATAAACGCATAACGGGTTCCAAAATTGAATTCAAATAAACAATCTATAAATGCAATCTAGAGCTCAGTGAGGTACCTAATGTATTAACTACTTAACATTGGCTCTAGTACCTATGCTGCCCATCATTAAGAACAGATAATTTAAAAACCTAATATAAGCTAACCTATCACGTATCATGTGTACTTAATCATATAAATCCCTTACATAGTAGATCTAATGTGAATATTGTTTATCCTATTGAAAAGAAATAAAGAACGAATGTATCTATTTAAAGATGATCCCTTACATAGACGCACAGCTGGTGACTGCCTACCTATCTCCTTAGGTAGGTAAACAAGATGAGCACCGGGGCGATCTTTGCAACTAATATAACCTATGCTCCTAATTTCCCTACTCGTCGTCGAATTCTAAACCGGACTCTCTGCTTCGGTTTCTGGGTGCCTAAGCCGAAGCTCGAGGAGTCCATGTCCAAATCCTTGGTCAGGATCTGAACCTCAAAGGCAGCCAAGAGCAAAGAGGTAGTGTAGAATATGATACGTTTCGCGAAATGTCGACCGGGACAGGCCGCATATCCCCCACCATAAGGGATCCAGGCTCCCTCAAGACCCTGAACAGAAAAATAAGGCTTATTCTCCTCATCATCAGTGCCCGGTGGCGCGGGCCGCTTATACTGGGATGCCGGGACGTTATGCCTAACGGGACCACTGAAAGGATCGTGGGGATCGATTAGAAAGCGCTCGGCCCAAAATGATTCTACGGGGAAAGCCCCGTTGCGTGTGTTCCAGAAACTTGTGTCCATATGCGATGCGTACGTATTAACCATACATACTCGGTTCTTAGGCAACCACCATGAGGCGATTCCCACGTCACGGTGAGGTGAACAGCGTGTAATATAAGCTTGTACGTGCAATCGCAATGTCTCAGCATATACGGATGAGAGCAGAGGTTTACGGAGCACCTTATCCATATCGATATCCCAGGTAGCCTCATCGAATACGCCGTCTAGACTAGACCGTATGCGGTCACGCAGGCTTGTATCTCTAAATATATGCAGTGTGCACATCATAGACGAAGGTACTAGGTTCGTGATAGACCTATAATTATTGGCGGTAAGCTTTTATTATAATAAGGTATAGGAGGTAGGAGTAGAAATACTTACACCCATATCAACCCTAGATCAGCAGCCGCTATCGCATCATCATCTTGATTGTCTATCTCTAGCAAGACCTTTTGCCGAGACCGAATCATTTGCGAGCCCCAATACGGGTCCGCATCACCGTCAGGGCCAATAGCTGACTCGTCAAAATGCTCTCTTGCATGGCGATACCAACTTCGAATAGAGTCTAATAGTCGCTCACGGGCTTGATATGCCTCAGGGATCAGGAAACGAGGCATGAGCTTAGCAAACTTAGGGGTGGCTCTGTCAAATGACCAGAGATCCTGGATAAAGCTTGGGCTTAGCCGGGGCAGAGTAGAGCCGTACAATCCTTCTATAACAGCAGCGCCTAGTTGGTCCTGGAAAAAGCCATAGAAGTCGGGCATCTCGACCCATCCGTCCGAAGGGACGTCTAAGCCGGTAAGATTACGCTTCAGGATGTTGGCAGTTCGCTCAAAGGATGTATTAAGGCCAGATCCACCGAACGCCTTGAAAAGATCCATGTGCGTAAGGAAATCAACCCGGTTGTGAGAGGCAACATTGCTGTCGGGGTGTGGGCGGCGATGAGACCCTGAGTTATCTGCTTTATACGGAGCCAAGGCATGCTGGGGCATTCCAAAAATGTTCTTGAGGGCGAAGGTGTAAACGAAGATGGGGCTGCCTAATTGCTGCTGCTTCCAGACTGCAGCAACATTCTCTGGGCCCTGGAATAAGAATATTTCCCCTAAAAGGATCGAGAGCCTAACTGGAACCAATGACCCGGCATATTGTCTATAAAACGTCAGTCTGGATCTATTACCGGTTGCCTACTGACAACCGACCATTAACAGATGTCTTACGTCACCCTTTTGACAAAATTTACACAATTGAACGTAAATGGTATAGCACTTCCAAGCAACGGAAGTAGGTATGGGAAGGTTGGGGGGATCTGTTTAGGTTTTCGTGAGAAATGGGAATAGTGATATCTGAGAGAGATATACGCATAGCGGAGGATTATGATTGAGATTAAGATATAAAAGACGAGAGATCCCTGACTAGTATGCATTAAAATAACATTTTGAAAGCGGCCAGAGCCATTGGGCTCAGTGTTACTAGACATCATGGTACGATTTTGAATTTAAAGGTGATATAAGTTCGTATATAACTACCTTAGGTAAATAGGAATAGAGATGGGGAATTACAAGTAAGAATGGTTGAAAAGTGAAATTATAGTTTCGAGGCAAAGAGAACATATATCTCTTATGTCTAGGTAGGTAGGCACCTAGACAAGTACTTACACTAAATAAATGCCATTTTACAGATCACGGAGTATAAATTCGCTCTAACTCCTTTATTTATCTATCCGGTTTAGTAGAAATAACACGATTAAGTCAAAGGAGTATGGTACAACTAACCTCCATGATAATGTGCACCTTGGGACATCCTGCAGGCTCTGGGGGTTTGCCACCACCAGCACGCAACCGGGCCGGACCTCATTCGGGCTTACCACAACTCTTGTGTCCGTTGGGGGCTGTTAGTGATCCGAGACCAGACGATAACCATCCATCCCCCCCCCGGTTCTTATATTTCTTATATAGGTAGGTAGACATCTACTAAGGATGGTAATAGTAATGCTCAGTACCAAGGTCGGGATATATCTCAAGACAGTTGAAGACATTTTCCTCCTTTGTACATCAAGAATCAAGAGATAGACACAGGAAGCCCATCATGAACCAGACTCAAGAGTCTCTCGATGAGCTAGTTGACAAGTGGTCAAGTATCAAGAAGAAAGCATTCAAGGTGTGTACATCCGGCTATCATATTTAAACAATTTATACTACGTCGAGTTAATTAACGTACGATTCCTAGGTGGCAGTGGGTGTGGTCTTTAGTATTGCTATCATTTCAGTTTTTGCTAGAGCAGCAATCCGTCTTAAAACCCGGAGACGTACCACGCTTGACGACTACCTCCTCTTTATTGCGGCCGCTTTCCTTACCGGCTCCACAGGCCTAGTTTACCACCTCTGTGATACATTCTACCTTACTACGGCGATCCAGCAAGACCTGTCAATTATATATCACACCAATTCACAGCAACTAACTGACATCATAAACAATGCCACCCAACAGAATTCTATATTTCTTGTAATTACCTGGACAGCTACTTTCTTCGTCAAGTTCTCATTCCTAGCTTTCTTCAAGCAGCTGATACGCCAGGTGGATGGAATCCAGTACTATTACTGGGCTGTAGTTGTTCTTACCGTTGTTTCGTGGATATTCTTGATTTCAGAACCCTTCATTCTATGCTCAGACTTTGGGGCTAAATCAGGCAAGTAGCTACCTACCTATACTTCATATGCACTCGGTTTCACATCTAACTGATACTATAAAAGTTGCTTGCTTTGACCACTCTAAGGACCTTCTATATGTCTCCATGACTGGCCTGATTACCGGGTTGGATGCTCTCTCGGATATCCTCAGTACGTCGCAAAAGGAACGAACTATCAAACAAAGGGACCCATGGTTGCTAACAAGGTTCCCTCTAGTTGCAAGCATCCCTATCATCGTCTTACATCGAGCCAGAATACATAATACGCAGAAAATCAGCCTGGGACTGTTTTTATGCCTCTCGCTTGTCATGGTTTGCTTTGCAATTATCCGTGTTGCCAATATCCATGGAGTGGCAGGAGTAAATGTTCCATGGGAATTCTTCTGGCAGTTTATAGAGGCTTCGGTCGCCGTGATTATGGGCTCACTCACTGTTTTCCGGACATTGCTTACTCCGATGAAAAGTAGCGATGAACAGCGTCACAACAGGGCTAGAGCAATAGTACTGCGGCCTCATGAACACTTTTCCTACCGAATGCGGTTTCTGCGCATGAAAAAAAAGCACATAGACCTCGAGTCTCACGATGGTTTGCCCGATATTCCAAACGCCACTATGACAGGCATACGCACTTTTATCCAGGTCAATAACCGCGATCTTGATATCGACGCTGAGGCGCCACTAACCAATATATCTCAGCAAGAAACCTTAGCTGGAAACGACGACACTCGTCAGCTCATCATGCATATTCCGCATTCTTTTGAGGCGCCAGCGGAATGGGGTCCGCAGGCCAAGAAGACTCACGATAGTGGTGTTTAGTATGGTTGGTTAGGTACTTCATGTAAGTCAGAAGCCGCTTTTCACCAACCTCTAATCCTCCACTGAGGCTGATTTTAGGCTGCCGTGTTCCAGGCGTTTACTAACATGTAAAGCCTGCCGCTGCAAGTGGAGGGTATAGTGTAGGATCGGCAGGTTGGTCAAAAATGTAAGTAGCGAAAGAGAAAAAGAATGAGGGATGGTATGGAGGGATTGTGTAACATCTTCACTTATATCTTATATGCTATCTATGGCGTGATTAATATAGATAGATGTAAATGGGATGAAATTACACTAACGATGTCTCACTTGGATATTGTCACTTAATCTGCACCGCAAATCCTTCCTCAGAGCCTCTAAGAAGATTCCTGATAATTGCATAATAGAAACAGACACAGTCCAAAGATGGTTGGTTGCAGGAGAAAAGGGTACTTATGAAAAATCTTGTTACCATCCATTTAAGGAATCACTTGCATATGAAGCCATTCACACCTAAGACATGTTAGACTTGCCGTTTAATTTAGCTGTTGGAATTGCTACGTTGTACGAGAGCTTGATATGTTTCTTTATCGGATATGAGGCGCTGGAATTCACCGGGAAATGAAATACAAGAAATTTCAAATTCGATAGGTCATATCACTCATATATCAGCAACATCTACCTATCCATATTACACAACATTTAATGTTTCACAAAACGGCTAGAAGAGGGTCTAGCATTCAAATCAAACAAAATACTAACCCTACCTAACTCATTCGCGCAAACAACTGCATAGTTTTAAGAAGGCTGAGATACACATTTGACCACAAATTAGCCCCCATCACCTTTCCGTCCCAAGAAGGCTGTATGTGATATGGCTGCATTTTACTTATACAAGCCTATCTCCTGACCACATAAGTTAAGAATGGGATTATGGGTACCTATTTTATCAACTCTTTCACGCCTTTTTGCAGCAACCATATGATGGCCTTTATCGAGCTAATGAGAAACACGCTTCATTTTGTGCTAGCTATCAGTCTCTTTATCCGTCTTATTTTGGTGGCTTGGTTATACTGGCCAGAAGACAGCCTGAGCAAAGCCACCGTTGGTTCCTTAGCAGTATTCGGCATTGCTGCCCTTCTCTACTACGTTCACCCCACCCTTAATTACCTTGTGTCCCGGGGATAGGGGTTAGCCCTTGCATGTAGACAATCCCTCCCTCCCGCGACATCATTAATAAGGATTCTTTTGCTTTACTCATTCAACTTCGGCTTTTATTGCCTTCTTTCCTTCGCCACTATTCGCAACCTCAGCTTCATCATGGTCAACGACGAGCTGTTCAGTGTAGGACATGCAGCCACAGCTGGGCTAGTTGCCTGCGCCAGTGCGCTCGTCTACCTGCTTGTCAAAGGCTATCAAGCTAGACTTACCTTCTACCGCCTCCGCCAGCAAGGAATGGTATGATATCATCCCCTGGCTGTCTGCTTCTTCTTGCTTTTGCTAATTCTAATGTGGTCGCCGCGTAGCCGATGCCACCATGGAACTCTATCCTGGGGCATCTCCTTGCCATTCCACCAGTTATGAAAACGCTGCCTGAAGACACCCAGCAGCCTGATGCTTTTGAGGTCTTATGCCGTGAAAATGAAAAAAGGGATGCCGATTCTATCATCTATATAGATATGTGGCCGTTCGCCGACCCCCTGATGGTTATTTGCTCACCTGTGCTTGCTATACAAGCTTGCCAGGAATACGACTTGCCTAAGCCGCCCATTCTACATGCCTTTTTTAATCCGTTAGCTGGTGGTGCAAACTTGTTCACTATGAATGGGCCCGAATGGAAACGTTCTCGTTCACTCTTCAACTCGGGCTTTAGTGCCAGCTATATTTTACAACAGACCTCTCACGTTGTAGATGAGGCTGAAGTCTACGTCGATATTCTGAGAGAGCATGCTCGAAAAGGTAAAATGTTCTCTCTAGACGATGTGACTTGTTGGTACATGATGGATGTCATTGGTGCCGTAACCTTGGACTCGCGACTTCATTCCCAACGGCAGTTCAATCCCTTAGCATCGGCATTGCGCCGGCAAATTCGTTGGCATGTCCTTGACAACGAGTGGAATCTTCTAATTAGATGGAACCCAGCTCGCCCCTTTGTGCAATGGTATAATAGCTACCAGATGAACAACTACATAGCCCAACAACTTGACAAGCGCTATGCCGAATGGACTGAGGATGAGGCAGCCACTTCGTCGCGCTCCATCATCCATCTTGCCTTAGCAGGTTACATGGCCCAACAAGAGGACAAGCCACGCCCTAAGAAACTTGATCCAGCTTTCAGGGACTGGGCCACAGTGCAGATACGCCTGTTTCTCTTTGCTGGTCACGATTCTACATCGTCTACAATCTGCTATTGCTTCTACCTCCTACAATCTCACCCTGAAGCCATGGCCAAGCTCCGCGCCGAGCATGATGCCGTGTTTGGTACAGACATTACCGAAACAGCTAACGCAATGCGCGCACAGCCCCATCTGCTCAACCAACTCCCCTACACCACGGCGGTCATCAAAGAATCTCTACGTCTCTTCCCCCCTGCGTCCGCGATGCGTGGCGGCCAACCAGGCGTGTATCTCCAGGATGATAAGGGCAACAGGTATCCGACCGAGGGAACGAATATGTGGATTCTACATTCGGCCGTACAGCGCAACCCGAAATACTGGCCTTCCGCAATGGAATTCATACCCGAGCGCTGGCTCGTAGAGCCGGGTGACCCACTTTACCCCGTTAAGGGGGGTTGGCGACCCTTTGAGTATGGGCCGCGAAATTGCTTGGGTCAGACTCTAGCTATGCTCGATGTGAAAATCACGTTGGCGCTTACTGTGCGTGAGTTTGAAATTAAGCACGCGTATGATGAATGGGATCGCTTGCACCCTACGAGCAAGGTTAAGAGTGTTAACAGCGAGCGCGCTTACCAGACGCAATCTGGAGGGGCGCATCCTGCTGATGGTTATCCGTGTCGGATCAGCTTGAGGAAGTAGTTGCTTTGAATAAAAGTGTATTGTTTTATTTAATCATATTGTTATTGTTAGAAAAGTTAGAAGTTCATTTACTGATCAGTTTAATGCTGATGTACTACTTATATTTACGGTCGGCTTGTGTAAGAGTCAGAATCTAGTCAAAATAGGGGTCATGGAAAGTATTTGATAATGCGAATACCCTTTAGTTAGGTAGTTATCACGTAACTGTCAGCGTGTAAACTTATACTCGAAACATTTGACATTTCTAGCTACTTTATGAATTCATGGGATATGAAGCTCATATACCATAAGTCTCTAAGCTCTCGATAGCATATATGCCTGATCGGCCCCACGAGAGGTCTCACTACCTGTTACAACTACGGCACTCCAAGTTATGAATCATCCATAATATGCCATAACCAGACCATCTCATTTCCAGATCACCGTTGCCTTACTAACTATTGGGTTGGCCCCGTTCCGGTACGTTATCGACAACCCACGAAACCTCCCAAGCCTCAACAACGAGGAGCTCGACGACTTGAAGGCCGTACTAAGTATGTATTAGGTATAAGGAATGCGAGGTGTACTATCCAGCCCATTCCCTAATAGCCAATCTCTGCGCAATAGTCGACATCCGGCTCGAAGATACCCCCAGTGTATTCATTGCCTTCTGCCATATCTTGGATCTCTGCTATACTGGGAAGGATACCTGGAAATACGGTGTTAATTCGAGCACGGTCCCACCAAGCAGTTTCCCAAGGAAGGAGCTCTGAATCAGCATATAAGGGGTTGTGCTGCTCTGAGACGATCGTGAAGTACCAGTTATCGCATGCACCGTTTTCTTTCTGAGGAAATGTCGCTAAGAGGTGGTCTATGTTGAAAGATCGAACCATGAGGTCCCCCGAAACAGGGCGCAGCCATGTGAAACCAGATACACCGGGTGCGAAATAACACTTGCGACGGAACACTTCTGGGCTTGTTTCGATATCGGCGGTATTGAGAGATACAACCTCGTCGTCGGCCAATTTATCAAAGCCACGTAATCCTGTAGCAGCATACCAACTGTTGTAAACTACGTCTCCTTGTCTCATATTGATAGATCCTATATATTTCCTTAGTAAAATTGGAGTACAATGTAGCCAGCTTGAGCTTACCTTGACAAATAGCATTACCAAGATATTTGTCTAGGAAATCGGTAATCTCTTCGGCGATGCGATTCTCCCATGGTGCGAAATAGTGCCAGAGCATTTGCCATGATAGTTCATTACCCTCACCACCGTTCAGCCCAGTAACGTGGAAAGGGAGAAGTTCTCGAGATATCTCCATACAATAGAATGTGAGTTGCACTCTGGCAATCTCTGTGCTTGTAGGTTCTAGAATTATGTTATCCCGAGAATTCCGTAAGTACGTGTCTGACAATGTATCCTCCATGAATTCTTCAGCAAAATGCTCGACGATGCGATGGAAAGAAATAAGCTCCCAAGCCATGGGAAAGGAGAAGTCTTGCGGGTTAATCCATATCTCATTCCGATTGAGATATCTACGGCCAAAATTGTGTACCAGAACCACAAGCTCATCATCAGAATATGCGGGCAATTCTGTTACCCATTCGGTAAGCCTTGCTGCGTGTAAGGCCATAGCCGATGGGAGGGCGTCACCTAGAGCATTGGTGGTGATTGTGCGAAGAATGATGCCTCCGTATTTCTTTTGAATGTTGTAGAAATCTTTGCAGGTTGTTACGAGTGCGTAGAGAGAGGTAATATCAAGGGCTTCCATGACATCTATCTTTATGTCAATGGGTAGCCATTGAAGAGGGCTTTGGGGCACGATGTTGTTTTGAAAAGCCATTTTCTGTTCGGGATATAACGACGTAAATGGACAGAATTGGCTAGAGAAGTGCGAAAGAGACAAAGAAGAAAACAGACGCCGATTAAATATGAACTCCTTAATGATGAAATTCGGTGTGTGAAGAAATTAAAAAACAATAGTGCCAAATGTAAGCGGCGATAAAAAGTTATTGAATGCACCTGCCGTCAACACGTCGGAAAGTTTAATTTAGCAGTTACGAAGCAAGAAGCAATACGGAAGGAGCGTGCCGCCTTTGTAGCTTCGTTTATGTGAATATGCCCATTCAGATATTAACGTACCTACCTACCTAAAAGGTACCTAGTTATCTAAGGCATCTGAGTCACTTTAGCAACGCTACCTAACACTTTGCAGATTATCCAACTCGTTATAATTATACTTTGAGTATGCTACTTAGGTCATTACCTTAGGTTAGGTACCTAAGTAGTTTAAGAAGAAGGAAAAGGTACTGTTTTCGGCCCAGATATTGTTAATTGCAACTTAGAGTAAATAATATCATTCCTAACTATCTCAAATACGTACCTAAAATATGTGTAAACCTTGGACAGTCAGCAATCTCCTACTTTATATAAAGATAATCAAACCTACCTACTTACAAGTTATTTATACCATTGCTATTAGGATTGTAAACTAACCCGTCCTTTCTCTCATTTAAATACTTCAATAGGTGCCGTAGGTAGTTAGTAGACTGGGTTGGAACAGACATAACAGATACCCACCTTAGGGACAGGTAAATTATATAACCTCAGGAATTGTATACCTCCTGCTTGTTATCAAGCAAGAAAGCAGTTTTATCTATATTCAATAATAACCATAATTATCCCCAATTTCCACCATTGATAGTATTGATAATATGTTTGTTAACCATCAATACTACCAATGTGTCTAATAAATCATCCGCCTTAGGTTTGGTGAGAGTACCTTGGTAGTTCATATAAGGAGCTAAATTTCATTATGATTCCCAAACAGAAAATATACATGGCTAATAATCTAGCTCTAGTATATTTTACCGTCTGTTATACCGCAAATTCCTAAAGTGTTTGGGTTAAAGATCGCATTTTACTATCAAACTTCATTATTACATATTACCAGGTAGGTAGGTAAGTATACGGTGCACCATTAGTTCATATTCGACAAAATAAAAAAGCGGATGAAAATTCGTCTGACTTGGCATTTGTACTATAATTATAGCACTTACAAGCGCTAAAGCCCCCTATAAATATAAGGCATTACAGTAATGCATGCGCTAAAGCTTTAGCGCTTAAAAAAAAAATCTCCGAAGCTAAAATTATACACTATAATTACAGCACCCACAAACACTAAAGCCCTTTATAAATATAGGGCATTATAGTGATACATGCGTTAAGACTTTAGCGTTTGAAAAAAAGTTTCCGAAGCTAAAATTATTTACTATAATTATAGCGCTTGCAAACGCTTAAGCCCTTTATAAATATAAAGTATTACAGTGATGCATACGTTAAAACTATAGCGCTTAAGAAAAAAGTTTCCGAGGTTAAAATCAAATTTATTAAGTTTATTATATCTACCTTAGCGGGAATACTAGGGATTTTATAAGGCTTGCGCAGGCCTTGTACAGGCCTAGCTATAGTGACAAGCCTTGTGCAAGGGTTAGCAAATCTGCAAGGCTTATTTTATGACAAGGCTTATAAAGAGATGTATTTCCCCATACAAATTGGGTGGCTGAATACATCCAAAAGCATTACAGGGCATTTCCACTATTATTCGCTATTATATTCCCCTGTAGCCACTGTTATTTCATTACAGTAGGTTCCCAGTGGTCTTGATGCCTGAGGCCACCATAACCACCTAAGGCCACTAAAATCGCTATATCACCACCCTCACTGTCAAATACCACCTGTAATCCCCTGAGTCCCCTGAGGCCCCTGAGGCCATACAAATCAATTCAATTCAATACCACGGCAAGCACGATATATATACCACAATAGCAAGCAAATGGCTATCGCGTAATACGTAATCTTGTAGACTTGTAATCAAATCAAATGCCCTCGTAGTCAAGTGGTATGTGTGTAATCTCGTAATATGACATTCAACTCTGTAATATGACATGCCTTTCAATTGCATAGGTACTTATAAATAGACTCAAATAGTAAGGACAAGAAGGTATCAGTGTAATAGCATAGCATGTAATTGGTTTTTTTTTTTTTGCGACCGTACAAATATTGTATGTGGTGGCCATATATCCAATCAGGTGTTGTGCTGCAGCATATTACAGGTGGTTCAGGCATCTATTTCTAGTTGATCTAGTGGATTATTTACAGTGGCTTTAGGGGAGAATTACAGGGCACTTACAGCGGACTGCTTACAAGGCTTATTTTGTCTGCAAGGCTTAGATGCCTCGCACGGGCCTTATAGCCTATCTCAGACTTTTAAACCCTGCAGGGGTTGCCTGAAATATAAGGCCTGCACAAGCCTTATAAGGTCCCTAGTATTCCCGCTAAGGTACTGTAGCTATAGTAGTTTTAGCGTATGTAGCCACTATAACTACAGTGGATTTAGTAGTTTTTTTTGAAGTTAAATTAAGGTTTTTAGTGTAGCTGTTTATAGCTATTCTAATGTTAACCAATTTTAGATTTACAAGCCTTATAATTATAATGTATTATTAACTGTAATACTTTATAATTATAAAGTATTTAGTGGGTATATATGCTATAAATATAGTGGATAATTTTAGTCTCGAAGATTTTTTTTTTAAGCGCTATAATTTTAGCGTATGCATCACTGTAATGCACTATAATTATAAAGGATTTTAGCGTTTGTGGGTGCTATAATTATAGTGCATGTGCCAAGTCGGACGAATTTTCATCCGCTTTTTTGTTTTGTCGGATATGAACTAATGTGCCACCGTAGTAAATATCAACAATCTCGGGCTAGATCACAAATCTAACTACGCTACCGAAGAACCACTTTATTTATTTTCAGGGTTTAAATCATATTATTTAGTTGCTAGTCCTTCTAGAGCACTAAATAATGGATCAACTCGCTTTACTAACCCAGGCTAGGCATAAGTTAAATTAGGTGCTGAGGCAAAAGGTAACTTGGGTGAGGATAACCGCATGTGTAACTTCATCAGTTAAGAGGTACCTAATACATATTTTCTTTCTCTAGTAATACTTGAGTTGCGGTAAAAATCACGAAGAGCTGAATATAGTTTCTAGACGGTGACATCGAGAGAAACGTAGGATTTGGTAAAGAGTACGACTCTAGCGGACGTGAAAAATGCAAAATGCACAATGCCGTCCCGACTCCACTCATGCTCCGGAATCTACCCCTTGTAATGTTACCGAAACCCGACGTGTTACTGTATTAAAGACTTACCCACTTCACGTCACGAACACGATCGAGTTACCTCGGCCAGCCGATCTGAGACATCTGTCTCTCTTCTTAAGCCACGCAGTCATCTGCAGTATCACCGTGCTATCTTACACTTGAATTAGAAATAAATATGAAGAGAGCTATCGGATAAAACACTAGCCAGAAGTTACTCCTAGAACTGATCTTAGTCTCAAACTTCATGTTTACGCAGTATCTAAAAATATTATCATCAAGTTCTAATATCTAAAATGGCTTGTAAGTATAGACCTAAACTATCTCGATCATTCATATATATATAGGTAGTCAATACTGATCAATTCTAGTTCCTATAGCCGCGGCCGCTGCAGGCAGCGTTGCCCTCGCGGCCTACATGGACGCTCGCTTTCATATAATGAACGATTTAGCTCAGGGAAGCAATAAGCTGCGCGCTACTTTGCTGTTAAGGCTCATCGCGCAGGAAGCCCGAAAAGGAAAGCTGCTGCTCTATCATACCTTTGAGGATCGCGCCAATACCCCCATGGGTGATCTTACCTTCCTCATATTCGAGGGTCGTGAGTGGACCTTTCGCGAATTCTACCAGGCCCTACAACCGGTTGGCAATTGGTTGCTCAAGGACCTAGGGATTAAGAAGGGCGAGATGGTGGCGCTAAATGGCGTTAACAGCCCCGAGTATCTTCTGCTCTGGCTCGCCCTCGAGGGCATTGGTGCCTCGGTGGCTTTCATAAACTACAACTTGACAGCCGAATCGCTTATTCATTGCGTTAAGCTTAGTGGTGCTCGGTACATGCTTGCGGACTCAGACGTCCGCCATCTCGTTTCCCCCGTTGAAGAAGAACTTACCTCAGCCGACATCCAGACAGTTTACTACAGCCATTCATCTATAAGCGCTCTCACGGACACAGAGCCGCTTCCCGCCTCGCGCCGCGAAGATATCAAGCCCACGGATATAGCATCTCTTATCTACACATCCGGTACCACGGGCAAGCCCAAAGGCACAGTCGTAAATCGGGGGCGCTATGTGCTCCTAAAGCAAGCTGGAGGCAAACTAGGCGTCAAGCCCGGCGTTAGGTTATATACCTGTCTCCCGCTTTATCATGCTTCCGCCCAGGGTCTCGCCTGCGCCTCGTGTATCCATTCAGGAAGCACGCTAGTTCTATCACGCAAGTTCTCTCATAACACGTTCTGGCCCGAGGTCCGCTCGTCGAAAGCCACGATCATCCAATATGTGGGCGAATTATGCAGGTATCTGCTTAACGCGCCGCCCAGCCCTCTCGACACCGAAAACAACGTACGTATAGCATACGGCAACGGTCTGCGGCCGGATATATGGGAGGCGTTCCGGGAGCGCTTCGGTATTGAAGTCATCTACGAGTTTTACGCCTCGACGGACGGGGTTGGGTTGCTTAGTAACTCGAGCCGGAATGAATACTCGCGGGGCGCGATAGCTATAAGAGGTCCGCTATGGCATTTGCTCAACGGCGGCGGCGAAGCACGTGTGCGCATCGATCCGGACACGCAGGATATCGTGCGAGATGCAAAAGGCTTTGCGATTCGGTGCAAAACCGATGAGCCGGGAGAGACCATCCATCGTATCGATCCGGCGAAGACTGCAACACCAGTGTATCACGGCAACCCACAAGCCGGCCAGAAGCGGTTGGTCACAGACGTGTTTAGCAAAGGGGACCTATGGTTCCGAACGGGTGACGCGATGCGTTTAGACGCGGAGGGCCGGCTGTTTTTCGTGGATCGCCTTGGCGACACGTTCCGCTGGCGTTCAGAGAACGTGTCGACAACCGAAGTCGGCGACGTCGTAGGCGCATTCCCACAAATTGCCGAGGCGAGTGTGTACGGCGTCCTAGTTCCCAACGCAGACGGGCGAGCTGGGTGCGCGGCTATCGTTGCAACAGAGGGAACTTCTATCAAGGCTGAGGATATAGCTAGTGGGAAGGGCTTGGATCTAAAGGGGCTGGCAAAGCATTGCTTTGAAAATCTCCCGCGATACGCGGTGCCGATATTTCTAAGGGTCGTCAAGCAGCTTGAGTACACGGGCACGATGAAGGTCCAGAAAGGACGCCTGAGGTCTGAGGGGATCGATCCGGAGGCCATTGAGAAGGCGGCGGAGGAAAATGGAGAAGAAGCCAATGCGATTTATTAGCTACCTCCTAGCGAGAAGGCATATGTTCCGTTCAGGAGTAAGGACTTACAGGAGCTTAAGGTTGGTAAGGTCCAACTTTGATCGTATAACTATTAGATTTACAGTACACTATAAGATTCTTGTAGAATTAGGTAAGATAAATAAGTCTACCGTTTCTAGGTGTAAGGATAGTATCACGAGGTAATTAAAGGTGTTAGAGACGAGTAATTTTCCAGTCAGGCGAAGTCCTTAATACATTAGGTAGAATAAAATGTTCGGTAGTAAAGCAGATACTTTATTCATCTTATTAGTGACTTAGGTATACGGTATAAAAGGATCGTATTGATGTCCAAGCGAAAAAGAGCAGAAACACCATGACAGCTCTACCTCAGGGTTGAAAGGCAAATTATAGCGTCCAATAAACCTTGACCCCAACCTTTTTGACGTCATTCTTCCATCCTGGAAATCTTGCATGACCCCAGACAGTGATCATATCCCCAAATTTCAAGTTCCTAACGAACTCGCCGTTACCTGTACCTGATCCCCGGCCAACTTCAGTTAAGCGTTCCGTCTCCAAGGATTCCGGATCAATGTTGTCATCCCAGGCCCACTCAACGTGGTGGTGTTGTAATTCACCTACAGCATGTTTATTGCGCTGTATCTCATGGTTCTTATCAGCAAGTAAATCATGATGGTATCGTGGACCACCAGCGCCGCCTTGGTCCTGTAGTACTGAGGGCCAAATTGGGCGTATCGCGCATGTTGGGATATCTAAATCATTGGACTTATCATTGTTTTTCTGATCTGGACAATCCGGTAGGCCTATTATATAGTCAAGTAAGTAACACAGGTTATGTCTCCAATATGGCCTAGAATTTCTCTCACATTCGTTGTTCTTATCAAAACGCTCTAACCCCGCCTCAAACCACGTAAAGGAGCTGCGATAAGTACCATGATCGCCATGGTGACTACTCCAACCTTGATCGCAACTCTCAATATCGAAAACAACTTTTCGAAATGGATGTTCTAACGTGGGAAGAGGACCCTCTGCAAATTTTTGCAGATCAGACTGAGGGTATTCCTCCTCGAGTTGCTTAGGAGTAGCTTCTATTCTCCACAGATCTTGGCTGGAAGGTGACCATTTAGTAAGCCCAAGCGGCTTAGTACGAAGCTATAATCACACGTCAACTGGGAACAAGAACAAGATGAAGTTAAGATTCTTATGAAGCTTTACTGACCAGAAATTGGTTTTCTCCTTCACGTGCACCGTGGATGGAGATCCGACCTGATTCGGAATCGTCATGGTCGATGATAGTAGAAGAACAAACCCAATACTCGGCATTGTCTAAGATCATATCGACAAGTTCAAGAGGTAGATTCCTAGCCTTTAACAAAATATCTTTCACTTCGGTTATATCTTCTGGCGTAACCTCATAAGTGCTTGTGAAGATTCGCGGCTTTTCACGTGGGGGCTGGTGCCGATTCAAGTTTGGTATCAGAGGCCGTCTTCTTCCCCTAGGGTTGAACAGGATGGGCGGATTTGGAGTATCCATAGTTCTATTACGAATACTGAGGAACTGAAAACTAAAGATTATTGAAATTAAGAGAAATAAGATAATGTCAACAAGGTCAAACATGTTAATCAAAGAAAGAAGGAAAGGTTAATAAGGTTAATAAAGCGGTTTAGTGCCTATCCTACCGCAGCCTAGAATAAGTGGAGATGGGCAGAAGTACAGCTATAAGAAAACTGGAACCTCTCGTATAATTGAGTATGTAAATACGTCAAGTGCTTCGGGCGAATTAATATATTTATGTCACTAAGAAATGGGATAAATTGTTATACAAGCCATTTTAATATCAATCATTACATGTGTAGCGTAATACATTGCTTATATACATGATAGGTATATCCAAACGGATTGCATCCATTCAATTCTCATACCTCCTGGTAACACAAACTTCTTATATGAGTCAAATCAATATCACGATAGATGCTACCAAGAGGCGTGGGCATTACGTATGTCATTTCGTGACATCATAAGTTTTTTTTTGAAGGAGCGTATTTTATCTTATCGATCATGCTAGTGCTTATAGCTTAAAATTTGGAGAAAGCGGGGGGGAATTCATGTTCTAGAAGTCCAACTAAAAGAAAAAAAACACGTGAGATAGTGCAACACTATTCAATTTACGCAAAGCTAAGCTTTTAATCTCTTCAAACTTGGATCATGGATCTTGGAAATGATATCGAAGCAGCTGTCCATTCTGGGCCTCTATACTTTCCTATTATTCAATAAGTCATCATGAGAATCCGAGGTCATAGCGCGGTAGACCTGCGACGCGTCTCTACCATTTTACAGCCCATCATCATCAACGCGCGACCTCCCACCTTCTTACTCCGAACCCGGCCTTCGCCATCAGCATCTCTCAAAGCTCCCTCTCTGCAGTATGGCGCGCGATTATTACATTCTCAGCCCCCCAGGCGTGCTAGCACAAGCCAAGGAGAAGCCTCCAACCCTGCTATGGCATTTCCTTGCCTCGATGCGATAGAGATACGATCGGCGTCGTTAGAAGCGAAATCTCTCTCGACGGGGCCGGAACCCGCATATACCACCGGAGCCACCGAGATATTTCATTGTGAAGACCCTCTCTCGTTAGACTGGGGAGGGACACTGCCGAAATTCGATGTCGCATACGAAACATGGGGAAAACTAAACTCAGACAAGTCCAATGTGATATTACTACATACGGGTCTATCTGCTTCATCTCATGCCCACTCGACCGAGAGCAACCTTCAACCTGGATGGTGGGAGAAGTTTATCGGCCCAGGGGCCTGTCTCGACACGGATAAGTATTTCGTGATATGTACAAATGTCATTGGAGGCTGTTTCGGATCTACCGGGCCAAGTAGCATTGATCCTGCTGACGGTCAGAGATATGCCACTCGGTTTCCAATACTTACGATGGAGGATATGGTGAGGGCACAGTTCCGGCTCTTAGATCATCTAGGTGTTGAGAAACTATACGCAAGCGTCGGATCTAGTATGGGAGGAATGCAGTCTCTGGCAGCCGGTGTACTGTTTCCTTCAAGGGTGAGCCGTATAGTATCCATCAGCGGCTGCGCACGAAGCCATCCCTACAGTGTTGCAATGCGCCACACGCAGCGGCAAGTGCTCATGATGGACCCAAATTGGAATCGCGGGTTTTACTATGGCAAAGTCCCGCCGCACGCCGGGATGAAGTTAGCCAGGGAGATCGCTACGGTAACATATCGGTCCGGACCCGAGTGGGAGCAACGGTTTGGTCGTAGGAGAGCTGACCCGACAAAACCGCCTGCATTATGTCCAGATTTCTTAATTGAGACATATTTAGACCATGCGGGCGAGAAGTTTTGTCTGACATATGACCCAAACAGCCTCTTATATGTCAGCAAGGCCATGGATCTGTTTGACTTAGGTCTTGAAAATCAACAAGCAGCTACCCAACGACGAGCCGAACGTGAGAGGCTTATTCAGTCTGGATCAACCTCCGAAGAAAATGACCGGTATTGTAGCCTCACATTACCCGATATGCCATATTCTGAGCAACCTGGAACGTACGTGGATGATTCCAACTCACCCATACCAGGCGACTCCCGTCCCCCTCAAGATCTGATTGAAGGTTTATCACCGCTGAGGGATACCCCGACTCTGGTGATGGGCGTAGCAAGCGACATCTTATTTCCCGCTTGGCAGCAACGAGAAGTTGCTAATGCTATCCGCCTCACTGGAAATAGAAACGTAACGCATGTAGAGCTAAGCGAGGAACAGAGTTTGTTCGGCCACGACACATTCTTGCTAGATCTAAAAAATGTTGGAGGCAATATTAAAAACTTCTTAGGGTAGAATACATCTACTAATAGATGGCCTTGTACTTGGCGCAGACTTACGTCACGCTCGAGTTCGAGATTTGCATACGATGGCGCAGAGGTTTTCATAAATTCAAGGCATCAACGGCTAAGAATGCCGGTGTGTTACACCGTGTCTGCCTAAATACCTAATATATATACATCTATACCTATGGTAGGTATAATAGATGTGTAATAGGTACTTGTGTTGTCATAAATCTTAAAACCCAGGTACTTTGGAGTGTGATGAAAGTGACAGCCCATTTTCAATACGTGCAAGAAGAAGCAAGTCGAGGGTTAATAGATATTACCAATAAGTAATAAGATCTAAGAAGTACAGTGCAACCAACTTCTATCTATACTGCATATAATTATGAGCAGTCATATTGATACATACATGTAGTTACTTAGGTTAGGTTTCTTGCCTTTTATAAATTATTAACGAATTGACAGATGATCGTGAAAAGCACATACCTTATATTGACTCATAAACTATAGCTGGTCTGATCTCTACATTACATATGTACATAACGCAGTCTCCAAGTCATAACGTCTCCTTCCTAAATTTTATATGTCGATTCCATATTCTTCTCGTCCTTCTTTATCATTTGAGAGAATATTTATAATCCAAACCCTAATACTACCCGGGTGATGCCTTAAGGTTCTACGCAAACTGCTATATCGGCCTCACTAACATCGGACTTTCCAATAACATATATCACACGACCTCTTAAGTATCTAGGTAACTTGCTCAGTCTGGTGATCCCTTTCTGCATCTATAGCGCCATAATTAGTAGAGTAAGAAGGTTTAGCGGATCATACCTCTCAGAAGAACTTTGGCAGGCGCTTTATCTTGCAAGTATACGGTATACCCTCAAAGTCTTGCACTTATTATAAATTCAAGTTACAATCGTATCATATCATATCATACCATTCAATTTCTATAGGCAATAAAAATGGCCACCGTCGACGTATTTGCCGTTGGCAATAGCAAAGCCGCGCAGCTTCAACACATAAATTCCTATAACAGATTCACTATTGCTACCCTTGGAGTTAAGAGCCGAAAGCTCAAGCGCGTTGTAACATCCGAGGATGGTTCAGAATGTAGAGACCTCCTTAAAAAGGGAAGAGCCTATCTACAATGGTTAAATACTATTGAGATGACCCCTGAGATTAAGGAGAAGACCACAACATCCAAAATGCTCCAGCTAATTATAAACAACCCCGACCTATTCTATCCCGAAGATATGAAGAATAGTGCTGGGGCTTTGTATGAAAAGTGGGAGTCTGAGAACTGGGGTGCGGACGAGGTGGTCTCGGAAGACGCAGCCGAAGAAGAGGTGATTCCTAAAGATGGAGAGGAAGTTCCTATTGTTCAAAGCCGGCTACCGCCACCAAACCATCCCATTTATGGGGAACATGGTATCATGTACGGGATCCTGGTCGCTCGTGGCCCTAAAGGTAAAATATCCTACCAGCTGAACCCACATGTGCCTAAGAAATCAGCCAAGGTGTTTGGGCATAACAATATTCCCGTCGGAAGTTGGTTTGCTAACCAGTTGGTTGCGCTTCATCGTGGTGCTCACGGCGCTCGAATGGGAGGAATTGCCGGGTAAGTGGCATTACAAATTCATTACCCCTATTCTTACTTTCTCTTCGGAACCGAGGTTTCTTAATTAATCCACCCAACTGGTTGAATTTTCCCACAGCTTTCTCAATATCCATCCGAACAGGCATTCACTGACAATCACTGAAGTTCTACTGAAGCAGGTACTTATTCCATCGTGGTTTCTAACGTATATGACGACCTCGACAACGATCAAGGTGACATACTCTACTACTCCGGCTCAAACAGTCACAAAAATGAAGATCCTTTTCATTCAGTACCGTCCAGCGCTGGAACAAAGGCCCTGAAGGCTTCGCTACAGAAAAGACACCCCGTGCGCGTCTTACGTTCCGGTGGGCCCCATGCATCCAACAGCAATCGCTGGCTCCCCGAATGTGGTATCCGATACGACGGGCTATACCAAGTTATCGGTTGGCGAGAACGTAAGAACAAAAAAGGTAAGAATCCATAGTGCAATGGAGATGCAGCTAACTTTCGGATAGGTGGACTTTATGAGCAGTTTCGATTACGTAGAGAGCCCGGTCAGCCACCCCTGGAAGATCTCTGTCGTACGTCACCGACAGCGCAACAGAAACGCGACTTGAGTAGATCCAAGCAAGGGTATTAAAAGAACAACCTGATGCCCACTAGTACAACCTGCAGTTATCATGATAGAAGTTTTCCCTTGTCGAACATACTTTTCGCAATAAGCTCGAACTCGAAATCTCGCCTGTACGATGATACTGCGAGGTCGTTACATGTATTGGCCCTTTGTCTTTACTTAGGACTGAATTTCCTATGTTAGGTACCTAAAGATATAGCTTCCAGACTTGCTGATATACGATGGAATTCTTGGTAGTGTGTGAGGAAAGGGAATTGGTGTAAGAGTCAGGATTGTGTGCTACTAGGCCGAATTCATGAGTTTGAGTTTTCAATCTGACTCAATAAACTCTATACAATATACAATTTTGGTACTATAATATTTCCCCTTCGGCTGACACGTATAGGCTTATAAGAATTATATCCGTGGACGTTCATGATAGCACCATCCAAAAGCAGTAACTCCGTATTTCATCCCCGATAGCTACACCCGTCCCCCCGTCAATCACCGTTAATCCCGTCTGCTCCGTTCACATTCTTACTAGTGTCATCTACAAAGCAGCGGAAATAATGCCACCCACCACCGCAACTACACGGTTTTAAGAAACTCCGTGTGGAAACCACTATTATATATTCCCATATGAAAAAAAAGCATGATTTGATTATGAAGCGTAAAGTTATCAAGGTAGACGGCGAAATTGGTCGCGTATGTGTAATCAGCTTACACATAGCAGCCCCTGATTACAGAATGCGGTGCCATGACGAACCTTAGACCTTTTTACCTAGATCGATAACCTATCACATGACATGACGATGAATTACAACCTCTAATGTTGTGCAGGAAGAGGGGAGAATACGGTAGGGTAATAATCTGCTAGGCGTAGATAAATAGGAGGGCCATCGCCGAAATAAAATCCATAGCTCACATCAAACTTCTCAGAGTCAAGACACCAGCAAGCTCAAAACCATAACCCCTTTATCCATATAGTTATATAAACCTACGAAACAATACCATAATGGCCAAGTACAACAAGCTCGCTGGCAAGCACGTCCTCGTCATCGGCGGCAGCAGTGGCATTGGCCGCGGCGTAGTCGAGGGCTCCATCGAAGCCGGCGCCCGCGTCACGCTGTCCGGCTCTTCGGCCAAATCCGCCGCGACAGCCGTAGCCGAAGTCCAGGCCGCATACCCTACGGCACAAGTAGCCGGGGTGGCCTGCGACCTATCCAAGGACTCAGTAGAAGCGGACCTAGAGGCGCTATTCATCGAGGCCAAGAAACCGCAGCCCATCGACCACGTCGTTCTCACGGCGGGAGACGCGCTGCTGATCGCGGATGTGCAGGACATCACGCTGGAGAAGATCCGGCAGGTAGCGCGTTTCCGCATGGAACTGCCCTTGCTGCTGGGCAAGGTGACCGCGCGCCACCTCGCCAGGAGCAACGAGTGCAGCCTGACGATCTCCACGGGGGGCATTGCCGACCGGCCGAGCCCCGGGTGGAGCATGATCGCGTACGTGGGGGCCGGTCTGACGGGGCTCGCGCGCAACTTAGCCGTCGATCTCAAGCCCGTCCGCGTCAACGCGGTAGAGCCGGGGTTCGTGATCACGGGGCTCTGGGGGGCGATGGGGTTGACGGCCGAGCAGTTGGAGGCGCAGGCTAAGGCTGTCGCGGACAAGGTCCCGACGGGGAGGGCGGCGACGGTGGAGGATGTCGCGGAGGCGTATTTGTATTTGATGAAGGATAGGAATGCGACGGGGGAGATTGTGAAGACTAGGAGCGGTAGTAATTTGGTTTAGAGTGTTGTGCTATGAGGTTTTTGGGCTTATCTAAGGGGAAGGAATATTGTTAAGGGGTAAGGTATACTCCTGAAAGCTACCTGTTACACATCAGTTGCTTCTTAAATGCCTACCTACCTACGTAACTTCGGGTATTAGTTCTAGCTTATAGCATCGATTCAACCGTTTTCTAGTATCTCTACTATCTATTGACTTGGCAACGATGACCTCAGAGTGTATAAATTTACAATAGAGACAGCGAGTGGTATCCTAATAAGCAGATTTGCGTTCAGCCATAGGTGTGTCAGCCTTTCTGGTAATAGTCACGACATAGCCCCCTTTTCAAGATGCCTTAAGCAGCAGGGCCAAGTGCATGCTTGTATCAGTACAAAGGGTTCACGTTCAAAATTCACCTCTTCATATGTCTTAATAACAGGAGAGAGAATAATACGATAAAGATAATTATCTACTGAATCAATTTTCTTCATGCATTTTAGTCTATCCAGACATAAATTGTGAGAAGTGCACACGTTACAATATATTAACTGAAAGGATTGCATGCAAATAGGTAGAGCATCGCCAAAAGTAACAATAATCAAGACAAATAATCTAATAGATGCCTAAGAGGTTCCTTTCTAAAAGAAGAATGACCACCGCAGCAAGAAAAAATCAACAATTATCAAGAAAAATTAATGCGTAATTGTTGACATTATCCATGAGAACTGCAAAAGTTAAACTCCGGTACGGGGAATCGAACCCCGAGCTCCTCGGTGAAAACGAGGTATGTTAGCCGTTACACTATACCGGATACGACTTGCAGTGTTGCATGTCAATTTCTTCACAAACTGTATCTATATAGCAAGCTGTATTTAGTGTGAATTCGGCAAAAAGCCGGCAGTAGCTCTAGTTTGTTGTTGGTCACACAGCCGCATGTTACTAACCTAGACAAAGAGCATCTAAGCGCAAGTTCAGGTGTAAATAAGTTGTTCCACAAGATTAAATTCAAAGATGTGAGAAGGGATTAGAACAGCTTCATTGAAATCAAGAATAATAATCTTAAAAACTAAAAAATAAAAATAAAAATATTATGCTAATAAATGAGGCAAGGTAACATCCTTATTGTCTACCTACCCCTTAGTTCCTTATACGTGAACGTTAAAAAAAAAAAGCGCATTGATGTCCTGAACAAACAGAATAGACGTCATCCCGGAATCCAAGGTACAATACAATACAATTTACAAGGCAGACAGCTAAGCAGGCACGCAAATATGCCTACCCTGAAATATATATAATAGATACCTATCTTCCCATCAAATCTTACAGAGACTCAAACTAAAATGCGCATTACATTTAGTAAAGCATCCCACCTTTCAGCAGCGAGATTCTCATACCAATCAACTCATCGCCAAATAATCCCAAGTGAGATACGTAGACGCACGATGGCGACAATAACACTCGATAAGCCCAACATACCGGTCAAGCTCCCCGAGGGCCTCTCTGAAGAGAAAATCTTGGGGTTCTCGCCTTTTAATGTAAGATGACTTTTTCTCATTGCTCTTATATTGACTACTTCGTACCTCATTATGAACTTAAATACTAATGAATGCCAAAAAGAACTGGCTCACCACCCTAACCCACTCCCTCTCCCTCCAGCACACCAATGCCGCACACCCCTTCCACCCAGACCCGTATACTCTCCGCGGCATCACAATCCAGAGCTTCGACCTATTCGGCCGAGCTCCGCGTCAGCGCCTCGGATTCTTGAAACTCGTAGCCGAGATCAAGAACAGCGCCGGCGAGACCTTACCGGGTAGCGTATTCCTGCGCGGGCCGAGCGTCGCCATGCTTGTCATGCTAGTACCGGACGACGTACCCGCGGGCCACGAAGACGATGAGCGGTACGTAGTGCTAACGGTGCAGGCCCGCATTCCAGCCGGCAGTCTAGCATTCGTCGAGTTACCTGCGGGCATGGTAGACGAGGGGGGTACCTTCGCGGGCACCGCAGCGCAGGAGATTAAGGAAGAACTTGGGCTTGAGATACCCGCTTCGGAACTACGGTGCCTGAGCGACTTGGCTGCTACTACTAGTCCTATCAAAAGTAAAGGAAATGAAGATGCAAACGAAGATGAGAATGGAGGCGAGGGTGAAGGCGACGAGAACCTGCCTCAAGCTATGTATCCCTCAGCTGGTGGATGCGACGAACATATTCCGATATTCATGCATGAACGGCGGGTGCCGCGTGAAACCCTTAAGGAATGGACCGGCAAGCTGACGGGGCTCCGGGATCACGGGGAGATGATCACGCTTAAGTTAGTCCCGATGAAAGATCTGTGGAGAGAAGGCGCGCGCGACGCGAAATGTCTTGCTGCGGTGGCGCTATGGGAAGGACTACGGAGGGAGGGTAAACTGTAAAGCATAATTAAGGCGTTCTGGGTATGGAGGCGTTTATGACAAGTTCTATACTTAGCCAAGTATAGCAGCATGTCATTTCATAGTTAGTCGTCGGGAGGCGGCTTAGGAGCATAATAATAAAAAAAGAAATAGCCACTACTACGTCGGCCATAAGACCGCGCAACAGGGGAATTAATGTTACCTGTATTTCTCATATTTGGCAGTATCTCTAAGCAATGCCTCCACCTTCTCTACCGTGGCCGCATCGTATACCTCTTCAGGCTTCTCAGTTCCTCGTAGAACTTGTTTGTCGTGCCTGATGCCCTCTTCCTTAGTCATGCAAACGAGGTCCGAAAGCTTGACGTTCGATGACTTCTGCTCGTCAGCGCCCTCCCCAATTCTTATCAGTATGGAGTCAGCCGGCCTTCGCCATCTCATTAAAGTCAGACGAGTTGTGAGTCCGCTTATGGCGCTTCGGCCCTTAAAGACCTCTTCGACTAGGAAAGCCATGTCTCCTGTTGTGATGGGTATTCTTAGGCCCAAGGTGATGCTGGGGTCACCACTAGTCATATAGCGGAGGAGCTTCTCTTCCCCTCCCTGGACTGCGGCAAGGAGACCCTCGTACATTTTCTCGCGGCCCTTTGCCGGGACGTAGTCGAGTGGATATCCTACATAAGTATTAGCGCGTATATAGAAGACTATAGCATGATAAGTACTTACCAGTGACAGAGAGTATAACATGATTCGCTGCTGTATATCCAAACACGGCTGGCATAGTGCCTAAAACCGGCAGTATCCGCACTCTAAAATCTGGCAGTACTCCTAGATCACCTACTTTACCCTTCTGAAACTCATCCTCGGGGAGTGGGAGCAATTCCGCCTTTCCTTCGCCTGTCTTCTCAGTCGAGTACACAGTTGGGATTCCCTTGGTAACTCCAAGCAGTTTTAGGCGTCGCCGGGTAGATCTCGACAGACCGTCGTCGGTACTAGTTCCGATATCACCCACGATAATTCGAGTTGGATCACTCTTACATCCTGCCCCCATAGATGATATTACCGGCAAGTTATGATCGTGGCAGTATTTTAATAAGGCAACTTTTGTATCAATGTTGTCAATCGCATCTACAACATAATCAGGCTTCTGTCCATTTTCCCACGAGTCCAGTAGTTTATCAGCTGCTTCGTCCCAAAACTTTTCTTGCCGCAGATCGAAATGTACCCATGGGGTTATAGCCAAAAGCCGTCGCTTTAGGCATTGAACTTTTGGAGTGCCCACGTCGGCCAGCGTCGCAACGGCGTGGCGGTTTAGGGAGCTTAGCGTTACCTGGTCGAAATCGATCAAGCGAATCTTGGAGACACCCGATCGCGCTAGAGCCGCCGTACAATGCGATCCCACACCTCCACAACCAACTATTATAACGAAGGCATTTCGTAGCTTTTCGAGACCCTCCGGCGTGAGGAAAACGCGGTTACGTGCAAGCTGTTCGAGTATCAGTTCGTCGTCATAGTCACCAGCTTGTGCCCGTTTCGCGAGAAGTTGATTTCGGATGTCTTCTTTATCAGTTGTCGAGGTGTCGCCAAAGCTAGTAGGCTACCTTGCGCTGGTCAGTATACAATTACTATACATAGATTAGGTAGGTATTCAAGAGAACAACTCTCACCTTTCCCTCATCGAGCAACGAAGGGATAGATTCCTTAAGCTGATTGATGCGCTCCTTTTGTTGTAGACGTTGATACCCTAGGATTGTCCCCGCGACGACAGCTCCAGAAGCAATAGCTGTTGCTGCTAGCTGAATCTTGGAGTTGACTGTCGTCCGCTCCAAGAATGATGCCATATTGCTCTCGTGTGATTCTCTTTAGCTTATTTAGGAGATGTTCCAAGCTAAATCAGGTATTAATTTAAAGTGTTAAAGTACCTGACCTATCTTTATATCCATGTTAAATGATATATATTAGGAGATATACTGCATACATCCCACCAACATTAAAGTTGAAAAAAATAAAAATTTTGGGGTTTGAGAAAATTTAGAATGACGAAATCTCGGCGCAGGTACCAAGTCAATTAGGCACCTAATGTACCTAAGTTAATTCAGATAATTCACATAGGTAATTCAATAGTGGGCTGGCGGGGTCTAGAAAACCCCACACGGGTATCTGCACATCAACATCTGTGCATCTTAAAGCTTTGCACTAAAGCATCAAAGAAACACCTTGGCTGCCAAGAATATCCAAGAATATCCAAGCAAATCCAAGCCATACTCATAGGCAAGCATGAAGTGTCAAGTTCTTAGTTTGAGCTTAATATAACAGCAAGCCCCTAATTTTCTTATCTTTTAACTTCAAATTATATATTCGCAGTTCTCTTTTACAATTACATATAATCTTTTACACCAGCCCATATATTATGTATCTTAATAGGTACACATCTAAGTGAATCCTCTTAGAATTAAGAGTGACGCCAAGTATCTTTACAGTGTAAATCCAAAATCCCATATGAGATGGAACATATCCCCTAAAGACCCCCTCCCTTTACCTGACCCATCGTCTCCGGGCTACTGTGGAATTCGCGGGCGCGGAGGGAGCCACGACGGTTGAGGCCATCGAAAGCAGGTTCTGATCACCAAGGTTGTTCTGAGGATATCGCGAGTTGAATCCAACAACATCTCGTACTGCCTGGAAAGTCGTCTTAGACAACCGAAGCTTTTCAGTCGCTACGGACCAGGCGACACCCTCGGAACAGGGAGGGGTCGTAAGGGAGCCGGAATACCGTTGGAAGCTGCCCGCCTTCAGCTGTGTGACCAACTCCGACATAGCCAGAGGCTGAGTCTTCGTCGAGGTACCGGGGGTGGCAATTTCTCCGATGGAAGAGAAGATGGTTTCGAGTAGAGTTGATGGGGCTCTTCGGGGGTGGAGATGAAGTTGAAGAACTGTCGGGGAGTCTACAAGGTCGACGTAGATACCGATCACAGCAATTTCCTCTTCCTCCGTGGTGAATACCATGTGCATTTCCACTATTACACATATTAGCCAAGTAACATGAACCCGAGGTAATATCTACTTACTCGGCATGCTGACGCCATCGTCAAGATGTTCGCTGGGGTGATGGAAATGAAATTGCTCTAATGTGTAGTTCTTTCCCTCGAGGACAAATGTCCCTCCGACGTCTTTCATCACAACCTCCACTGTCGACCCGAGGTTCTCAAAGGTTGCGCCTTCTGTAACGTCTGGAACGTGTAACTCGATGTCGGATGCCGGGATGAGGGTGAATTGTCCATCAGCCATATTGATTGGGGACTGGTTGTTGCCCGTCGAACATAATCCATTGGCGGCAGTGTCCAGCTGAGTCCAGAGAAGAGGTCCTACCAACCCGGTATACCCAAATGTCGAGATCGGTACCTCCTCTCCCTCTGCTCTTCGGTCGAGATGCGTGTGTGACCCGCAAAAGCCTAATACCGGCGTCACAGACGCGGCTAGGAAAAAAAATCGAGAAATGACAGACGGCATACTGACTAAACAACTAAGAAACGAATATCTTGAATAAGAGTGAAAGACCGAAATGGGTAACGAGAGAAAATGCTATAAAAATGCGAAAAAGGCTTCCGGAGCGCAGTAAGAATTATATCGTAAAGAAGCGAAAAGAAGAAGAATGAGCGAAAAAACTCCGAAAGACTGGTTCCCGCCTGGGCCACATCTGAGGGATGATGAGCATCGCCCCAATATATATTCAGTAGGATGCAGCCACTGAATAAAATTACTCTGCTTATTTCCTTGGCCGAAACTTCGACCTCGAAGGGGTAGTCGATATTATTGGCATTGTAACAACATCGCATCGAGGATAGTAGGCCTGTATACCGAAACTACGGGTAAGTATCTCATCACTCAAATCCGGACTTCATGGAGCTACTCAAGGTACCCCGTGGAGTTCAAGGTTCAACGAGCCAAGGAGAGTACATATCGTCAAGACCCCAGCGAGATATGAGAGTCCTGAGCGTAGTTCAGGCCCCGAAATGATCAAGTTACCATAATACATAGGCGATGACATGAGATAGCCAAGCAGGCCAAGGCCAGTCTACGACAATATCTCACACGGAAAGCCACGCAGGAGTTGCCAAGTGAGGCTTCTTTAAATCGCTAACTCTTGTAAGATATACCCGAAAGTAATGGTGGGCGCCCGTCTCTCTTGGCCAACGTTTCGATGGCTTACTAGAGGCAGGTATGTAAGCGAATTCTCTGGGACCCTGTAAGCCCCCCCATAAGCATCGACTTTTGGTAGCCTACGTCGACCCTTACGTCGCTCTACCAATAGTAATGAGTCTAGAGTGCTATCAAATTTTAGCTTACTTACCTACTTACACCGCAACTGGAATTTACAGGAATATCGAGTCATTAATGCCCAGAACCCACGTGGTACATTATTCAACAAGGCGTACTGTAATAGCAGTTCAGAACGACGTACCTTTCCCATCGCGGGAGCTAATCAACTAGAGTAAGCGGGCGAAGAAACGAGACGAATAATAACTCCAAAGCATAGGTAAACACAAAGATAATTATCTGCTCCCAAATCAATCACAAATCAGTCATTACTATTTTATTTTATTTGATTAAATTTTCTAATGTCTAACTACTGGTACTCTAGTACTTACCTCGGTGCTCAGGAGCATAAGCGGCCCATTACCTGTTCTTGGATAATTATCAGGCCACCCTACCCCTTTCAAAATCTTGGTGTTCTTGGCCCACCAGTAGGACTGTTGGTTGGTGTGATAATATACCTAGAAATTGCATTAAGAAGGTGATTTTGCAACCAGACACCCTCCCAAAAGGCACAAGAGATCAGGATCGGATCTTTCTAATTACAGTACTATACATTCCTGTTTAAAATACACATCGTCGCTCTTTTATTTTTGCAATTCGTTTTTCAGCATCATTAAAATTCCGATGACTCCGGAGAGTACGGGGTCTAGTAGTGCGTAGTGCTCTTTTTCGCGAGCCAATGAGAATGACACATTATCCCCAGAGTCCCTGAATATTGGCAACAATGAACTAGTTATGTTCTAGACCATCAGCTTTTTTATATTCTGGAGAAGGACAGGGGTTCGGTAGTCTATTCTTTCTGTTAGCGCGCACCTTTTTATTTTTTCGTCTCAAGTTGAGCGTTTGAACTCCTGGCGAACATCAAACAAGACATTTTTGTATCGAACCAATTAACAATTACAAAGTTACGTGATTTTTTGTAAGTTAGCTAACTCCTAGTTACGACGACTTTATTTGATCTACATGCATGCAAACAATTATATCAATAGCATAAACTGGAAGACATCAAGATACCATGGAAGTTAACATGTTCTCCATGTTGACAAAAATATCAAAATAATACTATTATTTTAATAATACACTATCCCAAATGATCTATTATTATTTATACCGAAAAACGTCTCCCTCGCCCGTAGGAAATCCGGAATGCGGCGCCTAACCTCGGATATGTCTAGTCTTGTCCAAAGGAAGCTTTAGTCGGTCTCGCCGTTCAGTATGACTAACCTTCCTATATTTCATTAGTCAAATAATCTTGGCTCCCGATGCCTGCCTACCCGTACGCTCGGCGGAGGGAGCGGACTCTAGCCAAGCTCTCCTATAAATCCGTGTCTCTATTGCCAGGTTAAGATGTCTGGATTCACTTGGCATCAGGGGCTAAGGGGAACTTCCTACCATCACAACTTATTCTTCATGAGCTCAAGTTAAGATGACAGGCGGGAACTCGTCGGTGCGACTACCAATATTCAGGGGAACTTTGGCTCGATATTGTCGTCGTCACCTTTGTCGGCAAAATCTAGATCCCTTTTTTAGCTTCAAACAGGAAACCAGCATAATTAATAATATTTAGATTTCACTAGGTTAGGTATCTCGTATAATGTCGGAAATTAGGCCGTCATCATGTGCTCCTGAAGAAAATAATACATAGGGCGTTGCTTCACCCAGTTGACGGGTTTTCTTAAACGAACTAACCACTAATGAAGACACGGCTGACTAACGAAATATTGTTGCGGACACAGCCTAGAAGCCCGATAATAAATAGATATAAATGACTAATAGTCTCTAATAGAAGGTAAGCAACATCTTTAATTAAATATATATGCCTTATAAGTCCTCCTAGCTACAAGTCATCTAGTATTAGTTCCTAGTTATAGTTAACTCGAACAACTAACATTTCTTCTACTTACAAAGCATAACCAGTTATAATTAAACTAAAGTTGTCGTATATTTACCGAATCCGTTTTGAACACAATATCCTGTTTTATTCGCATATGTTGTTCCCCGTGTTCTAAAATTGGATAATAGAAAATGTATTACATACGTAAGCGTCAAGAAAAATGCTGACTCCCTTACCTTCCTTACCTACCTTACCTACCTCCTAACCTATACATACATAAGCCAAGCTGGGTACTCAGAATCCCGAAGCAGTGAAACACTTAATCAAAGCGCCACAGACCTCGTGGTCTTGTCCATATGATGTGATAATTGTAGCAACAAACCTACCCATGCTGGAGATACTAGTAAGATGTTTCTCCTTACCTTAGGTAACCTAACCTATCTACCTCCTAAAAGCAGAATACTAGATCCATTTCTACGTACAGAATCAGATAAACCTCACAACGCAACCCGTCCAACCAAGTAACTCTAAAACAGAAGCAAATCATCAAAGTATCGTTTTATTCAAAGTTTATTTCCAACCACCCTTACCCTCACTCTCACCCTCACCCCCCCAAACACATTTTACGCATTGGGGAAGTTCTTGTTAAAGTTGATCAACGACCCGTTAGACGACCCGGCGATCCCCCGATCGGCGAGGAACACGCAGTACTTGGCTACATCCTTGGTCTTGATAGCCATCTCGGGCTTGAAAGTCGCGGACACGCTCTGCGCGTAAGCCTCGGTGTTGAATCCGCCCAGCGCCGCGAAACTGTCCTGGATGTTGGTGTCGATCATGCCGCCGACGAGCAGCCCGATGGCGTAGATGCCCTGAGCCGCGTAGTATCCTGCTGTGCTCTTTACTAGCGCGGCTACGCCGTGTTTGCTGGCCTGGAGGGAGATCGTGTTAGTTAGGTGCCTACCTACACAAGGTACTGGGCTGGGCTGGGCTGGGCTGGGCTTTCATATGTAAGAGAAGACGGGTTGTTAGGAGGGAACAGGGCCCAACGGCTTGGATAAGTGAGAAATAAAGAAAAAGCGCAGGACTAACTGTATAAGCGACACCAGACGACATGCCGTGGTAGCTCGACGTCGAGCCAATCTGGATGATGGTTCCGCCCGGCGGGGACTGCTTCTCCATGGCATTAACGCCGGCCTTAAACGCGAGGAACGAGCCGGTGAGGTTAAGGTTGATGATTCTATCCCAAGTCTCCTTTGTCACGGAACCGACGGGGTCGAACTTGTCCGTCATGCCGGCGTTGCTGACGAGGATGTCGAGGCGCCCGAACTTAGCCACGACGTCGGCTACGAGCTTGGTCACGGCCTCTTCGCTCGTGATGTCTGTGTTAAACGCGGCGAAGCGTCCTGTCCCTTCCAGCTCCGTCCGAGCTGAAGCCAGCCGCTCCTCGTTGATGTCGCAGACGGCTACGTTGGCGCCGGCATCTAGGTAAGCCGTTGCTATCACTTTGCCTAACCCGCCGCCCGCGCCGGTCACCAGAACCGTTATTCCCTGCAGCGTAGTTGCCATTTTCGTCTCTCGAATTTTGGATATCTCAAGAATTATTCCTTGTTTTTTTGTCCTGTCTTGGCAATGCTCCTTTGTCCAAACTTATAATAACCGGATGGAATACGACACTATTTCTAAATCCTCTACGTTAAACCTCGGAGTTGACGACGCGATATTTATATAAGGTAACTTACGCAAATGTAAGACTATGTCGGGTTCGTTCGCTCCCGTTCGCGTATTCGGTTTGCTCCTTTAACTCCTCACGCGGGACGGCACCGAGTGTTCTAATCAGCCTTCGTATTCGTATAAGATACGATACGATACGATACGCTAACCGGGTTCCGGTGCCGATTGGGGACCCCACAATTGTATAGGGTTCCGGAGTAGGTAAGTAGAGACATATGTAAGGTACCTTAGGTATATATAAAGTGCGTTTCTTATCCGTACTACAATAGAATATATCCATGATATAATTTAAATTTTTCTTTATTAGGAAAACGTGGAGGAAGAAGATAGTTCATATATTGCTGTGTTATAATAAGTGCCTCCTAACCTAAAATGTTAAAAACCAACCCTTCAGATAGAAACAACCTCCCATAATCCATCCTTATCATGAACAAGATGTTAATTTATTGATTAAGATATTAGAAAGAACTAAGTTAGTTATTTCAGGTTTAAACATGGAAGAACCCTTGCTTGACCAGTCCATCAAAGTGATTCTAGAGAGAAACTATATCAATATTGTTCCTATTGTTGGCTCTGGTCGGTTTCGAAGTGAAACTTCGGTCAGTAATCCTGTCTTATTACCGGCAATCTCGCTCCCGTTTGGCAATTACAGTATAGAGCTTATAGTATACAAGAGCCTCGTTAATAAATATTTCGTCAGCGTTTCCTCGAAGCTCTAGATATCCTAATTCTGTATAGACACGTTCTCAGGCATTATGACGGCTACGTCCGCTTTATTATTATTGAAACTATTATGATAATTTATAACTAGTGAACAATGAGTTAAGTCACGACATCAAATAACCCCCTTCGCTTTGACTTGTACATACTTAAGAGGTAGGTAACCATATATAAAGGTAAGACGTAGTTTCAGTCCTAATTACTATCATCATATTTGGGACCTGCCACAGGTGGTCTTCATCACACCGTGTTTTTAAAAGTTAAACCCATATATTTTGACGCCCCCCAAAGATTCGATTCAGCTCCAGAGGCAAGTATTACTTAGTCACCACAAACGCATTACTAACTTTCAAATGAAACTACTTTCGAGGCACCTAAACAAGGTATACGATTTCTAACCAACGATATGAATGCACGCAAACTCTCAATAATATCAGATATAACAGTGGTGTGATTTGGTGGAATGATGCGAGCCTGTGTAAACTATGAGAATTATAAGCATGGAGTTATGATGTAAGTTAGTTAACCGTAACTAAGATTTGATGTTTTGAATAAGAAGACCTAGAAAACAGAACAAAACACCAAGCAAGGGAATGGACGATCTAATTACGACTAAGTGTTGAATTTCATCATACTTCAAGTTATCTCCTTAACAAACCACGAATGCTACAACTCATTATGAATTTAGTCGAAGCCAACACCGGTACAAAATGAGAAGAACGAAATCCTAGATTTTACCATTACCTTAGTGCGAAGCTAGGAACTTAAGCTGCTGTCGCTTACCTTCCCCTGACCAAAGAAACTGGGATTACACAAGCCCCATCTCCAACTCAGCCGAAACACCAAGTCGATATCACACAAACAGCGAGTACAAGTATCAGAAAGCAACCACGCATATACACGCAGGCATCTATTCAAGAGGCTATATGGCAAAAAAAAAATACTATATACAAGAAACATCATCACCAAACCGCGCATTTTAGCGCCATCGTCGATCTCCAGCGGCGGGTCTTGAGCCGGCCTAGTTGATTTTAAAGTCCTCGCACCCCTTTCCCTGAGCGGCACGAGGCGACGAGTCAAGTCGTACGAAATGGAATTGGCGTAGAAGCGAAGATTCATGATGCGGTAGAGGGTCGTCTTCGATCTTGCGAATCAAAAAATTTTCTTTTCTTTTCCGAGGGGGAGGGGGGGGCGTGCCGCGTGTCTTCTCATTGTATGCGTATAGCTTAGTTGGGCGTGGCAACTGGGTAGCCTGGGTTGGTCCGGGAGTAGCTGACGCTCACGGAGTACTGGGAGGTAGCCGGCTGCTGAGGGAAAGCACCAGTAGGTACGGTTCCTGGTGCGGTTCCCGGCGCAGTTCCGGGGAACGTCGGGAAAGAAGCCGGAAAGGTTGGGAATGAAGATGGTGCATCGGCTGGCTGAGACACAGACGGCGTAGGCTCCGGCTGAGAAATAGGGAGAGATGAAGATAGCGACGAGACAGATGTCTCCAGAGGACTTGTTGGGAATGGCACAGCAGACGTAAGAACCGAAGAGCTAGTCGCATACGTGACGGTAACATGGTACGACGACGTTGTTGGTTCAACTACGGTTGGCAAGGCTGTCGATCCGCCAGTCGGTGCAGTACCGGGAAATGTAGGAACGGGTGTAGGAACAGCCGGGTAGGATGGCGCACCCGTGCCGTATGCTCTTCTAAGAGGGAAGGGCACCGCGAGGGCCGCGGAAGCGAAAGTGAGGGCGGCGAGGACGTACATTTTGCTTGAGATGGTTTTACTGGAGTGAACGAGTGTATGTAGACTATGCAAGAGAACCCCGATGGTCTATTGGGAACCAGAAACCGCACTGACTGGACTAAGGATAGGAAAGTTAACGACAGAACTTGTGTGCCTCTACAAGAAATCCCAAGAGGGAGAGGTGTTAGTTGCTATATATCCTACCGGGCGACCCTCCCCCCTTCTCAGCTGGTACCAAGTTATGAGGTGCATCCCTAGCCACCTTTACCCTTAAACGTCACTTCAATATGCCCCAATGTGCTTCGAGTTTTACAGAGCCTTTTGCCATGGAAAACACTATGTTGCTATTCTGAGCAATTTCGCGTGTATGTCGATCGACTACCGGAAAGTGTTTTTTGATAAGGGGGACCTTGTCTCCCCCTGGTTGTGACCCCCTGTCCAAAAATGTAGATCGACGTCAGTCCTAGTTCAGGTCCCTCACGGGCTGGCGGGTTGGCGGGAGCTGCGGGAGATAGGGCATTGGTGTTGAGGCTGATCCAAGCCTTCATAATAAATTGACAGATGACGAAGTAATGTTATTGGCTCTTATTAATCTGTTACAGCTACCAATAGCAGAGGTAATGACAACGGCACAGTGGTACTATATATAATGACGCTCTCAATTAACCATCATGATGATGGCATTATAGCGACAACGATGATAAAAAGTTGTGCACGATCGACACATGATATAACCAACAGAGCCTCTCGGTAGAGGGTTAAAAGAATTAGGCAGGTATTAAGAGTGCGCCCGAACCACGGGCAAATACTTGTTGAGATGTCTCCGCCGACTAGGGGAGAACTAGATTCATGTGAAATTTCCTGTTTAGTGACATCTAATCAGCTCTCAAGGTCGATCTGATTAACTAATGACTTTCTCGACTTTCTCGAAGGGGGCGGCTTGTATGGTCCGTCTCTGCAGGGTCAATCGAAGTTGGCAGCTAGGGAGGGAAACGCCGGCGTTTTAGCTGCACGTTCCTATGAATCCTAGAGCGCACCGATACTACCTTAGCTTTCTTGGGCTGCTTGGGGAATCTTAGAGGGTCAGCCCTGGCTGATATTATTTGGCTGATATTAAGAAAAAAAGTAATTTAGATGAAAAGGAGCTGACTCCGCTGCTTTTTGACCGCTAAGAGGATCAATAAAGAATAAGATTTGACGTCTGCCGCGAGTTTTTGAGGGACGTGCTTTGTCAAGCACTATGAAGTAACAAATAAGAAATAAAACCCGAAAATGAGACATTTGCAAAGATGCGATTGATTGATAAAAACATACTTCATCTTTTTGGGCTTGTAGGTAATTCTGCATAAATAATTAGTAGGAAAATATAAGACCAAATGTCATAAAGTTGCGGGAGAAACAAACTTGGTGTAACTAATGCAGCCTTTGATATATTAAACTTATATTAATCGAGTCCTCTTATCCCAGCTTGTAGTTTAAACTGAGATCTTAGGTTGATTCACTTTAAGCCTCCATGTCAGCAGTAAATAAAGTCCGAAAGGTCTGTGAGGACCGGTCCCGTGCGTTGCCGTATCCCGTTAATCGTTCTTATGGTTCTGTAATCAATCTCCTCCACTTGGTGATAAGGGTTTCTACCTAGGTTAGGTACAGTCTTTTAATAAAGTGAATTAACCAAACTCTCTTGATAGTTACTCCAGCACGATACTGAGAATTGGTGAGAACTATCGAGCGCGCATTCGAATAAATGATCGGTTTAATACTTACATTTCCTATATCCCAGTGTTATACAGTTGATATATTAGGAGGTAGGTATGTAGGTAGGTACCTGTATCGAGAGTTCAATGCAAATAAGATGAAAGAAGACAATTGAGTAACAAACTAACAACTGTAATAAGTTAATGTGTCACCTCCTGCTTCGCCTTATTAGTCACTCCCGGTGGCTGTGTAACACTATGTTAGGTATCTAATACAATGTATTAGTCAATTATTTATTTATTATGTTATGTACCTAACCTACCTCATACATGATATCCATCAACTGACTACAAGTCAGCCAAGTCAATATTCTTTTCCAATCTTCAACTAGGTACCTTAGGGCTAGTTAAAATAAGGAAACAGAACTAGAACTATACTAAGTCATACTTAATAACTTACCTAAATACCAACACCATGGCTTCAACCATACCTAGCACCTCCCTAGGGCTGCTAGATCTCCCAACTGATATCCTTGTCATGCTCCCCGAGTTCTTACACAACATCGAAGACTACGTAAACTTATCTTCAACATGTCGTACACTGAGGATATGTACGAATGCCGCATCACCCAACGTTATCCTACACCTTGCCCACGCCTCCAGCCGCGTATTCTTCCGGCCTGACCCATTCTTCCTGATCTGTGCTACGGCCCGCGAGCTCGGCAACTGGGCTCGTAAGTGCGATGAGAACGAGACCGAGTTAGCTGCCGGCATGCCGCGCGGCGCTGACCACCTCATGGACTTGGCCTTGCGTCACTGCGGCCTAACCATAGCTCGTATCCGCGAGCTTCACGCCTTGCGTTTCTCCGTTATCAACCCCGTTTCCGACCTCGTCGACAAGTGTATCGGAGAGCAGTGGTACGCGACCCCGAATTTCTGGAATGGTGGCGTTGACGACGCGTATACTATCAACGCCGACGTCAACGAGACGGTCTTCAACCTAGCCATCTACGGCGAGCTATTCGGGCCAGATTTTGAGCCCTTCTTTGGCTCTGAGACCGGCTCCTCGCCCCGGCGGAGACTCAAGGTCGACACTAGGATCGAGTATATCAAATACTGCCTGCCCGATAATATGATCGAATGGTTTGAACATGTTGATGATCTGGAGAGACGAGTTGGATCATATGACCCACGCCGAGATATTACTAACCAACCTGGGGGTCCCTATGAACAAGGAAACAAAGAATCCCGGTCCAATTTCAATCACACTATAGGCCTCATATGGCTTATGAATAGTACTCGCTGGCGGCCACACTGGATAAAAGCTAGGGAGGCGGCGGGGGCGGGACCAGAATTCGCTGACAACATCAGGGGCTCGAACATTGCTACCAGCAGCTGGAGACAGCTCATGCTAGAAAACGTGATGCAGTGCCAGGGGCTAGAAGGCCTGGGGATGATCCAGGAAGGGACAGAAATTGCAGAGCGGTGGAAGCCCAAGATCAGGGAATGGAGGGAAAAGATTGAGCATATGGAAGAGCCCGTGGCTACCAAGGTGGACCTTTATAATATTTACGAGTACCCTGACCTCTTCGGAGAGCTTCGAATGTGTGCAGCCGGATATTTATCGCGGAGTTGAGATTTTATACGAAGATTGGGTAAGCGATAATGATACTATATGTGCTCTCCCGCATAGAAAAAGGATAAGTACCTAAGACATAGCCATCCATCATCCCCTTTCCCTAAGATGCCGTGTAACCGACCGATGTGATCGTATATATTAGCTAACAACAGAAGCACACCTTGCCAAGTAACAATAGACCTCTGAAGACGATGGAAATATATCCAGCAAGATATACCTACCCCATAAGTTAGCCCAAGCAGAATGTACATATCATAAATCTCAAATATATCATATCGGCGTACAAAGTTTACGCGCTGTCCCGAGATCTGGCGTCACATATCCCCGAGCACATATCTCCTTTAACTTAGGTCCCACGACATAACGTTGCGGAGGAAAATGTCGTCCGACGATACCGGACACCTACCCAGTTAGTACCACAGGCACATGCCAGAAATACAAACTCAACCTACCAGCCCAGCTCCAAGCCTAAGAGCCTGCAGAATATCCTTTAGCACATGTTCACCAGACATCATCGCTTATACATACACGACACACGAGCACGCCATGTTAGCTTCTCTACCTCTACTTTAATACTTTTTGTCTTTATTTATTCTTTTTGTCATGCCTACTTCCGTTACCGTCTATCTGAGGGTATGCCCGTCTTCGTTGAGTTGTCTTCCGTTACCCTTGGGACACATAAGAAAAAGAATTCCCCTCCTCCCCTCTTCCTCAGCTGCCAGCCAAATCACTTGATTCGGTTAGTAGAACTGTGACCGTGGAAGTTGACCCTACCGCCCTAGCCTTTCCGTGATCTTTTCTGTGGATATCGAGGCGCCCCGCACACCGTATGATGCTCTAATATATATGCCCTATGACTCCTCTCAAGTGTCCCTTTGTCCGGCCCCCCGGCGCGATGTACAAATTGTAAGGAAATAGGTCCGATAACTAAACTCCAGTCGGATGAGCTTCCCCCTTTCGTGCCCTTCGTTGGTATCCTTGAAAATGTATCATGCTTCCTAGGATAGCCAAATATAGCATACCTAACCCGGCATTATGCATATGACACAACCATCATGACCCCCCTGGCCTTGGTCCCTACACATCCAATCCGAACTCTCATCTCAGCCTGATGCGAAATGCCGGCTCCTGAGAATCCATCGTTTCAACTTAAATACCACATGATCTTAAGCTGTTAGCGTATAAACGAGTATAATCATCCTTGATGAGTAGACCGATGACTGAAGCTCATGACCCTGAACAAACCGACTGGAGATGTTAACCATGTGGAGATAACCTGGTCTCCAACCATGTCCAATATACTGCCAGATATCTCAAATACGAGATTCGCACCGAGACAACACATGTCCGTCAATTCGTCATTTGGGCCATATCCAAAGTCCGTCAAGATTTACGACTCAGCCTCCTTTCCTCTCGGAATCGTTCTTTGGCAACTGCTCGCTCTGCGGGTACGCCTCGCTTCTTGCCTTTGTATCATTGCCCTTCTTCCTTCCCCTAGTCATCTTCTGCCATCCGGTACTAGCATTATCACTCTCACTTTTGACGCCTCGCGTATGTCCGTTTTCCCTCGACAAGCCATTTACTCTCGGATGCAGGGGCATCGGCCCATCGACCCTGGGTGACGTTTCGACCGGGGGCTTTTGGTTAGCTTTAGGCGGCTCAGCTTTGAAATCCGGTTGACTATACGCCATAGTAGTTGGGACTGCTGGTGCCTGGTCGAAAGGCAACTCTAATCTTCGCGTGAAACTTGGGGAAGGACTATTAGTCTCATATACTGGCGAAAGGTGCGCGAGCTCAGTCGCTTGCATACGGTTTTCTGTCGCGAGGTCAAGTTGCGCAATGAGTGCATTGGGTGATGCACGAATAGGGAAGCGTTGCAAGGCATGCGCGCTGAACCCAGAAGCGTTGCCCGCGTTGTCAAATCCAACGGGCACAGTAGGCATATTCATAGCATGGATGTGACTACCTGTTTGATTCGTAGCTAAGTCATGAGGAAATTGGGACGGCGGTACCTGAGTGGTCATTGCGGCGCAGGCATTCGATGAACCATTGACAACGACCGGTCGGTCTGACGATGGTGAATTCGTTTTCCGAGATGTAGAGGTACGACTTGATGGAGTTCCAACGACGGGGCCAGCCACCTCTAGCTGCTGGTTAATGTGAAGTGGATTGTCATAACCGGTATATAGGGTGGGTGCAATCTCACTCTGCGAGGGCTGTCGGGGCGAGCTGCCGTTTGCAAGCTTTGACATAGAGCCGTTGACAACCAAAGGGGTTGTCTCACGAATTTGCGATCCAGCAGCCGCAGGGAACGGCCCAGAAGCAAGAGGAGCAGAGTTTCTATTAGCAGCATAGACTCTATTTTGACCAAGCGGCGAAGGAGAACGAGATGAATTTTGCTTGATTCTATCCAGTATCGACTGGGGCAGCTGATCGGACGACAAACGGCCTCGGCTCTGACCTGTTGAAGATTGAGCACCAAGGTCGCCGAATGCAGGTACGCTACTAGTCGCAGCGCCCGTTCGCCGAGGTGGGCTAGATGGGTCTGCGTAATAGCTATGACCTTTTTCTTCCTCTGGCGGAGTGTTCGTCGTTGATCTGCTCTGTTCGACATCCTGCCCCTCGTCCGGAATGAAGCTAGGCATGGGGACTCCGTTGATATGGCGAGCAGGAACACTAGTAACCCCATTAGGTATCTGACCAGTCCCGGCTAAGCCTTGAGCAGTCGGCATACCAGGAACAGTTCGCGACGCCGGTTGTGACTGTGACCTCAAGGCGCTTCCGGAAGCAGTTTGACTAGTATCGCTAGCAGCTGTTGAACGGTGGGAACTCCGTCGAAATTCAGCGGCGTGCCCGGTTGAGGGTGATGACGGGTACGTAGGAAAACCTTGCTGCGCGTAGAACGCGTGCGGAATCTGCATCTGATAATAATACATCTCGGGGCGTATTTCCGGGCGGAGGGGCGCACTCAAAGGAGGTGTATCGAAGGAGTTCGTCCTAGAACGCTCCGCTGATGAAGACTGCGTTTGCGGGGTATTACCCTGCATCATCTGATTATGCTGTATATTAAATGCCTGCGACTGCGCATATTGGAGGAATCTAAGGTTGTTCTCCTGTAATGTCAAGGCGTTGATCGTCTGCGCCATCAAATCTGTCGGCTGTTGTTGCATGTACATGAGAGCGTCTTGATGCGTCATAATCGGGTACGCAGTCGGGATGAACATAGGGCTCCCGTTGTTATCATAAGGTACACTAGACGACGCTCGCCGACTATTACTATTGCTGTTGCCATTATTTCGATGCTGACCTTGCTGTCGATTTCCGTTCCGAAATCCCGCTCCACGGCCCCCACGGTTGGATTGCTGCTGGGAAGCACTCCGCACTAATATGGGACGAGATACCTGTGCCGGTTTCTGAAATATTCTCTCTTCCTCTTTCGGGTATTCATATTGTATACAACACTCTTCAAGCTTCCCTTCTGCGATTAGGTCAAAAGCACGACGGAGCTCAGTATGGAGACCTCGAAATGCGGTATCATCAGCCGTGTTACCAAGGTTTCGATTGATGTTGAACGGCTCTTCAACACAAAGTTGGTTGTTTAACGCAAAGTGCCATTTCTTTTCCTTCTTGGTGATAATCTTGCCCAGTCGAACAGACAGCACGTCTGTACTATAGTCGAATTCATGGGCATAAAATCGAAAGAACTGAAACAATAACTCTCCTAGAGAAGATTTATTTTTGCTTCCAAATCCTCGCAGTTTGTCCACGTCATCGGAAAATGAAATTATATCGCCGACCTTTCCGGGAAGTTTCTGGTGTGCCCGCTGGTGCAATGCAGGCAGAACAGGAGGTTGGCGCAGCTGTAGAAATGCGATGATCATGCATATCCACGTATATGAGCTTAGTGTTCCACCAAATGCTGCCGGCTGTTAGTGAAAATTATAAAATTATACCAGATTACACATACCAGCGTCATTAACAATTCGCCGCCGCGTCCAGTACTTGACAATCATAGCGAGAGGTCGTACACGGTCGTCGAGCTGGACATAAGTTTTGATCATGCGGGTATTCTCCAATGCTAAGGTATTGTTGACGTTCATGTCACAGGATAATTCTAGCTCGGGATCCCATATCTTAACGATCGGGACCTTGGCTGAAGATACACAAACAACCCTCTCCATCCCATCTAAGAAAACACATTAGCAAAAAGATCATAAAATCACAGAGCACTAACACTCACGTTTCGCTAGTAATTCTGCTAACATGCAGACACCCTCAAGCTCCTTCCATGGAGTCACTATGCATATATCCACTAGCAAACGGTCAGTTGCGCAAACACTTATTAGGTTACAAATTACGAACCATCAGAATCATCCGAGCATAACAGGTTTCCAGACGAGCCAAATAAATGCACACGAATGTCGTGTCCCGGCCAGGAATCGTTAAGGAGCTTCTCTAGCTTCTGTACTAACATACGCCTCTTTATCTCAACTTTTTCTGTTGGTTGTAACCGGTCATAAAGCTCACGCATATCTGTGGTGAGCTTTCGTTCATCATCTTCAGATAGTTTGCTCTTTATAGTTTGCAAATCCATTCTCTCCAACAAATCCGTTCCTATGCTGTACGGTATTCTCCGACGGGAATGTTTAAGCCCGGTCTCGTATTTGCAACCGCCATGCCGCGGCGGCAAGGGTCGCAAGGAGGGGACGGCTCCATTGGTCTCGGAATATGCGGATCGAGGGGAATGGGATTGGTTGGCATTGGGTGAGTGATCTCTAGACTCGAAGGAAAATTTGCGCGCATGCTGCTGAGGAGTCGAGGGGACGGAATTAGAATGCGCAGGTAAATTCGAAGCAGAAACAGACGCCTTGGGCCTCAGAGAGAGGGGCTGAGCCAGATCTGATTTCTTAGGCGGCATCTTGGGCGGCGCGTCCTTGCCTGTTATAAGCGCGCGATCGGCTTTACTGGTGTTATGATTGCCTCTAGTAGCATGGCAATTCTGGGAACTCTGCCTAGCGCGAGAATCCTTATTGGACACCTTGGAAGAGGAACGAGATCTAGATCCGACGTGGATATTCTGAGCTGATAACAACGGAGGCAAGGGAGCGGTTTGGAGACCACCACCTCGTCCTGGTGCTATAAGCTTATTATATTGAAGAAGCTGTGCCTGGTAGAGTGACGACTGCTGAGGGAAAAATATTGGAATCCAGTCAACCTGGGTCGACAAGTACTGAGAGGCAAGAATCGGATCCGGGTTTGTGGGAGAGTAGGAACTTAGTCTCGGCACGGCTGGACTTGAAGTCGACCGGGTCCAAAGAGGTTGAGATGGGTAATTATGTTTCGAGTCTGCCGTTATAGGCCGGCCGTCCATTAAAGATGGGCCCCGCACAAACAACCGAAAGGAACTTGGCTGGGGATAGTCAAATGAGTGGCTAGACACGCGACTATTGACGACAAATGTGACCTATCTTCCGTCCGTTGTTATCGTCTGTAGCGACAAGTTGACGATCGTGAACCAAAGCCTTTACGACTGGAGGTAAATTGTCGACTTGAGTAGTTTGTCTACCTATAAAAGCGGCAAGGGCCAATGATAACGGGAAATCGGAGGATCGGCAACGCGAGGCCAAAAAAAAGGAGCGAGTTGGGTAGTTCTCCGTCAACAGCTCACTTTTGTGCGCTCGAGTTCGGAAAGAGCCCGGATTCGTTATGAATATAGAAGATTATGGAATGTCTTCACCGCGGCGTAATAGAGGACGGAAAGTTCATGAGGACAAGATTCTCAGCGTTCGAGGAATATCGATGGGATCAATCGCCGAGCACACTCGTATGAACTGGTGAGCATCTACTATTGGTTAGGGAGGCCAGACGCGCCAAAGGGAAGAAAGGGACAAAAGATTCAATTGAGGGAACGATTGAAATATGCAACACAGGCACACGAGTCGACGTGTGGGTATAAAGGGGGTATCGCCAGAAAAAAGATGAATAAAAAGAGAAGAAACGATCTAGCCGTCTAACCGCCTAACTGCCGTAATTGCTGTCGGTTCTCTACCCGTTATAGCTTTGCACTTCCACTTCCACTTCCACTTTGACGGAGAGGGAGAAAGAGAGGGAGAGGAAGGAGAAGAAGGGTGGGTAGAGTAGATACAGAAGTCGTAACAAGCATCGACTAACTATAAGGATAGGATAGGATAGGATACAGAAGCGGTGATAATAACAAGGTAAGTGGTAAGGCAGAAGGCGGTTTCCAACACGGAAGCCAAGCAAGAAAAAAATAAAATAAAAAAGTAAACAGTATGTAAGTAGGAGGTAACAATCCAATGGGTTAAGGTAGGCGTGATGTAGGCAGTAGAGGTTTTAGGTTAAGTTAGGTTCAATTGTTAGGTGTAGGTAAGGTCAAGTTGACATTTGGCTGAAGGGTGATGAAGCGAAAGTGCATTGCAGATGCAGTGCTTGCTTGTCTCTTTCCACTCTCTAGCTGTCTACATGTAGGTAGCGTAGGTAACGGTAGGTACTGTAGGTACATCAATACCTGTAATGTGCAATTGTATGTACCTAACAATGTGCGATGGCCCGTACGCTAGTATGTATGCATTTACCAGCTAGAAGTTCGGAACAGCCCTGGAAGTAATGATAGAATGGGTTTATCGGAGGGTATAAGGCGGGTCGTCCCAGAGCCTGCTTCCCCTGTCTGAAGTTCCTGGTACCTGCCTCCTTTGCCCACTAAGGTCTTGTCTTTACTGTTCTCCCTCGCCTGTGCGTAATACGGAGGTATGGCAGTATGTATGCAGTCAGTAGCGAAAAATAAAGGCCCAGTCTTGGCATTTAGCCCTTCTTAAAGAATCGGCATTTACGCATATATAATTCCACCATTTTTAAGGTAGTAAGATTATAAAAATTACCTATAATGATAATAAAGGCTAACGAGCTAATATATAATTTTTTCCCTTTTTTCAATCCTTTTTTTCATGCTTATTTTGAATATATTATATGGTATTGTTTTGGAGGGAGAATGCCAAGACTGGGCCTTTATTTTTCGCTGGGGGCTGGTATGGCAGTACCTACCTTAGGTACATAATGGGTAAGCGTAAGTCTTACTGGTCCGAACTATGAGGGGGCTAGCGTGCGGAGCGTGGCGCGTGCTCTGAGTTTTAGTGGTCATACAGGTCATACATGTACCTTAGGTACCTACCTATAAGTACTTACAAGAGCACGCTACCTAAGAAGCACGGGCTTTAACCTCTTGTACATATGTAGGTACCTACATACCTGTACCCTGCGTTACATTAGGAGGTGGTACATGCCTTTTCTAATAGCATGTGGCAAGTATTGCAAGTACTTAAACAACAGAGACAATGTACCAACCTGCCAACATGGAGAAAGGGGGTCAACAGGGTGTTCGGGGTTTAAGGGGACCACAACGGCGTTGAAGATACCTGTATATTACGGACCTCATGATACGAACTTTTAAAAAATGCTAGAATGATAAACATAGATCAATTAACTAATTAACCACCTGGACCTACATATATAGTACATAGGCAGTGTCAACCTACCTTTTCGTAGCCAACCAAATAAAATGATATAAGTATATGTATGTTAAAGCTATGACTGCGACTCGTATCCGCGAATTGAAGGCCATATGTAACTACATCCTAGGTACTAAAGTAGGGGGTAGGCTACTACCGAACTCTTCGCATCGTCCGACCTAGGCTATTATAACTCCCAATACGGGCTACGGTGACATACATGTAGGTATGTAAAGAGGTACATAATGCATGTACCTACATGTCCGATACGATATGTATTGACTAAATGTTGATATGAGGTAATGCAATCTATACATTTTAGACTAGATGTGGAAAGAGGTATTTACAATTAGTAGGTGGGCTAGGAGTTACCTTAGGTACCTAAGGTATTCATTTCATGTTCTTTCTTATTATTTCCTTATTTTCTTTTACCGGACCTAAATTGGCAAGAGTTTTATTAATTTATTAATGAGTTCAAATGTTCTTATTAATTTCTTAGCCTGGTTCACGTTTGTTTGCATTGTGCATTTTATATCGAATGATTTATTTCCTCCAGTGATTTCCTAGATGCATATATTGGTGGCATCCAATCCTTTTCGCTGCTTTCTAACATGATACAACATCATCTACATCCTACAAAAAAAAACTACTATACATACATATGTAATGTACGTAGATGTAGGCAGCTGAGTCTCCTATAATTGGCCCCATACGAACCTAATTATTTAATAAGTCTACCTGCGTACTGCAATAAGATCTCAAGTAGTCAAGTCCCTGAAATCTACCTTCGCCACCTTCATATCGGCCGATGTGTAACATAACATGTGTAATTCTTCAAGCGTAAGGCCGACTTTCTTTTTACTCTTAGGTTAGGTACAGTATTTCAATGAATGACGTTTGAATCCAACCCAAGTGTCCGGTGAGATCTCCAATCTGACCGAGACGTTCTTTAGTCGAAATCCGAACCAAGCACATGGAATAGCCCATGTCCCTGTCGATCAGTCACTAAACCGCCAGACTACATTGAATTCCTTGCTGATTCGCAACAACTAACTAATGTTAGTCAAGTCGTCCGTCATGAGGCTCATGAACTTGTGAAGTTCTCTTAATAGTACAACTTGTAAGTTATAAATCACCAGATGTCAAATGGCTGAGAAAAGATGTACAAGTACAATTGTCATAGGACCAACTAAAAAGACAGATAAAGAGCCCTTTAAAGTCCTTAGAGACATACCGTGGATATGACAATATGAATGATCATGGATGGTAGTACACTACGCAGAGTACAAGTGATGTAGCCGACCTCGTCAGCCTGTCACCTGCAACCTGTGAGCCACGCATCCTTGTCTTCGCCTATTTAGGACACTTTGAAAGAAATGACGGACTGAACCAGCTACGAAAAGCTGAGCATGGCCAGACGAGCATGTCCAGATGAGATTTATTGCATTTTGGGAAGTATCCGAAGTTCTACACTTTCGTGCTACAAACTTCTCTATATACATACCTACACACATAAATGTAAGTGGTTATTCTTTTTGACGTCATGCACTAATTCCTATCTATGTATTGATATCGGCCTAGATCCTCTTGGCTGATCTCCCCATCTATCTAGGTATCTATGTGTACCTAACATATGTATCTAGATACATACTAACCAAAAATCCAACTTGTTGGTAAATGCTTCGAAATCTTGACGGACTAAGTATTTCATTTTCTAAACTAGATAGGCTGGCCTAAAGTTAGAATAGCTGTTTCTGTACTACGCCTCACCAGTCAGCGAATCTGACATAATTTATTCGGACAAGTAGGTCTCATTAGATATTGCCATCATAAGCTAACATCGAAGAAGAGGACGAGTAGATTCCTCGCCCGCACTTCGACTTGTTCTGCGATTTGGCGTCATCACTAAGAAAAATAATAGCGGAACTTATCCGAGTAGCTTACATTGTAATAAATAAGTGCTACCCCCAATTCCTTAAGACGACTGAGATTTACCTACATATATGTAGGTACTTAGGTAGATATACTATTAGGATAGTTAACCTACCTAGGTAAGCAAGCAATGAACCAGCGCTGACATCGATTTTCAATAGCTTAGTTGGGGTTCTCTTGGTTACACCTCAGCCGGCTATCCCGTCTACTTTCCTATTATGACAATAAGGTGCACTTAACCTGTCTACCTTGATCCACCGGACCAACTCATGTTTTCTCCTTTTGGCAACATAGATATGGAAGAATTCAAAGTACAATTTCCTCGATACTACCGACATCTAGCCGGGACGATAACTAAGCGTTCTAGACTTGGAGGCCTGGATATTCTGTGCTGAAGCTCAGGTCTTACGATGAATAATTTGTCACTGGGAAGCTACCCTCATATAATCACCATCGAATGATCGTAGACACAGCAATAATCGGAATAATCAGGTGCAGATAGTACTGTCGACGTTCGAAATATTGCTGCTGCGGAATTAGAGCTCCGAGGGACTTATCGCAATTCCTCTTCCGCTAACGAAATTAACTCACAAGGCGAATATGTTGTCGACAAAGGAATACCCTCGAGTTCCTGTAAAGGGCTTTCATGTCTTAACTTGAAACCACCAATATTCCAAGGTTACGACGTGCAGGTTTGGTCTCCATTTAAAGGCCAGTTGTTCAGGGGGGGCTGAGAGCACCAAAGCGCCGTACACGATAGAAGATTTACCCGTCCCCTTCTACACGTGTATGCATAGGACGGAGGGAATTCAATAACCAGGGCTGCCAGGATCGTCTCAAGTTCTTGGCCAACCCCGCGTATCTGCTACGACAATTGAATTGCTACTAATCCCGATTAGTTTAAATTCACAAGCCTTCGACGCAATGCTTGGCATCAGCCTCGTGAAATTCAAGGGGTCCAGCCAGGGGTTTAATCTTCAGACTAGCCTCAAATAACTAGGAATGGTTGAGACGGTCCCTGTATCAAGGAGTTCCTTCAGCCTTGTGTCCTGGCGCCGGGGACGCTTCTTTCGTTTGACGTTTTTGTTTTCTTTCTAACTAACGTTAATAACTAGCTATTCTTTAATAGATAGTTATTTGTTTATTCTTCTCGTTTCTCATAAGATCTACACTATATAGCTATTGTAATCCTATTATCTACCTAACCCATTTACTATTGCATTGATTTCATTTACTCTATTCTTCTAGCGCAAATCGTGGGAGTTCAAGATGTTTACAAGCTTGACTACGAAGTTGGCGATGAAGAAGGTTGGGCTGTCGAGCGACGCTCTAGACTTCTCTTCGTCCAAATCCAGCAAATCCAACGACGGTTCCGTTCCAGGTCTCGATGACTTGGAAGGGTCTAATTCAGGCTGGCCGGCCTGGATGAGTACAAAAAAACTTCCCCTTACTGCGCAAGCCTGGTTATCGCCGGTTCCTCCGCCGGTTCCCGTCGCTGAGTGTCCTAAACCGGGTGACCTAGCTCCCATTGACAGAGATCGCCAACTTTCCTTCGGTGGCGGAAAGCCAGCCATTGTTCTCTTTCTCCGCTGCGTAGGATGTGCCTGTATGGCTCGCCCCCTAACTGTCACACACGCGCTTAATACTAACTAGATTAAAATCACAGTTGCGCAAAAGTCCTTCTTAGCTCTCAGAGAGCTCGCCATAAAAAACCAAGGCAGACTGAGATGCATAGCCGTGTCACATTCTTCACGAGATGCAACGCGCAAGTGGCTTGACATACTGGGCGGCGCGTGGAACGTCGAAGTAGTCATCGACGAAGACCGCGCCATCTACGCCGCGTGGGGGTTAGGGCTGGGAAGTATATGGTACATGTTCAACCCCACTACGCAAATACAGGGCTGGAAGGAAAAGGGTTGGCTGGGCATAAAGGTAGCCAATTCTGTTCAGCGAACGAGCAGCTTCAAGCAAGGCGCTCCTAACACCGAGTCAGCCGATGAAGGCGAGGGGCCGTCAACAGTCATGGGGAATAAATGGCAGCAGTCTGGTTTGTTTGCTATCGACGGGCACGGAGTGGTAATATGGGCTACGAAAGCACTCCGCGCGGACGATATGATGGATCTAAGTGCCGCAGCAACGGCGATTGGGATCCAACCGGCCGACTAGGATATGCTGAAGTATAATGAACGCATGAATGAACGAAATGAATATAATAGCTTGTACTACCAGTATTGATGAGACGTAAAATGACATGAATTTAAGGGGTATGAAGTCTCCTAATCCTAGGCCCATGGGGTGGGCATATGTGTAGGCGGTGAGCAACACAGCCTATAACCCCAGGGTACAATTGACGATATCTCGCTAAGTTAAAGCTATGACCAGGTAGCTCCATAACTCAAGGATTACTCCCCTTCGTATCATGGGAATTACGAGTCCCATGTTGAAGGCTAGACTGAAAACCACGTTCCCAAGAAAGAATTCATGAAGATATATATTTACATACGATGTATGGCTAAATCATTTAACCTTCTCTATAAACATAAGGCATCTCTAAACTAAGTTAAGCGCGGACTATTACAATACGAGACTTTTTGGTGGTTTTTTTTTTTTTTTTTCAAGTTTAAACCTACCAAGCGATCCTTGTTTGCTAAGAGTCAAGCTTGGGATATGACTAACTATACTATCTCCGACAACATACCCGCACCAGTAACCTCGTAACCTCGTACTTGAATAGATACGATATGATATTTATAAGACTTGAATTATATATAGGAACAACAACAACTACTGGATCAACTCACTTCTATCTACCTATCATAGTACAGCAATTAGCATTTTAAATGGCGTTACTAGATGTCAAGTGTATAAACTAGATGATCTTTAAAATGATGCTGAAGGCGCTAGTGGAAAGGCAATGTATTAGCTAAAGGGAAAAAATGAATTATTTTATAAAACGAAGCCATCCACGCCGTATTACCTACAGCTTACATTAGGTGGCTTTTATCACCCAGGTAACTAAATGAAACTAAATACGAGTACGATAAGAATACTCATATAAGACTCTCAATCTCATAAGCACTCTGCTCTTACCTAAGTAGTGAGAAGGAGTGACCACAACCAGTTATTCTCGAAGGGAAATACTGACAGTCAACTAGGCCAGAGTCTTCGCTCGCATATATTAAGACATATATACAACTACCAAGACATACGAAAGTACACACCTAGTTATAAAGCATGACCTTTGCCATTCGAGTACGAAGAAGCTTATATATATATGAAAAGCAAGATGTCACGATTGCCCATACTAGACCTATCAGTCAAACGACTTTCAACTCCCAATTCAAGCCCTCAAAGACCTAAGAAAGGAGAGGCACATGATCCGCATATACTTACACAGAAACAATTTCCCCAAGCTATTAAATTACCTGGTACATATAGGAGAGGGTAGTAAGTAGTCCAGTACGAAAAGCCAAGGCTCTGCAAGCTTATAATACCAGTGAAAATGGGAAAGGGAATAGGAAAAGATACAATTCACCTTTAGACTCTTAAGCCCATCACGCATAGAACTCGTATAAACGAGCTTAACCATACTTGTTACATTCATTTCATCAAGTAGTTTATCCAGCTTCGGCATCCTAGATTCCTTTCTATGAAATCTCGAACAAGACCTTCGATAGTTAATATTTAAATATTTACCTAGGTAATATATCACTTGCAACTCAAATGTTTACTCTTTCTCCAGTATCCATATAGTACAGTGATTCTTATAGCGTTCATATTGCTCCATCCTCTAACTAAGCAATATTATACCATGATCCAAATAGGTTTGAACTCAATCTTTGATATCTTTCCTCGTGACCTTATGAAACAGGGTGAATTAATATTACTACTAATTCTTAGTCTATCACGTAGACATCACTAACCCGTTCGTAGTAGGAGGCACGCATATAGTACCGTAGTCTAATCTCATTAAAGGAAGAGTAGCGTTAATACGTAGACTTACTAACTTAAATATAAGGAGGTAGTCAAGGTAACTTCATAGGAAAGGCCTACTAAATACATACGTCAACAAATTTTTATAACTCACACTTAACTTCAAAATCAACTAACGAGGTCCTGGACGGACTGGACTGGTCACGACACGTAAATCATAGGCAGGTACATATCACGGAAATGACTCAAAACCTAGAAGCTTGGAAACCCAGTATAATGCCATAGATGTGCCAGTCCATTTTACCAGATTGTGATGCCCGATCGATGTGCCAAACTCCCTCATGCGGACGCAACCACCTACCTCCTACCACGATAACGTAACGTATCTCTCCCTAATGCTTACACGTAAGGCACCGTGAAATAGACGCGATGATAAAAAAAAAAGCCAAACTCTACGCGCAACCATCTTCCATTAGCCGGTCCATTTTAAAATTCAACGAGAGGAAAAACACCGCCATGCCGCCGACAAAAAACACCCCTGATGTAGTTGATGCCCTTTCATCCATCCAAACCCCTTCGGTTGTTGAGATTAATACAACAGTTGGAGGGCAGGCAGCGCCCCCCTGGTCCACCCAGTGCAACTCCGAATTGCCCTCAATAAACCACCGAGTCCTGCCTATATGACCTCCAACTGTTTTCTGTAGTATCGCATTAATGGAAAAATATTTCGACCCGGGGATTCCATTCCGACACGCAACCAAAGACCAAAAGAAAATATCACAACCGCAACCGCAAACACAAACCGCCACTGCCCTTGTCCCTAACCTTGTACCATTTGCCATGTCATTTTCATAGAATTTCCGGTCCGCTCTTTTTCGGTGCTTCCTTCCAGCCTAACCTTTGCAGGTGCTAAATAAGGAACCAAGCCGCCTTATATATTCGTTCTTGTAGAGAGGTATCGCAATGCCTGTTAATTGAAAGGCTCGAGAAATGGGAGGTATCGTAGGTCGTAGAAAAAGCAGAATCGCAGATAACTCCAAAACGAAAAATTGTTTTCCGCCCCTGTTTTACCAAATCTTTGTTTCCGTGTCGTCAAAGGCCTGAACACCCATGCTGATGCTGGATATACGTATCCCTCACCCCATGCCTAATCAACCTGAACACCGATTTTGTGCCAATTCAATCATTCACCCTTGATGGTATCTTTAGCCATGAATGCTCAGGTTAGCACCTCATCGCTTAGGTCTTCATGACACCATTTTGTTTCCTAACCCCAAACGCTAGCCTGAACCCCCAAGTTTGATTTGCTTCCCCAAACACCTGAGCGGTTGCTCCATCCGTTGTATCCATCTGCTGCAGCACTGGGCGGGTTAGAAGGAGCAGAAGTAGTTGAGACGCCTTGGTTAACGTCGTCTCCGTTGCTCGAGGCAGTGAAGCCGTGGCTTAACGGCGACGGCAGAGGAGTTGTCGAGCGCTTGTTTAAGGCCGGATTAGTAGCCTGAGAAGCCGCCGACGGACGAGTGCCGATAGGGGCTACCGCGTTCCCGCTCTGACCCGGCTTAGAGATTCCTCCAGCCCGAGGCGGGGATCCACCAGTTGGGGATGAGTTGCTGGTGCGGTTAGCTTGCTGGCCGACAGCGCTATCGAAGATACCCATATTAGCCGGCGGGTTCGACTGGGGGCTGGCATTGCTGTTAGCACGGGAGAGACCCTGCGTCTCATTAGGCTGCGATGCGCTTTCGGAGGCGTTGGGAATACCCTGTCGTCCGTAGTCGTAAGCTAAGGGGGAAGGGCCACGGTGACCGGAGGTTGCAGTGGGCAAGCCAGGTACTCCAGATCGAGTCACGCTAGATTCATCGGGATAGCTACCCTCGCCGCCGAAAAGGGCACTACGCTGGCGTGCGATCAAATCACGACGTTCGTCTTCGGACATGCTGCCAGGGCTTAGAGCGCGATCAGGCTTGCTGTTATAAGAAACATCAGAAAGAACATCTGTAAAGACGGGGAGTTAGCGTCTCTTCGCAAGGGTATGTCAGATGTGCAGTGATCCGAGGACTCATGGTAACATATCGAAACAGGGTTTACATGGATTCAAGACATAGTAGAAACATCGCGTGTGAAGTCAGGGAAAATAGGGAACAGATTGACCCCTCCCGAAAGAATTTTCTTTTCTTAATTTGCGATGCAAATTTTGTGCTATACAGAAGAGGGCGGCCTACTTCGGTTAAATTGCTGCTCTTGATGATAGTTGCGAAGCTCTCGCTCCCGTTGAGCCGCCATCCTCCGCTTGGCCTGCATCATTTGTTCCGCCTCGTTGGAACCGCGCGAAGGCTGGTGTCGTTGCGCGGCATAGAAATTCTGCAGGTTCGGACCAGGGTGGCCGGCTCGCGGGTCGCCAAACTCCACGGAATGCGGCCGCGGGCCATGACCAGACGCAGCCCGTCCATCTACATGGCAATTAGTACCAATTTCCCAGACGAACTCCCACCCAATCTCCGTGACACATTCAGTGTGCCTTGTTTCGTTTTAGAGCCATCATCGGGGTAAACTCACGTCGCCCTGGCGGGCCGTACAACTTCCCGCTCTTAACCAGATTATCGACAGCTCGCTCAACCTCTGCAAACCAATTTTGTCAGTATAAAAATGTAATTATAGGAATAATCGCAGAAGATAAGAAGGAATTATCACGCGTGTATGATTTGCTTAGACCGATATCAACGACGAATATTTCGACGAAGACTTCGACTATGCGAAATGTCTTGATACGTGCGCTTCTTATTCCGTCTACATTCCATTTTCTTCTTCATTTTTCTTTCTTTCTTTTTTACGTACCCTCAAATTGATAGGCAAATGCGATCGACTCGACTTCGCGTGGAATGGCAGAGCTGGCACCTGATATAATCGCGTTAACCAATATGACCTAGATAATCACTATAATCTATCTTGAGACTTACCAGATCGCGCCGGTGGCGGCGGAGGAGTCTGGTGATCCCAAGTCGTTTGGGATGGACCGGCGCCGGCCCATTGAGAATCTCCGTAGTATTGCTGCGACATTATGTCCACTTTTTGAGATTGACTTGATGTCGATGGTTGAAATCTTGATTAGGTAGATTATCGAAATTCAGGTGGATAGTCGACAATGCCTTTGACGTAAGGGACTATTGATTCTCCTATATATTTAGGATTAGCTTTGCCATGACTATTTGGTAGTTTGACAATCAACGGCACGGATAATAAATAACATCAAGTATATTGTGCTAAATAAATCGATGTCTGATGGCTAAGGTAGGAAAGAATAATCATAGGCATGAGTGGTTTCCGTATTTCCTTGTTGGTGGGTATTTTCTTCTTCATGAATTTATTATTCTGAATCCAACTGATGTAGGGATCAAGGTCGGTATTGACAGCAGCCGACAAAAAAAAAAACTTTAAAAAGTCTCCCGCCTCGGGTACTAATGTCGCTGTCTCTTTATTCCCCTCCAAGCGCGTAAACGCAAAGAGTTCGGTAGTGGTCGCGCGAGAGGGGGCGGAAAAAAAAAAGTCGAGAAAATTGACAAAAATCATATGCAATAAAAATGTCTCTCGTTTCGCAACTTACCAGAAATCTTTAGCCCAAATATTATTTCTTTAGGCGACAAGGCGACACCCGGTAAGCTTAGCGAAGGGATATTCGCCAGGTTCTATGAGGAACAAGATAAGAAAATGAGGTTGAAAAAAGAAAAAAGACTGCACCACACAATTGCGCTGCACACACGCGACAGAAGACGAGACGTGGATTAAGAAAAGGGAGGCGGCAACGGTAACGGGAGATGGCTACCTTCAAGTAATTAATAGGAGAGTAGGTACCTAATAAGAGAAATTATCGGAGGGGGGACAAGTTGTAGTTGATCAACCAGACCGGGTCAGAATGGGGAATTGGGGGGGTTAAGAGAGGTACTTCCCGTACTCCGTGTACTGTACTTATCTAGTACGGTGATGTTACCTCCTTCCTTATAAATTATTTACTGAGCTACTGGGTTAGCGAGTACCTTATAAGTACGAGATCTAAGTAGGTACCTACATACATCCCTATATGTATCTCGAGACGTACATACATTACATAGGCAGGTAAGAACTTTACCTAGCATCCCGTTGGTGTGGTCTTTGGTGTGGTCCTTGTTAGACTCTCCAGTATTATTTACAACGTTTGTAAACTTCCATGCGCAATGGTGGACCAGACGATGGTGATAATTTTTAATGGGGCACAGATTAGGTAGTATCTTACTGGTTAATCATAGTTGGTCCTGCGGATTTTTCGAGACGTTTTTTTCTTTCTTCTGTAGGGTGGATTATCATCCTCTTCCTTGTAGGGAAATTTTACTACCAGGGGACCATTACTGAAGAGGCAACGTTGACTGAGATGGTAGGACAAAATACATGTGGGGAAGGGAATGAGGCCGTAATAGGCCTAGTGGTTCAAAGAAATCTTGAACATACATTGCCAGATACATATTGCCAGAGTGCTCTTTTGTAAGTGGTATTATGTTATGTACCTACATACTTACATACCTCCATACATCCTTCATCGTCCCTTCTATTTGATGAGAGTTCTAGTACTTTATGTACATACTTACATACCTCATTAGGTACATGCATTCTATTATACACACACTTTACACAGGTGACAGCTGTCATGGATGGTTTGATCCCCATAAGGAACTTATTATCCCCTCCCCCCCTTTTCTCCAAGACTTTGAGAATGAGACGGTGAAAATTTAAGATCCAATCTCTGTGCTTGTATATTCGCGGCTGTAAGCCATTGCGGAATTGATCCTATGTCACGTCTAGTATTGACAGACTTAATTAAACACATGAACCTCTTACGGGTTATGTGTCATTAATAGAGAACGGAAACAAGTCTATAATATTAAAGATAGATATTAAATATCTGTACATCAATAAAATGAGAATAACAAAACAGTAATATAAAAATTCCATTTGAATTTTACAGTCAATGGTGCGACAGTCCTCGCTTTAGGAAGAAGCCATTAATTCGAAAATATAAAAAAAAAACCGAACAGTCTACAATAGAAAAGGTCAAAGCTGAGGGGCATCCGCTACCTAACCTTTCAAGGAACCCTAGAAATCTAACTACCAGAGCAGGGTTTACAGGGTGGTGCCTGCTAGTAATCAGCGGGAACCAAAATCTACATTTACGTTTAACCTTGCCAACTCCATACTTTTAACAGTCGTCACCCTGCAGATATTTACATCGATTGAATCCACCATCCTTCAAATGTTCTCAGATACCTTAGGTACCTATGTTAGGTCTTTACATAGTTATACAATACAATACCCAGTAAAACACATAATACCTAATCTATTTACATAAGAGGTATGCTTCTAATTCGCTTTGTTTAAAATGAGATATTTACCCCTATGGGATGTCATCATTATGTTTTAACAGGAAGGAATATACCAAGAAGGAATATGACAAGAATAAAAATAAAGAGACAGGTCATGAAAGACTTAAAGCACAAAGCCAAGGTCGGAGTTTATTGCCGTCTGAACCGCCTATGTATTTCACAAGTGTGTTGTTCGGTTTGATTAGGTACCTACATGTACTAAGGCATTAGGTATCATGACCCCCACAGCACCCATAGCACCCACCTATTCTTCTCCATGGCAGCATGGGAAGGTACTGCGCACGGGAGACAGGTAAGGTATCTCTTTTTAAGATATGGTTCCAACTATGAGTTCTTTTTTCCTCCCCACATCTCAGTTAAGTCTAAATCTCGTCAATTTCTCTAAATGATGAAAGTATTCCCGCTTTGTCTCGGGTCGCAACTTGGACCCTGCGACCCGTTGAAACTTGAGGCTCCAGGTTAGGTACCTAGGTACGTTTCAAACTTCAAATCATATCAACTCTTTAGGCGCTTTTAAATAACAGCACAAGCCTCATCTTGACTTGACCGCTTCATACACGTTTACCTACACGTCTACCTACATACATACGATCCATGAACAACCAGAAAGGGCTAAAAGACACATATGAATACGTGTAAGTATAATGCATTAACGTGTCACTATCATTGATATATATATTTTAATATTAGGCGAAAAGAGAAACGCACGGACCGATACTTGAAATATACTCTTATTATTATTAACTGCTTATCGCCGGTTATACATCTTCGTCGATTTCGCGCAAAAGAAGTTTGACAAGAAATTATAACTATTAGCCGGCATATTTTCTCTCTTCCAGAAAAGAAATATAGAAGAGATATTTGAATCCTTCTTATGCAGTTTTCTGTCGTTACATGTGGTACCTACCTAAACACCGCTACGTACCTAGCATTATTTTGCCCTTCGAAGGAATACCTCATACGGTGCAACGGTATCCAAAAATACCCTCTTCACGGCGCGGATACCGCCAGTTCATACCGACATAGAAGCGTTACACGGCTGTCGAAGACTGCAAGTCTGCACATACATATAAGAGCCAATGACTATAGAGTATACTTTGTTGGGATCATCTCATCAAGCATCAACCTACTTCTGGGCCCTTGATAATTCTTAAATAATTGAAACCGAATGCATGACGAAACAAACTGATCGAATTTCGAGTTCCATTCGGCTAAGTACCGAAGCGAGAGGAATTTCCCCAAGTTCGAATCTGGCCTTACGGCGAGCCAAATCTTGCGTATGCATACATGGAAATGTACTAACCCCTTGCCTGTCGCCTCATGGACAAGATCAAGATCCTAGTCCAAATAGTAAGCGATACTTCGATACTTGGGTTAAGCTACATACATGTATGTATATATATCGCCTATCTGACGCCATCCGGTCTATTTTATGGCTCGCGGGAAATAGTTCTAGAATAGAACCTCTCAGGTTGATATATCTCCCGCTTAGTTCTCGTCAGTACCGTTTTCGACATATTGATCATCAGACCTGTGCTTGTAACAGTCGCCCGCCATTACCTCACACCACCCCTTACGTATGGGACAACGCAGCACATTAAAAACGTCTCTCCTGCAGCATGCGAGAAGCGCCGCGAGCGCTGATCTAAAAGAGCTAACCGTCTATGTAGGCTTGGCATCTCGCAGCTCGTAAGCAGGGATTTCTATGCATAATTGACATTTAAGTCTACTGAAAACAAGGGAACACCATCCACTTACGGTTCGCCTTCCAAGCTCACGTGGATGTGAACTCCAAATATGCCACCCAACGATATGGTTCATCAGTACGGCGGCTATTAGAGAGCATAATGCATTTGATCAATATAGGAACCGAGCAAGATGATATAGCGCAATAACTCATCGCAACCGGAACCCGAGTATCTGGATAGCCCAGGGCCGTAGACCACCACAACAAATCTACCATCCACGTCTCCAACACGCAACCATTCACTCTCCACTCCCCCCGGTTTGTCCTTCATACGTATCATTATGCCTCCCATACTACTACCAATGTAAAGGAACCGGATGTTCTCGGGTTAGCAAGAGCTGACGGAGGCTCAAAGTCTCGTAAGCAAATATGTAATACCCCTTTCAACAAAATTTACCTAGTTATGGTTCATCGTCTCGCAATTTTCTTATTTTCCGCTTAGCGCCCTTAGCGACGATTAAATTCGGGGTCTTGCCAAAATTTGACCTGGTTCAGTGGCCCTAAATATCCGAAGCTACTAATTTGTGGGATGGCCCGTCGATTTGACCAGTCGAAATGACTTTTCCACTGTCATCAATTAATGGATGGCCTGATCAGATTACAAGGTTCTTACACAGTACGATTCAGGAGTCGAGGTGACCGCCAACAAAAGAGGGTTCCTTCGGCGAGCCGATCGAGAGGGACTAACCGTTATTTTTTTCCCCACGAGCTTCCCGAATTGGTAATATGCTCCTTTCGGTTCAATGGCGCTCCTAATTCCTAGACCCCTCCATAGGTACATAGCAGTTCTACGTCAGCCCCCAGCGAAAATTAAAGGCCCAGTCTTGGCATTCTCCCTCCAAAACAACACCATATAATATATTCAAAATAAGCATGAAAAACAGGGTTGAAAAAAGGAAAAAAAATTATATATTAGCTCCTTAGCCTTTATTATAATTATAGGTAATTTTTATAATTTACTACCTCAAAAACGGTGGAATTATATATGCGTAAATGCTGATTCTTTAAGAAGGGCTAAATGCCAAGACTGGGCCTTTATTTTTCGCTACTGACTGTACGTACGACCCTATATCGCTCTCATCCCAACAACACCCCTGAGGATAGCCGAAGTAACGATTCCGATCCCACTACAAATCGAAAATCTAATACTCAAAGCGTTGTTATTGCCACTATCTGTCACATTTTATTGCCCATTGCCCTCGATATACATACTTTTTGTAGATCCAATAACTCACTTCCCATGGACTCGGTCCGCGGGGTGCCTACATACTGACCGGTCAGGCTAAATTAACGCGTAGGGTTACGCTTAACCTGGTTTAAAGGAATTTACATATCAGTAGTTCGGGCATTTTTAATCCTCCTTGATAGGTGGTCATTCTACCGAGCTTCAAATTTGGCCGAGTACGCCATGTCTGTAAGAGAATAGCCTTGCAGTACGCTCAACAGCTAGTGGAGCAGCTACCATGTAGCCCGATAGATTATTAAATTTCAGTTATAATAGTGGCAAACATGGTCAAGATAGGATTTGAGAATACATACCTTTATCATCTATAATAGCTCATGACTACTCACTCAACTACTTCGTCTTTAATTTTCCGATTTGATAGTACTTCGTTATTTATGAGATCTCGATATCCTTACGGCCGTATTATAACAGCCCTTAAACGAGGCTAAGTTTGATTTAATCTTATATCGTCACGGCCTATGTATGAGGACATCTAAGACTTTTCGATTTATAAGTAATAACATTTCGCGTACGAACACAATCGCCTATCCCATATGTTCATATAGAAGTGACTAACCTAGGTATAACCTTGCCTACCAACTCTTGATCAGTCTCTCTACCCAGTATGTATGAGCAGTTAGTTGGGAGATCTAATTTGCCAACGGTGACCCCCACTAGTTACCCGATCTCTAAGATATTTTCCTCTTTGCTTCCTCGGTCAACCTCACCCAGCAAATAAGGCTTTCCCCGCGTTTGCAGCTCGTAAGGGGTCCATATGCGAATCATAAGTGCCCCTCGCTTAGCGATGACATCTACGATCTCCGGTTGAGGGAATCGAAAATTCGGCAGATGGGCCCGAAAGCAAATGCGTAAAAGCGATTATTTTGTTATTTTGTTGATCAATATACACAAGTGGTATAGGTATGCTCACTAGAGGGGGTAAGATTCGAGGGATCTTGAAGCCAGTGCTGGTGTTTAGAAATGGTCTTGGACGCCCGCGCCACAGGTATGTATGTATGTATAGTCCTATCCTCGCCTCGCCTCGCCAGGACCAAGGCACCAGCTTAGGGGGGGCCCATCCGGGGAGACCCACCCGGCAAGTAGAGTCGTTATGGGCCATATGTAGTATGTACACTCCGATCTAGGGACCTCATCTCTGGCCTAATAGGCCGGGCGACGAATCTATGTATGCCAGCCACCAACACGTCAAGATCAAGATGTAATTTCCGAGTGTCATTGGTAAAAAAGCCCCAGGCACGTGTTTCGAACTTTTTCACGCCCAACGACTGATGCAAAAGAACCGGCTGCCGCCAAGACCCTGCGAGCTCGCGCTGGTGGATCCGGCGCCCGCGGTCGAATCAGCCCAATCGATGGGCGAGTGCTGACCTTCTCCTTCTGTGTTCCAGCTGATCCCGGTATGATATGGTCCCCGACGTCCGCCCGAGGTTTGGATTTACATAGCTGCTTTGCTATTCGTCGGTAAGTCATGTTGTCGGACGAGAGCGTGCTGGCTGGGCTGATGGGACTGGGGAAGTCTTAATGGTATAACTACTGCAATTTTCGTACGACATTCTATAACGTTATCTCACCTATTCAGTCATTGAATTATAACGCAGGCGTGAAACTAGGCTATTGGCATGATAACTTGACTTGTCTACCTAGGTTGGTCTAGGTACTTGGTGTCTATATCACTCCCGTCTAGGAGTGTGATCTCGAGATATTAAAGGGGTAGACTTTCATCTAAGTTACAACATTGATGAATAATATCAGTAGCAACGTTGCAAATCCCCATACTCTGTTAAGAAGTAATGCCCCTGCCTTAACTTGCGAGGCACATTATCTTGGTGTCACAGACTCTCTAACCTTCGATAGGTAAACGGGAGGCCATCAGTCCTCTCGCTTAACACATTTCCAAAGCCTTTAAGCGAATGTGGGTAACGAGTAGACTGCTGTTAAAGCTAATATGCTTAATTATTGTATTCGTGTAACACATCGAGCGGTTATACGCAGTGCCTATACAAAGAAGTCTGCTTTCTTAGGGTTACCTAGATGTAGATTTACATGCCAATATTCATAAGGTCCATGCACTTCTCGCTTGCTAGGGAGATCCTTTCAGTAAGTGATGTTTTCTATTTAGCTAGTTAAGTAATATATAATAGTCTTCTTTAGCTAAAGCCTTTGAAAGTATCTAGCTGTTAGAACCAAGTATGGCATGCGCATAGTATAGTTATCAATGATGACTTATCATATGGGTATAGTTATATCAGCCATGTTTACGAGAAGGGGTTTTATAAGGAGATGCATTAGTTCTATTTCGATACATGTGGTATTCCGTTATCTCTCTAGTGCCAGTCTTTCAAAGTTTCCCCAGATTGTTGCATCCAGTGTGATGTTGTATAAACCTATGGGTTCTTTTATCATTTATAAACTCTTTTGAAGAGTTTGATAGTCTGTAGAATGGTAAGGGGGGTATTATAGCTATAAACCCATGTCCTAGTGAGTCGATGTGATTATATTAAAGATAGATATTCACATATTGCACCTTTGGCCCTTCTCTTATTTCGGAAGTAGCTCTCACTTTATCAAAGCTCTTAAAACACCTGATATAAATATATTAGTTAGTTCATGAAACTTGTCCCAACCAGCTCATACCAAAAGGCTGCCTTGGTATTCCATTGGGTCTAGATTAGGCGAGTTCTTCTTCCGTCGAGACAACGGTTTAATTTAGACATGGGTATCCTATGGTCACACAACCAAGTCAAAGACTTAGACATTATTATAGCTCAGAGACACTATAAAACCTCGCGAAGCACCTATTAGTATGTATAGTATATCCATATTAGTCGACAAGTATCTTATCCCCCACGAACGCCACAGTAAGCTAATGTATGTGCATAAGCCTACCGGGTTCCTAGCATTTCATCTGATGTGCTTTTTGGCAGCTTTCAGTTCAGCTAGAAGTCCATATTATCCTCACTGATATCGATTGTTTGGTGTATTAGATATAAATATTGGTAATATGGCGACGAGACTTTTGGTTAATTATATGTGTACTTGATATCTAGTTGATGTTAACTATAAAAAAGACCAAAGACTGCTTAGTTATAGTATCACTATCTGACTAGTTTTATAGAAACTGACTCGTAATAATAAGAAGAGGTAGATAAATATGAAAACTTATTATTGATGAAGCTGAGGCGCTGAATCCTGCGCTAATAAGAGTTTAACAACTGCATTAGGTACCTGATTAGAGGTACTGTGTAGGTGTGTTTGCCAAAGTCCAATGGGAGCTCCCGCTGGCCAGGCCTAGAAATATGTGCTAACTTAGTGGAGACCGGCGATAACCATGGGGTCTAGCCTAGCCTAGGTAGCCTAGGGCTAGCCTTGTTAGTTAGCTGAAAGAGAACCTGGGCTGGGATATACCAACCAATAGAAGGCCCGAATTCAAAGATTTTACGAAAGCAAGCACGCCTGTGATATGCCTGTAATACCCCACGAGCACCCCACCATACACGGAGGTCCCTTTCCAGATCTTGTCTAATCTACAAAACCAAAACCAACTTAGACAAGACAAGACCAACCAGACCCGATATAATTTTTTTTTCTTCCGTAACGATTTCGCCTTACACTACCAACCCGTTGCGTCTTGCAAATGGATAAGTTATAAGTTAGACTTATACGTCCTATGAACTCAGTTCATCTGACCTTTTGCTTGTCCAGATATTATCTCAAATCCCGTTTGCGCGCATAAACTTATGTGTGTTCTCCCATCGAGGTAATATCATTTGCAGGCGACTTGAAGTCTTTGCGCTTGCAGTAGGGGGACGATAGAAAGACTTACACGAATATAATTTGGAATATTTCGATACCAGACGGGAATAATTTATCTCGAAGCTATATTTCATTTGGCGCATTTGCATTTAATCAAGATACCCGTCTCGCTTGTCGATTTTATATGAGATTCTCAGATATCTCATCTACCATCGTACAGACATTCCGAGACACATTTAAACAAGTCAATCGACACCAAGGATATAACCGGGTTCAACAATTCGAAATGGACGATTATAATAAAACAGGCCAATTCCAGGCCCCTACCACTACTGTCGAAGTAACAGGCGGTAGCAGTACCAACGAGAGCCGTTATGGTGCCACCGACACCGATCGTGCTACCAACGAAGCCGTCAGCCACGGGTTGCAGCAGATCGAAGCCAGGAAGTTTCATTGGTATTCATACTTTACTACCACCGACTTCTGGATCGTTCTCTTCCTAGGCCAGACGCTCTCACTGTGCATCACAGCCACCAACACCTTTTCGACTTTCCTAGCCAACGGCGGCGTTTCCATTCCAGCCTTCCAGACCGTCTTCACCTATATTCTGCTATCGCTCATCTACCTAACATATACGCTCTATACCTACGGCCCCAAGAAGTACGGCAAGATCCTGCTGCGGGACGGCTGGAAGTACTTCATTCTTAGCTTCCTCGATGTTCAGGGTAATTACTTCACCGTGCTGGCTTACCGCTATACGAACATCTTGTCCGCGCAGTTGATCAATTTTTGGGCCATAGTGTGTGTTGTTATCATCTCATTCCTCCTATTGCGCGTGCGGTACAAGATCTTCCAGATCCTCGGCATACTAATCTGCTGCGGTGGCATGGGAATCCTGCTCGCTAGCGACCACATACAGGGCACTAATGGGGGCGACGGAGAAAATATGCTAAAGGGTGACTTGTTTGCTCTGGTTGGTGCCACATGCTACGGTCTTACCAACGTTTTTGAGGAGTGGTATGTCAGTAAGCGACCTATGTACGAAGTGCTGTCTTTCATGGGCCTCTTCGGCATGCTTATCAACGGCGTGCAAGCGGCTATTTTCGACCGCGAGAGTTTCCAACAGGCGACATGGGACAACTCTGCAGCTGGGTACCTGGTGGGCTATACGCTGGTACTCGCATTTTTCTATTCGGTGGTGCCGTTCCTCCTGCGCATCGCGTCTGCGGCTTTTTATAATATCTCGCTGCTAACGGCTAACTTCTGGGGTACCATCATCGGCATTCACGTGTTCGGTTACGCGATCCACTTCATGTATCCGATCGCCTTCGTCTGCATCATCGTCGGCCTTATCGTGTACTTCCTCGCGGGAAGCATCCTCGGCGAGTCCAAGAAGCCTTGGCTCGGTGACAACCAGGAGGATGGCGTGGCGGGCTTTGGAACCGCGAGGCTTAAGGCGCTGAACGAAGCGAGGAAACAGGGTATGGCTCCGGCGACCAATGATACGGTTTAGACTTGTATATGATAGGTATGAGGTATCTTGGGTCTTGGATAATGTTCATGTGGGGGAGTTAGGAATCGGGGGCTATAAGATACTAATGCCTTTAGCTAGCTTACTCGCTCGGGGTTTTCTGTATTTTGAGATGGATAGTGTGTAATGAAAATATTGATCTATAATATTGTGTGAGATGTTAAGTGTTCGGTGACTTTGTGTGCAACCTAAACGTAAAACCATGATATGGTTTTATCCCGGAAAGACATATTTCTAAGATTCTAAGCCCTTAAATATGTCGTACTACGAGCGATTACTATCGAAATAAAGTTGTGCTTGTGTTTTCTTTAGAGAGATAGAATGGCTAACGTCAAGCCTCTCTCATAGATGAGTTATATTTTATTTCCCATCTCAACCCTCAAACAAGCTATCCTCACCTCCCTATCTAACACCATCCAAGCATTATAACTTCGAACAGCACGCACACCAACAAGACGCCGACGAACCTTGACAGGTCGTCTAGGAAGCCAAAGCCAGGAATTATATAAGTACCTCCTAGCATGCTACGTAGTGGGCCATAGGCAAACATTGAGAATAATAGGGACTTGGTTTGCATAACGAAGATGGCATAACGATGCGTGTAAGGGAACTGGGAGTGTATAAGCGCGTTGTTTTAAGGTGTTACAATGAATACAATCTCGTCTCTATAGATATCGCCGTCTAGTCGTAGCCAATGAACTTGATGACTTCTTAGATTGGAGATACACTGGCTCTGATATTCATCCTCGCGCTTTGAATATCTTGATGCGAATGGCTTACATGACAGTTGGAAAAGCCCCTTCTTGGGTCGTAGGAGTGTATGCCATGATTTATTATCTATTCATGTAGGATAGTGTACACATTAATTGTGTAGGAAGCAATTTGTCTTCGTCGTGTTACTACGTCTACTGTAACTGGTGAGTTGAGAACTTGTCTCTTACAAGTCTGTGGTCCAGACACTCTAGCCTCCCTTCACCATCATTATACCATACTGAAACTTACTTCTTCGCCGCTCGCCGGTTCGCAAGGGTATAGAAGATACTCCCATCATAGATACCCCTAATGTCTTCTTTCCTCATCTTGCCGTCCGCCGGCCACAGCATCAAGTACGTTGCGACCCCTATAATCTCACGCATCAGTCACATATTCTTGCCGCCCCGACATGACAGGAACAACAGGTAATTAGGTAGGTAGGTATATTTACTCACATTCAAAGAAAGCCCCAAACCACCCGACAGGATCCATAATGCACCGCTGCCCCTTTAGCAAGTCCGCAACATCCCAAACAGTCAGATAATCGCGGCCGTGGCCATACTTGGCAAAAACATCCTCGAACCGCTGCGGTACAAACCGGCCCTCGGTGTCGAACGTCCCCGTGTCGCTGCCGTGCTTGTCCTTGTGCACGTTGGCGACGAACACGCGGAAGAACGGGTCCGGAAGCCACCCGGACACCGTCGGATAGGAGAAGTTGGCGTGGATTATGACGACCGAGAGCAGCGAGAGGAATATCCCGAAGCCGAGCCGGTGGAAGCCCCAGAATGTATCTTGTGGCCAGATTACACCGTCGTGGTCCTGGGGAAAGGGGGGGTTAGGTTAGTATGCTGGGGTAGAATAGAGTAGAGTAGAGAATGGGGGTAAAAAAAAAAGAAATCTACTTACGAAGTCGAAGAACTCGCAGTGCTGCTGGAGTACTGTTTTATCCCGGTGCCGTCTCGCCCATCCGTCTTCCGTTGTTCCGTAGGGCTTATCATAAGTAGCTGCTATGTTGGCTCGCGCAGTACCTATGAGGGTAAGTAAGTTAGCAAAGCCGGTATTCCAAAGACGAAAATACCCACCGGTATGCGGTAACCTCTGGTCATCATCTGGTTGAAGAAATGGTTTCCTTTCAACCGTCACTTTTACGCTCGGTATCGTTGACACGACCGGCGGCTCGCGGCTGCCGTTCAAGCCGTTAATTTCGTCTATGCTTTTGACCTCGACGGGCATTGTTGATTATTATCACAAGTTTACGTTGTGTGTTGTATTGTATATTTTTTTAGCTTGGAGTCTACTATGTTATATTGAAGTCGTAATTAGTTGTAGATAGAAATCCCATCCAATCGACTTTTTTGTATTTCCGAGCAATGGTTTGTTTGCCTACCTAGGAATCTAGAATCTCATTTATACGTGTATGTGACGTCACTGAAGGCCAGACCCGGAGCAATCCCATCATCACGATCGTCATTCGGAGTCTAGTTTTAAACTGGAGAAACAGGGTCTACTATGGAGTGAAGATCGGTCGGGATGTCTGCGACATGTGAAATATGATAGCATTTACATATGACACTTGTTTGATATTATAATACGATCGTGTTAATTGGAGGGGAGATAGTTGTGGTAGCATGTGAAATCCCGCTTTCTTAAGGGCCAGTGAATATGCATTATTCTTCATCAAAGGCCTGATAGAGCTTAATAAACTATGAAGGCTGATATGTACCTACATATCGTTGACGCCAGGCTAATCTAAATCTGGGCTGTAAAATAAGAGGCTTAGAGAGTTTGCCGATACGATCGATGGTTGCCGATCAGATGTCAAAGTGATCTACCATTTCAAGGTCTTATGTAGTAAGTAACCGAACCCATAGAAATTCCCCTTCCTTCGAGAAAGCTTCCCCACAGTCTCAGCCTTATTCATATTGATAATTCGTCGCCATGTAGCATATACACACTTCACATGAATCTCACGGCATTCTAATGGTAAAAAGCCTGCTAACAAACTGGAAAATGCCTCTCACGTACCGTGATAGTGAAAGATGAATCTTGAAATGAGGAAATAGGGGAACTACATAGTAAACCTCAACCACAAGATCAGAATAGTCCTAACCTCAATTTCACCAAGAGCCTCCAGGTAAAAATATAGGTAATATATATATGCCGTCCGCATTAACAATATACAATAATCATAGATAGCTTGTGACCAGTCCAACAAAAAGAGCTCTATCTTTTCCATCCAAACCGCGCAATCCGAGCGTAGCCTTCTCTCTTTTTCTCTTCCTCCAAACAGATGCTATAACATACCTAAGGTACCTAACATATGCGATACAGTAGGCGGAAAAATACAAACCCGCCAAATGCTTAAATGCTGATGCCGATGATGCAGACATTACATGAGAATTCCATTTCGCTTTCCCCCCTTTCCGAACGCCCAGCTCGAATCTCGAATCTCGAATCTTGAATCCCAATATACTGACAAAGGGAGCAAAGTATAGTAACGTAAAGGTAATGTTACGGGTATGTGCGAATATATATATAAGGGGTATCTCGGCTGAAGATGACGTGATAGTGTAATATAATGAAATGAAATGCAATGCAATAATCCAAAGACAAAGGGGAGAAATAATAGGAAACAGAAGCTTAAAAAAAGAATGTTATCAATCCCCGCCTGTCTGACAGGAGCCGTACGTGAATTGAAGTTAGCTAGCCAGCTAGCCACACCATGATATACCATGATATACCACGACAATAACCAGGTCAGGTTCAGATAAACCCACCGCCCCCGAAATCATCCCCCACGATTGCCGGGCTTCTAAGGCCACGCCCGTGGCCATGGCCATGGCCCATGCCGGGAGACACCGTATTTGACCTTGGCGGCAGCGGCCTACCAAACGACGGCGAGGCCTGCGGGTCGCGGAACCCAGGTGATAAGGGGGCAGTCTCGGAGCGCTTCGGCGGCATTACGATTACATTATGACCGCCGCTGCTACCACCATAATGATTAAGGTGATTAAAATCGTGGCGCAGCGGAGCATGTCCTAGAGTCGGCGTCATCGGCCGGCTGAAATTAAAAGACCGAATCCCAAACGGCGATTCCGATCGCGAACCAATCATTACGTTACCTCCCCTAGCCATATCTGCTAACACGCGAGGCGGTGTCTCGAGCGGCGATCCGACGCGTGAGGAGTAATCGTCGAACGAGGAGGCGGTCGGCGAGGGCATCGGCCACATGGTGGAATCCGGAGTTGGAACGTTGCGGTTACCTAGGCGTGGCGGAATCAGTGGCTCGTCTAACTCGGCCTCCTCCTCGTCTCCGTCAGCGAGGAATAGTTCCATTTCTTGTAGACGCGATCGCGAGCCCGTGTTCTTGAGCGGCGGTGGTGGTGCTAGTGGTGCTTCGATGGGCGTGATGCATGGACTTCCTGCTAGCGGTCCCGTTCGTGGCATTAGAGGGCTGTCGGGGGAGGTCGGCCGGTCATAGTTAGAGCCAATGCTGTCTTGGGACATCCTCCTGGCCCGGGACTGAGATCGGGATTGTGATCGTGACTGTGGTTGAGACGACGGCTGAGACGATGGCTGAATCACGTATTCGTCTGCGGCGGGTCTGCGCACATTTCTAGTGTTTGGCCTGCGTGCCCCGACAGCAGCAGGTGGCGGGCCACTCCTATCTCTCGGCATCCTACGCGGGCTCTGGATCGGCGACTGAGGTTTCTGATTCATAGCGAACGGTGGTGGATAAGTGCCGGCGCGATCAGGAGTTCTCGGGCGAGAGTTGAGGTTTAACGGCGGAGGCCGCATAAGCTTGCGCATCTCGGGACCGTTCGATGTCCTTGGACGCTGTATCGGTTCCTCCATGTGCGGTCTCGTGAGCTCCTCTACTCGCATCTCAAGGCTTCGTCTCTGGGACAGGATAGGGGTTGAGAGAGAAGTTACTGTGTCGCGTCTTGCCCCAACTGCCCGGATATGGATACCGGGATCGCCCAAGATATTCGCCAGGCCGCCCTGAACTCGATCTTCGCTACCACGGGGAGTCGCTATAGGCGAAGGGATCGACGCCGGTCCAAAATGCCCATGGTTCGGTATATCCCTAACATTTTGGACCTCTTTAAGAGTAGTCGGCCCGTTCCTGTGACTGCCTCTGCTTGACGGACGGAACATGTCGTCCCTAGGAAATGGCGGTCGTCCCAAGACCGGCGTTCCGCCCCTAATCGACTGCGGAGGGGATGGTGGCTTACTTGGCGATTGACTTCTCTGTGGCGACTCGGCAGAGTATGGGCCAGGGCTTGGCCTTCTTATCCGCAGAGGTACTGGAGGCAATGATGGATCCTCCTCCTTAGGTAAGGGGGCCGTATCATTAGGGATTTCCAGTTTAAGTTGATGTCTGCTCAGCGACGGTAAGGGCGCTGATGCTAAGGACGGTGGTGGACCTGTGGTAGAATGCATTTCGAGGGGATTCATCCAGACTGTCTGTTGCTGCTGAACAGGAGTAGCTGGCCGTGAAGGATTTCGCATAGGAACTGGAGGCACTATGTCCTGAGTCGGGCTGCTCTGCCAACCATTACCGCTTCCCAGGGTGGGATTCGACGAATGTTGCTTTAGAGCTGGAAAACCTGGTTGAGGAAGTTCGGATATGTTCGTAGTAACTACATTGGTCATGTCTGCGTTGTAGGGAGATGGTTTCGCCTGCATAGCCGTGATTTTGACTGAATGAGACGTGTTGGGACGAGATACCGAATAGACGTTGACACTATAAGGTCCAGCTTTCCCTCCGTCCCTCATGGGAAATTCCTCATCTAGAGGTTCTCTAACAAGTTTCCTACGAACCTGCGTTGGCGAAGCCTCTTCATCTTCTCGGCTTCTGTATATTTGTTAGTCAGATGTACTACGGCAAAGACTTATATTCCGACTCACTTCTTCTTCTCGCCGCCGAGCTTAAACCCAAAGAATGAGACCATCGTTTCCTTTCACAATTATACATGCGCTTGCTTTCCACCTCTAAGATTACCGTGCTCTCACTCTTACACACGCGCGCGCGCATACACACTCTTCACTCCCTAACGACCAAGACGGTAATGACTGTATAGAATAGCAGGAAGCAAGGAAAAAAAAAAAGTTTGACTATGTGTAGAATTCAGAAGGGATATGCTATGCTCGGACCGCAGATTCGGAACCAGGAGCGCGCGCGACAGGGACGTGTTGATACAGCGGGGTTGAAACGAGGATGCTAGCAGTACATGTCGATCCCAATAGCGACCAAGAGTTCAGCGTCACAATGCAATCGACGTTGTATGTTAGGATGCCATGCGCGATCCTCCGAAATCTTGATAAATCTAGAAGCGGCTGGCTTCTATTTGCAGAAAATAGTAAGGGTAAGGTAAGAATACTTAAGCTCGGTAGGCTTGTTAAATATGGTCCTAGGAGGGATTCGTTATGATGATGATGTTTTTTTTCTTCTCCTGCAATTCCTGAATTGTCACGCGGCGGGTGGTGTGAGGTAGTATTCTTCGAAGTCGCCAAGCCAGAAGTCTACTTGCTGATGACACACAACGGTTCTCTTGTTCCTGACAGAGCAGTTTAGGTAGGTAAAGAAGGGATAAAAACTTGTCAAGTAAACTCGTGTAGTTAGTGAGAATTAGAAATGGCGTAAGGCGGCATTGATATGATCACAACGGGGCGAATTACACATTATGCGTGGGTAACCGCAGGGTGAATAACAAACCTACTAACCTGGGTTTACTGATGTGTATGGTTCGAATTATGAGAATTGATGTCTTAATTCCATGTATCGTGAAGGGCACAGGACCCCCAAAAAGGAAAAGGGATACAAGGGGAATACGGCTCCATAAAATTCAGGGGAATAACTTGACAGGGAATAAATAACCCTTGGTTGTCTTGGCAGGGGGTCGCTTGCGCTAGAATTGTACTAATAGTGTTCTTTAGACTCCGCACACGCTTTTCTACGAACAGTGAACCATTAGAGATTTTCATCAATATGAACAAAGTGAGCGAAGTCTTCAAGATTCCATGTAGATGAAGTTATGTATATAAAATGAGAATAAATTAGTCATCCTATTATATCTTATTATCTCCTACCTAACGCATGAGTTTCTAGGACTTATCGGTAAGGCCGCCTTTCACTAATTTACAGCTCTTCGTATGGCATCTTTGTTTGTATTAGGCTATTTAGCTAAAAAAGGCGTTATGGTAATTTACCCACTCCATACGAATTAAAAAAAATTTTTTAATACAGATAGAAACCTTTAACTCAGAATAGTTACCTCAAAGATTTATCTCTACCTTGTCTTATTTATATAGAGATGTTGTTGATAGGTTTGAATTTATTAACAACGGTTAAGAAATATCAAACGGGGATGAGGGAACATATATACGTACATATTAGCTCGGAGCCATCCGAATCCTAATGTTTAATAGCCCTTGCTGAAACCGTCTAACCAATACTAGCGACTCGAAACTTCAAACCATGATGATTCTAAAGGGTGTAGTTTGAATAGCGTGTACGCTTAAACTCATCATCAAGCCCCCTCGACGCTCAAAGCTCATAATTATGTGCTTGTAAAAAATATATATGTGACAACCTCGTATTGCTATTTTTGATTCGTTAGCTCGCCTCGTCCCGACCGAAACGACTTACATATGTACACCAGGTGAAACAAACCACACTATCACCACCGATACAGACTATGTATGTACCATATATCCCCACTGTCTTCGCAGGGCTACCCGAGCCAATAGTCCGTCTCCGAACTCATCTCCCCTTGCATCGCAGCCGCAGAACTGCATAGACGAGGCAATCAGCAACACACCTAGCTTCTCGTACAAATTGCCTCTTATAGTTAAGCGACAGCATTGCCGATGGTATGTACTGGTCCCTGCCTAGTAAACGTGGCAATATATGATATTACGAAATAAACTATTCCGTATAAAACCTCATAAAAAAGGTCAAGTTCGTCGCCACGTGTCAACCTATGTATGTATGTATTTTCAAAAGCCATCATCATCATATGCCTTTTTAAAAAAGGATTGTTTACCTTAGCTTTAGTTAGAAGCAAATAGCATCTAGTATAACCGTTGTATGTATGCATGTCTCGGCGGCAATAGTGTGTGTGTGTGATGAGACAACATGTGGTCCTACCTAGTGTTATGATAATATACCGGCATCTTGGAAGAAAAGCGCCACTTTGTTTGTCTCTTACTCATATAAGATTGAAAAGTCTTTGCAAACACTATTTATCCGGCTATAGAACTTAAATATTGATTTTGATTCATAAATGTATCAGGAACCGTTTCGATCAATAGGCAGTATCCGAGTTTACGTCGGGATTCTTCTGTGAAGTATATTCGACGGCACTGGAGTTGTCACGAACTAACGCTACTGTTATACCAAGCCTGAATGACAACCAAAACTGTATAATTTGGATATGTATGATAACTAGCCTCGTAGGTCGTAGAATAGGTACCTAGGTTAACTCCCTAAAATATCATCAGTTCTCATTCTTATTAACACATCTTACTACAGCTCTTGAGGTTATCAAGTTGAAAATATCTCACTACTACTAGCTGCTACTAGATATCATCACTTTTGGGGAGAGAGGAAGATGTGCCAAGGTACTCTCCGTAACCTAGCCCAAGTCCTAAACAATTCCAGCGCTGAGAAGTGATGAGTAGATGATGTTACCGTTCGTTACTGACAATCTCGTAGGATGCGGTCTTCCTAGAAGTAGTAGGAGAACCTTTCCTCAAGCATTAGGAGGTACTATTCATCAACTGTGAACTCTCCTGCTCCAACACCCAGCAAGAAAATAGCACAATCCAATGCCCACTTAGGTACGTAACTTAATCACTCTATAGAGATACGTAACAAACCAATAAGTTTACTCAGTTGTGTTAATATCGCCTCCAACTCGTATCATTCACACGTTGATGCTTATTTAGGTATATATCTACCTACACTAAAGAGCAACAAAATCCCTCTCATCTCCATCTCAGAACACTAGTGGGTATATATTGTCTCTCACATCTATACACGGGCGCCCGCCTGTCTGTCTCTATAGATGATAATCTATACATGACCCACAACCGACAACTCACAAATCAAAACCACAAGCCTGTAGCGAAACTTTGTCACCGTCCCATACGCGTAGGTATATACCGTACTAAATAACCAAAGGCGAGCTCATAGCGCAGGCTTATCGCCTCCGCCCTTGTCCTCCGCCTTGTCACTGTCGTCCACCGTAACAGACTTCTCCTTTGTAGGATGCAGTGGCTCATAGCTCATCTTCGCGTTATCCTGCTCTCGTGCCTCCACTTCCTTTCCCTCATCTTTCTGGCCTTCCTCTCGATCCAATCCCTCAGTGCTCTTCGCCGGAACCGTCTCGCCGTCGCCCACGAGCTGTGCTGCATCACTAGGCGCAGTGCCCTCCTTAATGCCTTCCTTAGCATGTTCCGGTTCGTGCGTTCCAACAGTCGTTGTGCCCTCTTCCTGCTTCGCGACGTTAGCCTCGGATTTGTCGTCGCCGCCCTCGGAGATGCCCAACTTATTCTCCATATCCCCGGCTAGCTGATCAAGCTCGTCGTGGATCTCCTCCTTCTTCTCCGTCTTGGATAATTGTCGGTTTGCCTCCTTTTCTCCGACTATGGCTCTCCATGTCGCCTCTAGTTCGTCACCCCATCCTAGCTCATCCGCTAGCTTCCGGATCCCGGAGTCGCAGTCCCCTAGGACTAAGACGTCGTCTGCACGCGAGCCCATATCACCTACACAATCGCGGTTGATAAGTACGCGCGGCACACCTCCACGTGCCCGTTGCGGTAGACCGGCGAACGGATGTACCAGTAAGCTGGTGCCCATGACAAGCATTAGGTCAGCGGCGTTAGGTACCGAGATGTTATCATAAAATGTCTCAGGGAGTTGCTCGCCAAAGAAGACGATATCGGGCTTGACGAGGCCCCTACAGTCCTTTCGGATGCATCGCGGTGCCTCTCCACGTTTAACGTGCTCGCGCATCAGGTCATCAGGGAACTCGGTACGGCAGTCGATACAGTGCTGCGTAGCAAAACTGCCGTGAGCTTCAACTATTTTCTCGGAAGGCACACCAGCAACACGCTCTAAGCAATCTATGTTCTGGGTGAAAAGCATGCGGAGAAGTCCCTTTTCAGCAAGTAGGGCGATGAATGCATGTGAGACTGTCGGGCTAAAGTTTCCCGGGTAAAGCTCCTTTGCCAACAGGTAGAAGGGCTCCGGGTTACTACGGAAGAAGTCGATCTCGAAAACAGCCTCTGGATGCGGGAGGTTGAAACGAGAAAGATTGTGATAGAGCCCCGTTTTAGGGGAGCGAAAGTCGGGTACTGCATCGTGATAAGTAAGTGTGATATGTGATAAGGCTGGCTACATAGAATAGAACTTGGGGGACTCACTTCCAGCCGCGGTAGAGATACCGGCGCCGGTCATGACAACGATATTCTTTGCGTCGCCATCCTTGATAAGCTGTGCTACAGCACGAAGACTGCGCTCCGATAATGTCTCTGGTGGCGTGTCCGGGTCGATGAGATGTGAAGACTCTTGACCCATCTTTCTTGACCGTGGGTACGGTTTTTGGCCTTTTTGATGGCGGGGTCTCTTTCTGCGACCTATGTTGAGAACTGGTAGTGGATAAAAAAAAATTGAATGAGGTTGTTAATGGGGTATGTAAGGCTGAGAGTTAAAAGACCAATCCTTGATGGCTTAAAGAATAGTAAAATGTAAGTTGAAGATTGAACGAATTGTAAGTTACATCATTTTTATTTTATTATTAAATCAGAAACGGCGTAGACTGGCGACCTGTAGGTACTATGTATAGATGTATATAAGGTACATCATAAGGTACATAATACATGGTGGGGTCCATGTTATCTAATCGTGTGACGCTCGCTGCTAGATGTGTTCCCCTTAATGAACTTGGAATGAATTTAGAAAACTCGAGTCATTCAGTTTAGGTATATGTACATAAGGTATCTAATATTTAATTCAAAAATTATTGATATTGCATACCTAGGTACCTGGCTATTACACTCCCGAACCTTGACTTGAGCTATCTAACTCCTAAGGAAGAGTCATCCAACACCCGGAGCCCCAACTTAGAGTATCTCCATCTAAGGAGCCTATCCTTCTATGTACAAAAAGTACATTGGACCTCCGACGAGTATCGATCCTATTGAGCGGTCTTCGTCATAGCAAGCCTCGTCATGATACAATATAGCCCGTCTCGCACTCAGTCTGAGGTGTTCAGACAATAACTGAAGCAATACCTAAAGCAATGACCAAAACACACAAAACTAATACATTTCTACCTTTACGCCGGACCATCGCTCAAGCTAATTTTTCTTGCTTTCCCTTTCCCCGCACATCGCACATTATATAATACAAGTGTACAAGTGGTTGCATACCGAATGATTATAATTTTGTCATCTTGCCCATTCTACCGTTTCTAGCGCCATCATGACAAGCACTAATGTTGAAGGGAGAATCCTAGAAACTGTTAATACTTTGAACTCATACAAAACTTAGCAGGATATATGACTTACCAGATAACGTAGCTCTGGAATAGAATCTTTGACATAACTCCTTCGTACACCTCGTTGATTTGACAGATCTGTGCTAGCTGTAAAGCACTCGGCGCACCTGTGAGTAGAAAACAGACGATAATGAATATTGGGTCGTCCAGTATGCTAACCGGGACGTATTTGGCGAAGAGCGCTAGAATAGGTGCCATGATGAGGGTAGGGAGTAACATGCGGCTAATGAGCGAGGCTACAAGGAGGCGTTTCCCAATCTGTTGCTCTTCGGGGTCGCTAATCTTCTGGGCTTGCGTGTTTCGAGCTAGGTTGGCACCTAGCACCACTAGAATAAGAGGTACGGCGACACCGCCACTCTGAGATACTGCTCTGGTTACGCTGTTGTTGACGAATGTCCCCTCCTGAAAGAATAGTCGCTGCAGATCAGGTACAGAAGCCACGATGATGGCAATAAGCATAGCCCACAGCGGCGGGTTCATGAATTCCCACAAGAAGTTGTAAACTCGGAGCCACCATCCCCATACCCTAGCCAGACCATTCTGGACCGGATTCGGTAAACCTTTGTATGCGCGTGTAGAAAGCTGAACGATGCGTTGCTTGGTAGACGTAGCGGCCTTGTTGATCCCAAGACGCGCGCGCATATAGTATCCCTTAACCCCACTTGGAATGTCCGTGTCACTCAAGTCTCGCATACGAGGAAACAAAGTCATGTCGCCGGGCCCGGTTGTTATGGAATGATCGTTGGGGGAATTAGTACCACTTCTATATCCCTTAGCTGTCCGTTTCCTTGGCGCGGTAGTTTCGTCATCAGAATCGGCGGGCGATGCTACGGATGTCCCAGCTACTGGAGTTCGACCAGCCGGCTCGTATACGTCTGACTCGTCCGACTCGTCCGAATCGTCGTGGCCATCATCCTCGGTAGCGTTTCCGTCAAGACCTGGAATTAAAACTTCGTCTCGGGGTACATCGTCTCTATATCTGCCCTCCTCTACTGTCTCATCCTGGTACTCTTCGTACTTGTTTTTCGGCGCTAGCAAAACGTGATATCCCCAGCTCCATCTGACCAACTGTCCAAGCTGCTGAAATATCAAGAGATATAAAATACCGCGCGCGGCTACTTCATCATCGTTGTCACCTGGTATCCTGTCCCAATGGAGCCCCTTTAGAGTTTGCGAGAGGGAAATGACGAGGGAAATCGGTAGCGAGTTTGAATTCCCAAATACACCCATAGCCGTAACAAAATTCGCCGGGCGCTTCGAAAACCGGAATGCTTTCGAGACGCATATGGATACCAAGTAAGATATGCCGGTTTGGATGATAAAGATGAAAGGTATAACTGCGAGGTCGATAAGTTTATCGGCGTTGAGCTGTGATGCTAGTTTGGTGAAAACTGTCTATCTGTTAGTATTAACTATACCAAAACAACAGGCCCGACCATATGCGCATACTTAGGCATGGGGTAAATAGCATAACGTTGAGATTCGCTAGGAACTTCTGCTTGTCGGCGTCGAAATGTCCTAACCTTGCGATAATATATCCGGGTAAGCTGACACAGACGACCTCCAGCACAGCCTCAAAGACCAGTAGGATCAAGTGGTCGATAGAAGGATGGGAGTCGTGAGTGTTTTCTATTGCCATCATCGGCACACCGGGAGCCCAGTTTGCTAAAGCATTGTTAACCCGGAAGGAGGTTGGCCTTGCGCTTGATAAGTCTATCATCTTGTTTGACTGAGAGATCTAGATCGACTAAGGACAGAGTGTGTTACTATTGCCGTTGGTCTTATTATTGGCGAATACTAGTAGTTAAACTCGTAATTCTACAACCAAACGGAAACACCGGGATTCAACTTTCGACGAGCGAATTAGTTGATTCGTGATCGAAGAGGATGAATGATCAGCCTCTTTATCTCCGACACGGGATTGTAGGTAATTATATGATGATTTCTTCTAGAAATCTAGTACTGGCTATTCAGACCCGCTGCAGAGCCGCCAAGGTGGTGTGACGAGATAGAGTTCGTCAGAAATACGAGGTGAAAGAAAAAAAGAAGGTTGGGTAAGGTTGAAAGAAAAAGTATCTAAGACCTAAGATGATGAGGAAATTAAGAAAAAGGGAATAATTAAATGGCAACTTGACCGAAGTTGCTTTTTCTTTATCGGCAGCAGTGCCTAGAAAAATTGAGTGAATTAGAAACAAGAAAATAAAAAAGGAAAAAGTGAAGGAGCTCAAGCTCCGAAGGATATTGTTAAAGTACTTGCTGATCTTAGCCTGCGCCCTGAGATCTCGAACGAGATAAGTCCCAATAAAGTTACCAGTGAAACATTGAAGCGCATACCTTAACGTTGACTAGCGTGTGTACTTAAGCAAGTAAGTACCACTGTATGTAATACATGTACCTCTTCGGGGCAGGCTAAAGCTGCCCGGTGCATGGTCGGGTTGCAGCTGTACGGCAAGACCTGCAGGTCCACTGTGTGAAACAATTTTGGAGGGATCTTTTACGTTAATTGATTGGCTTTTACGGATATGTACAGAACACTAAAACAGCCTTCTCAGGGTCTCGTCGTCGCACGTGTGGGGGTTAAGTGGTTAGAGTAGTAGAGAATAAAATGGTCTTACCGCATAGACACAGATTGGAGACCTCATTTACAGATTCTGAAGCAACTCTAACCGTATGTTATGGCGCTCTTTATTTCGGTTATGTACGTATATTAATATATTAATATATTGTTATTAGATATAGGTACCTACTTACATGTAGTTAATCTAATCATATCAATCAGATAAAAATTCAACTTCTTTGTTATTTTGTTATGTACCAGTGACTGATGCAATAGGTAGCGCGTAATTAATCTGGGCGCCCAGTTTGCCAGCTAAAAGCCACTACCTATCACTAATTAGTGTAGTAATAGGTAGAGTCTAAGGTATCGCTTTACTTATGATTTTGCCCCAGTACGCCAATGCGCAATAATGACGACTCAGGCAGCCAAGAATGCTTACTCAGTATATTGCACTTATTCAAGCCGTGTTTAGCTTGGAAGAATGCAACCATCCGTCTGCTACTCGCTCCCAACCGTTTAACTTAGTTATCTTCTAATAGGTACTGAAAGTGACAAAGGATTCATCAAGTCACCGACCGAGGCGCATCTAGAATTTATACAAAGTTGTCTAGGTAATTCACTTTCCATCCCAGGGTTAGGTATGATCTTATATTTTAACCGTCTTTGGATGTGCTTAGTTTAGGTAAGCTATTTTATTTAGTTAAGCTAAAATGCTTAACGATTATTACCCGCAGCATGTTTCAAATGGTACGACATGGCTGCCGCTACGATGACGTCTTTTATAAGACTGTAAGCATCGGAGAGGTTGGCTGAATAGTACCCGAAAGTACCCGAATATAGCCACAGACAGCAAGCCCAGTAAAGCCAACACATCAACCGCATAATGAGCAACGCAAATGTTACCGCATAGTAAGTCATGGATCATGATCTTGAAAAGCCGGTCTTATGGCCACATCTCCGATCCTCCAGCCTACATAAATAATGCAACCTGTCAAGAGTAAGACCGGAATTCCTGCTTGCCTACATATCAACTAATATCAGCCTACAGGTAATAAGGAAGGCAGTGTTGTATTCTTGAGGGATGATTGGGCGATTGGGTGATTGGGTTGAAAGTAATGACGATTGTGGCGATGACGTTATCCGATCTTATCAGTTTCTATTTACTGCCTTACGCAAGTAATGGCATTCAGGGGTACGTAATAGATACTTGAGTATGCCCTAGTTATAGGTATATGTGGCTTGAATGAATTATATAATGCTCTAATATGTGTTTATGGATTAGATATTGACATACTTATCCATAGGTAGTATTAACGTACATTAGTCCCTTACATGCAGCTAATATTTCCTTGGCCAGAAATACCTAGGTAGCCTTTAATGGCTCTTTGATAAATAACTTTCCTACTTTAATATTATAGGTAGGCCGCAGTCTTTGCTCAATCAATAATGTGCGCCTCACTA